ATCATGTTGCCTGGTTCTTGGTTTAAAGTTGTGTCCTCAATGCTTGAGGTTTGTGGGGTCCCTCCAGCTTCTCAGAGTCCTGCACAAAAAAGATAAAAGCAAATGCAGGTAGAATAATAGTAAGCTCACATAAAACCTCTTCGTCTTGCTAACAAATTCCGTGATTAAATCCACAGCATGGGAACGAGGCTACAGGAAAAAAAAGTTCAACCATAATAATGCAAAAAGGCAACTTTAGCTAATCATATTTTTGGCAGCAACACTATACTGTTTGTATAGGAGAGTTGGCTTGGTGTATTCATGCCAAATGCACTCCCTATAGTATTGTATTACTGTACTTCATCATTTTACTTGGGCATTCATTCCCAGTAGCCCTAATGTCTTCTAACAGAGTGCGCAAGGTACTGCATATTTGGCGCATATTTTATTTTCGGCTATTATCGGCCTGTGCATTTTTAATTCGGAAAGTGGTGGACATCACGCAACTGAATTGTAAATAAAAGGGGGTTTGTCAACTGACAACCGCATACTTTTTCGACATCACTAATAAAAGAATTTTTCGTCCAGCGCATGCGCCAGGAGTGAATAGCAACTGAATAGAGCGGTTGTCATTTGACAACCCCCCTTTTATTTACTAGAGGAAACGCAAAAGGTAACAAGATTACGTAACCAAAGGTGAGAAGGCACTGAACGAACTGTCAAGCTACGAATACAACCTCAGTGCAACAACGTGCTCTTTCTGCTTGCACAAGCAGAAAGAGAAAGAGCACGTTGTTGCACTGAGGTTGTATTCGTAGGTTGACACTTCGTTCAATGCCTTCTCCCGTTTTAATTACTGGGCATTTGTAGCCTAAAATTTGTTTTGCAAGGTTCTATGTGACAGTGCATACAGGCATCAGCAGTAGAGGCTGAAATTTCAATGTGGCCGAGATGTGTTTTTGCCCTGGGGAGGCTGCAATTTAAAAGCGTCGAAAATTTGCATACTTTACAACACAGTACTGAGCATGCGGTGAGCTGATGACGAAATGAATTGGAGGTACTAATAATGCTAAGGGATTCGGGGGCGCATCAAAGGGGTCAGCACCAAGGAATGGGATAGATTTGTGCCCAGTCCGGGTATGTATATTGGGTATAGAACGGAAATTATTGGCTAAGCCTCGGGCGACTCCTACCAGTATTGCCACCAATGGCCCGTGGCTGCTGATCTCTGGGATAGAAATGAGACGTGTATGTGAAACCAAAATACGGCTTTTCAAGATGTACTGTAAGACATGTTATTATAACGAGTCGCAAATTTAACGATTGTCCAAAATTCATAGTTTAACGAGAAGATATGTTAACAATCTTGCAGTATTATACACACACAGCATATATGAAGCAGTACGGCCTCAATGGATCTATTATAACGAAGAAATGTGATCCGTTAAAACGTTAGATTTGCTTCCTCGTTTTAATACATATCTTACAGTATGTGCATTTTGTGAAGATCTGATGTAAGTCATTAGGGACACCTTGTTGGGTTTTGCCAACATTCAATTATTATGATGTTCATATCTATGCATGAATTATCAGCAAGAATCAGTAACCCCAAGAGTATGCAGCTTTGCACATGGAGTCTGCCACAACACGTTGACCAAAGTACATGAACCTAGACACGAGCTAGGGAATCAGCTGAGCTGCTGCGTCATTTATGATCTGCTATAGTTTCCAGTCTCCATGGAGATTTTTCTTGGAGACGTCGAATCTACAGTATTAGGTGTGAAACTATTGTACTAAACCGCAGGAGATAGAATCTATTCAGCTCGGACAACATTTCACTACGTACGGAAGGAAGTACGCCGATCAAAGCTTGCTACACTCCCGTTTAGTCAACTTAACGGCCCAAATAATGCTTGGGTCATGCACTCATCGCTGTTGGTCTTTCGAGGGTGCCTGACAATGGTTGTTAATGCACAGTACCAGCCGGGCCAAATGACAAGATCAGAGACATAGATCTTCCTAGTTCAATTGCTGAAACGTGACTTCTGCAAACGTTACGTAGCAAAAGGAACTGTACTATGGCACTACACGCCATTCACAATAATCAAAAATGCCCATTTGACAAAACAGAATTTCATCAACGGAGCCCCGGGATTTTTTCTTCTGTACATATGCATTATGGATTCATAGCATAAGGGAGACGGCACGGTAGACTTTCAGCCTAAATCATAACGAGGGCCAGCTGGGCAGCTCAAAAGAGAGCTCTATGCACTATTGGCAGAGTGGTATACATGAATAGAGAGTGACCACCCAGTGCGTGAAGCTTTTCGTGTCACCCTAGAAAATTTCAAAAATTAATAATGTGGATTCAACCCCGGGCTGCCAGTGACAGTTGCCCTTACTGCCTTAGGGGCAAGTGCGATACATACATGCTCGCATATAGCATCGCTTGACTGACCCATGCTTGGGGCCAGTGGGTCAAGTCCGCGATCACGAGTTGCATAAACCACGGATCATGTAGAATCTCCATGGATCCAATCTGTGTACTGTAAAAGCAGACATTTTTGGTGGTGTAATATTTTCGGAATTCTCCAAAATCGGCGGTTCGGTGGAGGGAAATTTTCGGTAATACCCGCTTTCCAGGTAAGGGTGCTAGTACTACTAAGTAGTACCGAAATATTTCGGTGCATTTTTTTCGGTAAAAATTGTCGGCACCGAAGTTACCGAAAATAAAACACCACTGAAAATTTCCGCTCATGATCTCGTGTTGTTTCCTTGGGTGCTACGACTCCCTGACATGCATTGATCCATGGCACGGTATGATTTGGGCGATTTCAGCCAATCAGTAGACGTTCTGAGAGGGGTATATTCAACGATACACCCCGCTCAGTCCACATGGGTCGCGCCAAGAGTGAATATTGGAAGGAGTCTTGGGAAAGTGCCCTGGGAGAAATGGATTGCACCATTCTATACATGTACTGCATTCCCCATAATTTCCTCGTGCTATATCCTCGGGAAAATATTTAACGTATACCCTTCACATACTCATAGAATAATCCAAACGTATCTGCAGTCAACCACGGGTATAACAACCCACGGATAGTGAGACTATCTTCAGACCTAGTAACAATATAGCCGTATATTTTCAACCCCGTGAATGACGACAACTCCCAAATAGCAGCACTTTTCTCATGCCCGATCAAGGGTCGTTCGTTACTGGCAAAGTTAGCTGGACATCTTGTCATGTAGTCATTATTACTTCAGGCAGGGACAATGAAATACCCCCCCCCCCTTCCTGCAGAGGGAACAGTGTTGTGTCCAGGTCCGCATGCAGCATGGAGGTGCTAGTAAGTCACTGGCATATTTTCTCTTGTGGATCGATGTACAGTGCGTGACAATGCTTCCATAGTGGTGGTGGTGGTGGCGGGAGCATACTGCACTGCAGGGCATTACAGCACTGGCATACTATTATTTTCTCTTGCAGACCACCGTGCACGACAATGCTTCTATAGTGGTGGTCACAGTGATGGTAGTGGTGGTGGTGGTGGTAGTGGTAGTGGTGGTGGTGGTGGTGGTGGTCACAGTGGTGGTGGTCCTGGTGGTGGTCCTGGTGGTGGTCACAGTGGTGGTGGTGGTGGTGGTGCTGCTGCTGCTGGTAGTGGTGGCGGCGGTGGTAGTTGCGGTGGTGGGAGCATTCTGCACTGCAGGGCATTAAAGCAAGCTCGATTGTGCATGGATGGTGGCGGTGGGAAAGAGGAGCCAAGGAAAGTGTGTACATATTTTTGTTGAAAGCACGAGAATTCAAAGAAAGCTGGCTGCTTCCTCTATTTCCATGATCGGCCAGTGCCTGCAGCACGAACAGTACATTGTAATACATGTATGTGCATAGACAGACAAATAAACACTAACCTGAGCATGCCGGGTACCACTTGTATTCGTGGTCAGGAAAGTGAAAGTACGAACGAAGGAGAAGAAGATTGTTGACCATGGCGAACAACTGCATCAGTGCATATCCAGAGGGCACACGGCTTGCCAGAATGGGTCGGCTACATCTTCGCTAATTTTCTATGCTAACAACATTCAGCTTCGAGGTCAAGGACGACGGCATTTTTGGAAGGAAATTTCGAATTTTGGAGAAGAAGCTTGCTTTCGGAAAAATGTTCCTTTCACGCAAGGCAGCATGCCAGGTCAGGCGTGTGAACCAGGTGAACTGTAGCTGTGTCGGCAGATCGACGTTTACGTTCCAGGCCGACAGTTTTTTGACCAAGCCGTGAATCGCCCTCGCTCTGACTCGCCCGGCTACAAAGGAGTAATTTTACAACTCTTCAGGCCAGCTACAGGTCTCTGATGCAGAGCTGCAAGTGACGGATATCGGTCATTTGCAGCCACTACTAAGAGCCTCCTGGTCGTCGCAATCTGATACATAATATACCTCCATGTGGACGCCAGGGCCAGAGAGTCGTACCCAAACCAGGTACAAGTAAGTAAAGGCCCGGTGACGTTACAACTCCCTGGCAGCTGGGCCTGGTACACGGTCGGTGAACGTGGTCTCGTTGTCTTGGTCTTGTGTTTTGTGCGTATTGGTCCCTGATCGGTCGTTGCGATTCGCACCCACTTTATCACTGCTTGTTCTTTGTTGTTGGTTGCTTCATTTCAGTTAGTCATACAATACAACAGCCCCCGGGTTCCTCTGGTAGTCGTCCATGCAACCTACTGGCGGGCGGCTGATCTCCCGTTCTTTGGTACCTGGCAGTACTGCACCTGGGCATAGCCACATACATGTAAGCTACTAGCAAGAGTACATACCCCCCCCCCCCCCCTCTCCTTGCGTCATAATACCGTACACATTTGAGGGGAACCCGGGGAGTCGCGGGTACTCTCGGATGAAAAACAACGGTCGGTGCACTGCCTCGAGACCGGCCTTGCGGCGGTGTGGAGTGTACGCATGACATCAGAAGATCCGATTACGCTCGACCAAGACCCTATGCAGAGCTGGATCAGGCGTTGCACACTCTGGGGGGTTATGTACTCTTGATACTAGTGGTTTTAAGGACAGGATGGCATTGGTGAAGAAAGCAGAATTGTTTCTATCAGCTGTGGAGACCAGTGATGAGAATATCTAGTGCCGGAATGCCACTGCGCAGTGGCATTCCGGCGGTACTTGGAACTAGTGAAGGTTAGCAAGATCAACTTGGCCGTTGGGCTATGCCAGGCAAACCCAAATGTAATGATCATCGGATTGGCACTATTACGTTATTGACAAATCATGCTTCCATAAGAAGCGGTACATGTACGTGTAGATGGAGGGACCATTTCGTTCTGGCTAGAGTGAAAGGCTATAATGGGTATTAATATGGGCCGAAGCTGTACATACCGGTATCAACGTAGCTAGTCGTTTTCAGACCTAGATCAGACTATTGAGTATGCCGGGTTTTCTGAGCCCCTGGCCGGTAGTCATGCATACATGGCCAGGGCTGAAATATACCGAAGGAAAATTATGCATAACAATCTGCGGTAAGTTAAATGGGGTTGGTTATTATACAGAAGAGGCAATGGAGGATGTTGGCTCAGGGAAGGTACATGTCAAGTTCTGCATGGTGAATTCATTGCACTGGTACAAGTCAATGAGGTCAATACGTACTATATACATGTAGCCGCTGCTTGGTTAATGACCAGATGCTACTCCTCCAAGTCAAAATTACAGCGGCCATAGGTAAACATTGCCTGATGCCGCCCTACTGGTCCTGATGGTCATCGTTATCGGAGATGGACGGACCATTGGAGCAGTACACAGATGAGCTCTTGCTACCTGCACCGGCCACATTGGATTGTGTTTCAGAGGATTGATCTTCTGCACTTACTTCACCCTGAGAAGCAGCAGCAGCGGCAGCATCACCAACAGCAACATCATTGGACTGCAGCAGTGGCGTCGCCGTTTCTGAGTTACACACCTTTGACGCGCTCTTGAAGATCTTCGGCTCATCTTCATTTTTCTCAGCGAGGTGCCGGACATTGGTTGAACTGGCCCGTGGATGAACGCCATCACCATCAAGAGAGCCTTGGCTGGACTTCTCATTCTCCCGAGGCATCTTACTCTGTAGTGACTCCCACTCCGCTCTCCAAGAGGACGGATTCCACTCATTACGGCTCGAGTCATCGTCACTCTCCGATGCCGTGATCACACTGCGGAACTGCTCTGCCTCGCGGCCTACCTCCTCTTTCAGATGAACACTTCGCTGATACATGAGCTTCGTCTTGCGCGCCGGAAACGTCTCCCAAAGAGCGGCCATGCCTCCGGTCGCCTCCGACACTTCTTCCGTTGTGACGAAGCTGATGGGCCCGTTGATCATGACGCTGCTCGACAACGTGCTGGCAGGACTCTGTGGCAGCTTGGACTGCCTCAGGACGCTATCCATGGCCTCAGCCATCGCCAGCTCTGGACACTTGAAGCCCTTGCCACCGGAGAACATTGCACCCTCCTCGTGACCACAGGGCCCTGGCTGGGCACAGTAGGTCAGCAAGCGCACCCACTCACTGTACGGCTGCATGCGACTCAGGAATGTTCCTGGACAGTGCAACACCCCCCAAAAACCAGCAACATACAGAAGTGAGCACAAGCTAACAAGTAGACACATGGCATCAGGGTATATGATTATTTTCATGTGCTGCAAATCTACATGTATATCACCAGCCATCTAAAATGGCAGATGGTGTACACCTACATCAGGCCACACTTCAGACAAACTCTACAGTCATACCGGTACACTCAGCGCATGGCGAGATTTATTTATCATCATAGTACTGTAGAGTAGTCCTGCAGTAGTGTTGGGACCCCAAGAACACGCGTTATCCTCAACCTGCTGCTGGGAACTTGGCGGGGTGGCCTGACAGTACGAATGTGAATCATTGAGTCGTGTTTGACAAGGCCTTTTCAGGCCTTCACCCAACATGACCGTACACACCGTCAATGTTGGGAAATGGAAACGCCATGATAGTAGTGCTGGCCGGGGTATCAGAAAATAAGAATGTGGCCACTGAGGTCTTTCGTGGACTGGTTTGCATGTACAGAATCCCAACTCATTCGCACGCTTACATATCACACACACCAATACACATTACGGTAACACATGCAGTGAGTTAACTGTTCTGTACCTTCTTCATCGTAGACGAGTATCTCTCCGGAACTCAGACCGAGCCACAGCGTGTCCAGGCACGTCTCCATGCTGGTGATGACGGTCTTGCTGACGCCGAGCGTGTGACTGGCGCCCGGCTGGCTGTCCAGCGCGTGTGTGATGTCAATGGTGCAGCTCTGCCTGTGCGTGTGGCTGTTCCAGCCGTTGAGCAGCCAGTGGTCGTACACGCTGCACCAGACCGTGTTGCCGTCCATGCTCAGCTTCATCTCCTCGATCTGGCGGCCCTCCACGGCGCTGGCCATGAACTGGCACTTGAACGCCAGTGTGTCCACGTCGTAGATGAAGATGTACCACTTGGATGCACACCACAGGTTCTTGCCCACACAGACCATGGAGCTAACTGGAAAGTCACCGACCTGTTGTAAGCGTGTCACGGATTTGATAGAGGTGGAGCAGAAGACACATCAGTAATTTGTACCAAAGTGAAGCAACCAGAACAGTTGAGCTTAGACAATGTTTTTAACAGTTACACTTTAAAGTGCACGTGCACCCCCTAAAAACGTCGGCCTAGGTTCAGCATGCTCATAATGACTATGAATGACATGCACCAGCCATCCTACACATATGCGGCCGTGCACACCCCCCCCCCCCTCCTAAAAGGGGGACCAGCTATGCCCCTGTACAGTGAGTAACACTGAGAGAGAGAGAGAGAGAGAGAGTGTGTGTGTGTGTGTGTGTGTGTATGTGTGTGTGTGTGTCTGGTGTGTGTGTGTGTCTGGTGTGTGTGTGTCTGGTGTGTGTGTGTCTGGTGTGTGTGTGTGTGCGCGCGCGCGTGCGTGCGTGCGTGCGTGTGTGTGTGTGCTACTTTATTCAAGGCTCTTTCTACAGTACTACATGTGCCGTCCCTCGTTAGGATGACAATAGCTGCTGCAAGCATGCGCACACAATTCCTCCAGTGTCCAACAGTTGCAATTACATGTAAAGAGGTCTGGATAGACATACTGTTACAGGATCATGACATCAAGTCAAGACCATCCATGGTGAGCAAATCCAGAAGGACAGGAGGTCGCAGTGCCTTACATTGAAGCTTCGCGTGGTCAGATTATTCTTGCAGCTGGCTGGAATCATGCTGATACGTCCATCCATGGTGCTGATAGCCACATTGTCCTTGCACACCGCCATAGCAAAGATGCAATCATCGATGCCCGAGATGCGGAACTTCGTCGAGCCCTGACCCACGTTCTTGGCATCGTAGACCAGTATCTGTCCCGGCCGCAGGCCATCCTTGATGCCCAGCCACACCATGTTGTTATTCACAACCAGGGCGTTCTTGACCTATATAGCGCCGGCAAGGCAAAGATAGTCACAACAGGAAATGCAGGTTCGATGGACTTCTCGTGTGCTCTGGATGGCAGCCGTGAGTCAGTCAAGTGTCAAGTCAAGTCGCGGCGGAAAAGCACGAGCTTCAGTGCAGTGTGGCCGGGAGGAAACAGCTGTGCTAGGAAACACATGTATAGGGTGTTTGGCATGGCATGTTGAGAGTGTGTAGCCGGGTCGTTACGTTTACTGCCTGACAGTATGTCATTGAACTGTCACCACAGTCCAAAATACACGTAGTGCCATCATACATAGATTGCTTGAATTGGGCCAATATATACAACGAGGTTCACCACAAGCCCTCCAGCGAAAGTGTGATTTCCACAATCAAGCAAAATGCTACTTGAACATTACAGAAGACACGTCTTCATTGTAATCACTATTATTTATTACCCTGGCTCATGGCTGTACGCACCTGCAATTTGTCAATGCTGAACCTCTTCACCAGCTCCATCGTGGTTGGCTTGATGATCAGAACATCAATGCCATGCGCATCGTCGCAGAAGAGCCACACGTCCCCGGTGGCCGGCACAAACGCGGCCTTGCGCACCGACCTGGTCGTGGGCGCCGCAAAGTAGCCCAGCATGCTGATCACGTCCGGACTGAGCAGGCTGTCGACCACTTCATCGGCGCTGGGCCGAGTGGTGATGCTGTCTCGCCAGCACTGGAACATCACACCGCTCCAGCCCGGCAAACCACAGTACACATTAGGTACCTAAACAACAGCAGTAGCGGTAGTAGCACCAGCAGAAAAATGATATACTGTAAAACCTGGGTTAAGCAACCACCCCACGGCGCAAGCAAAAGCGGTCATTAAAGTCAGGTGGTCTTTAGAACCAGGTCCCACAGTGTCTGTGTAGAACTGTCGGTGCATGGAAAAACGGTCGTTAAGAGCAGGTGGTCGCTAAAACCAGAGATCGCTTGCACTAGGTTTTACTGTACCAATGGTTCCATAAAACTAAAGCCCAAATTCCCAAAGTCAGTCACAAGGCTCGGAGCCACATTTACGGGCGGAAGAAGTTCTTCATGTCACATGAAATGATAACACCTAATGTTCGAACAACAATAACGACATCACACATCTCAATCCCAGTATAACGTTAGTTCATAGCTTTCTGAACAATCGGCATACTCTGCCAAGATCATCATTGTGATCACCTGGTCTGTATGACCACTTTGCCATTATACCGAACATGCAGCTATGGGGTCACCCTGGCTTCAGAGCCCATCTGTGTTCAAAGACCATGCTGCATAGGCTAGCTATTGCAGTGGTTGTTAAATCAAGTTTGACCTGTACATGCACATGCTGTTAAAAAATAAAACGGCTTACATCCATCAGTCTTGGCCGTTGTCCTGCTATGACAGCATTGGTGATGTGTGCCTCATTTAGCTCAGTGAACGGTGGGCTGAGCGCCAGCAGCTCGTACATGAAGATGGCGAGAGAGTAGATGTCCACTTTGGTCGTGTACTCTTCCATGCCGTTGTAGCGCAGGATCTCTGGTGCCTGGAATCCCTTCGTGCCTTCAAAACCCTAAGGTACCACATCAATACATGCAGCATCACAGGTGTACATGCACCGGCGTGGAGTTAGGTGCAGCCCTTTCGAAAGATCTCTTATCCTACTGCACGTAAATGTAGATGTACATGGTGTGCTGTAATGGCTAATGGAGTGCTGTAATGGCTAATGGAGTGCTGTAATGGCTAATGGAGTGCTGTAATGGCTAATGGAGTGCTGTAATGGCTAATGGTGCGCTGTAATGGCTAATGGTGCGCTGTAATGGCTAATGGAGTGCTGTAATGGCTAATGGAGTGCTGTAATGGCTAATGGTGCGCTGTAATGGCCAATGGTGCGCTGTAATGGCTAATGGTGCGCTGTAATGGCTAATGGTGCGCTGTAATGGCTAATGGTGCGCTGTAATGGCTAATGGAGTGCTGTAATGGCTAATGGAGTGCTGTGACGTATATGTACATGTACACTGTACTGGGTAGCATGGAGCGTTACCATTGCTACCCACCATATTGAACCCGAAGGACATATAAGGGCCTGCAACAGCCAGGCACCATACTATCGGAGGCTGCACATTCAAATCAAGGTTTGATAGTTCACACGTTGTCAACATTCTGCAGGCAATGCGCCCTGGCCGGTCTCCTGCGGCATCGGATCATCTCCTATGGGAGAGGGCTCGCACGGCCATTGTCGGTTAACTCACCTTGATTCCTGACGGAGCTACTGTTGACGCAATGCCATAGTCGGTGAGCTTCACATTGACCGCCTGCTCAATGTCCATGGAGAACAGCAGTACGTTGGCACTCTTCAGGTCACGGAAGATGATGTTACGCGAGTGCATGTAGGACAGCGCCATAGCAACCTGGAGGAGCATGGTCAACAGTACACATCGCTTAGCAACCGCCACTGATACAACAGATTGAATGCCGGTATAGTTCTGCTTACCAGTACACAGTTTCTGCAGTTGATACGTATGACTGTGAGTGTTAGAATGGTAACCATTGAACACAGTATGTGAGCATCAGGCATGCTAATCTTATCATACACAAGGTATCATCATCAGGCCGCCCTAGCCATAGTCTTGCAACAGTGCTTCATACTGCAAGGCAGAACTTTCCACACAAGTTGACAGAGCGGCAATAAACCTGCACAGGCTGTGCACATGCACATACAGCTGTATGCAACACGCAGTTTCATGGCCGAACCACAAAACAATCTTCAGACAACGGATTTTTGGTGATGATTGGCTTAGTGCTACCAGTGTGGGAATCTCCCAGTTCCATGCACAACCTGAACATCCTCATCTTCGCATGCCGGAAAACACACACACACATGCATGCTGAGCCCAATGCACATTGCCAAATAAGGAATGCGTGGGCAGTACATGTGAGCCCACTGGGTTCAGGAGGATTGAACTCTTCAACATCCTACGCACCCATACCGGCCCGCAGCTGTAGGGTGCTGCTGGCACAAACGACAGCATTGTGCGGCAGTGGGCTATACAATGTGCATATACAGGGCCGGTCGTGGCAACTCCAAGCAGAGTGCTTGATGCACCAGTTGCATTATAAAACACTTAAAAAAAATTTAAGGTGCATATACATGTACAAGATGCATATACATGTACAAGATGCATATACATGTACAAGGTGAATATACGTGTAATAACTGAGTAGCTACCTGTGCTCCAATGTTGAATAGAAGCATCCTCTCCAGCTTTGGCTTGCTCTTCTCGGCTATCTTCTTGCACAGATCGCTCAAGGAGCCGCTTGGCGCCAACTCCAAGACAAGTTGCAGTGGCTGCAGTGTGACTCCGACCAGGCCAACAAGGTGACGGTGGTAGATTCGCTTCAGTATTGCCACCTACACGAGAAAGAGCAGCATAAATCAAAACGAACACATCTCACAGGGCCTACCTCTGTTCAGGTCATTCAAGTCCAACATGTTTCCAGTGGGGCGTTGATCATAGTGAGCCGGATGTTCTCCTCCTGGCATTCATCTAACTGTAATATTGATATAACATGGTGTGCGGGAGGGCAACTTCCGCTTGCTCCATCAGTTTGCATAACATCATAGGCCACTGCATTTAGCTCTACAACAGCACTGCACCAACAAGGTCACCGGGGTAATTCACATACAGCATGTACATGTACAAGCAAGTGATATGTGCAGTTAAGATCAATGGCAAAATGCTCGTACAATCATGATGTGAACCTAAACTTGGAATATTGCACTGCATTTTAAAAGGGACATTGGCCTGCTAGGCCAAGTTATCCAACCCATACTGAGTTTCAAAACTAATAGAAAGACCCCTGCTGCTCGTCAAGAATGAAATCAATCCCGTGTGCAGAGTCTTTGCTCTTCGCCTGTTTAGCACACCACGGATTAACTCCGAGTTGCACAGCCAGTGGCTCATGTCTGTGGTATTAAATATTTACCGGCTTTGCCTCTTCACATGCCATGTAGATCTATAGGGAGTCCTATCACCGATTAGTTTGACTTCAAAGACCTCTATACTGTAAAACCGGAAAGTTTTTAAACGTTTTTGTAAGTTTGGCATGATAACGTGCAGAAAGTTTAACAATGGCTACCTGGTCACCCATCTGTATGCACATCTTTACACAGATATCTTGCGATAACGTTTCTTCACATAACGAAAAAAATTGGTCGTTAAAACGTTAGACTTTGTGACTCGTTAGACCTTCCGGTTTAACAGGACTTCGAAACAGTCTATGAGCTGATCTATATAGTGGGGGCTACTACAAGTACACTGTCTGGCCAGCGTGATTTGCTACACTGGCATCTTGGACGTGTGGCAGTATGGTGGTAACTTGATAAGTTACTAATCACATGTTTACTAGATACCAGTACCTCTTGTCTGATCTCCTTGAAGACAGCACCTGATTCTCCTTCCTGCTCATTGAACGTTTTGATGGCAACTGATAGATCGCCGACCTCTCCTCGATACACCGTACCGAAGCCGCCCGTGCCCAGCCGACTGTCCTCGTCGCGTGTACATGCCACGTCGTTCTCCTTGAGAAGGAACTGCTCGGGCAGGTCAAGCAGCAGTAGCTCGGGGACAAGGTTTTCCAGCGGTGAGTCGGTATCCTTGTGGCGTGGGCACGTGATGACCCTGCCTGTACGAGCTGCTCGCGAGCACTCTTCGTAGGAAAAGAGATGCGGGTAGGTGTGCCCTAGCTGCGTGCACATGGTGCACGGTATGATCATCTCCATCATTGGCTCCCCGGTGAACGTGTTGTCCTCGAGACCAGGATACCATTCTTGCGCCAGCTTGTTGATATGATCGATAATGAGACCAAGCACGTGACGACCCTTAAAGCCAACTGATGTCATCGTCTCAATGCCGCTGTATTTCGGGCGCGTGCTTGCATATGGACGAACACAGAAGAACAGTTCTGGGTGAGCAAACAGCACGCCTTGACGCCAAATGGTGATCGCCCGTTTCGCCCTGCTACTTGCACGGCTGTCCTGGCTTGCCTCCTCCTCACTCTGGTCAGAGCTAGCATGCTCAAGATTGGCATCACTGTTGTCGGACGCGTCCATGAGTGTGCGCTGTGTAGTCGGTGTTGCCGCTCCGGGAACAGGCTTGCTGTCTGCCGATGCTCCTTTAGGCAAGTCGTGCCATTTGTCTGACAGGATGCCAAACTTCTCGATCACTTCACGCAGCGTGTAGATGAGTCGCGAGATCAGACGAGACCAGAATCCTGCCGGTATGCCGATGACCTTGTGGTGTCGGCGTAGTACCAGTTCTGGCTCGTGCACATTGGTGTTGAACTCCTGCACCAGTGCCGGGGCCTCCTCCGGTAGCATTGACGGGATCATGATTCTCTCACTGTCCAGCGGCAGTGCAATCTCAAACCTGGCCAGCAAGCTCAGGTACTGGTCGAAGAGCTGCTTGGGAAAGCGCTTGTCACGGAACAGCTGGGGCACGTCGCTTCTCAGCAGAATGCCTGCAGACATGTATGGGTTCCGCTCGCGTACAGTGACCACCTTGGCCATCATGTCGCTCAGCCAGCTGGGGTCAGTGAAGTAGAGGTCACAGAGACCGGAGGCGGAATCATCATAGTGCAGTAACGTGCCAACATTGTGCAAGAACTCAGCGGCATACTTAAGCTCCTCGTCGTTATCGATGTCCGTAATGCCACGGTCCTCGATGATAGCCTTCAGCTCTTCGTGACGAATGATCTGGGGAGCTTCCTTGGCCTCCAACTCGGCACGCTTCTCATTGATGGCACGATCAAGGCGAAAGTAGCTGGCAGGAATCCGTTCGCCCATCACCTTGCCAGACCGAAGCTCGTACTGCTCGGCCTTGTCGTAGATAAGATTCTTCAGGTACTCTACGCTGTGAATGCCGGCTGGTGTGTCGGCATTGCTGATACTTGTGATGAACACATTGAGCTCACAGTACTGCGGCAGGTCAGTCAGATTGCTGGCTGCCTCCAACATCTCTGTTGCGTAATTCGCTGCCTCCATCTCCGGCGTCACCTTATCCTTGTGCGTAGCCACAATAATGATGATCGATCTGCCAGCCTTAGCGACGATGTTATCAAGCCAGGTGCGCAGCTCTTCGATGCCTTCTTTGCCGTGCATGATATTGAAGAGAACGAGGTAGAGCGAGCGCTTGGTCATGAAGCACTGGTGTGTTGCGTAGTACACCTCCTGGCCGCCAAAGTCCCAGATGTTGAAAGTGAACTTTGTATGGCTCATCGTTGGTCGGTATTGCCACTCGTTCAGAGCAATACCCACGGTGGACAGGTTGTCGGCAGTTTGGCCACGCAGACGAGCCACCAGTGTTGTCTTTCCTGAAACATTGACAGGATTAAGAAAAGCAAACGAGAGGAGTTGGAAAGGCAAACTCCTTCATGCTAACTCATGCCCCAAGCATGTGCAAAACTGGCAATCAAAACAGAAAGATTGAAGTTGTCACATTTCAGTCTGAACTCATTTGCTGCTCACATTAGAGCCTATAAATATTCTTCTTTGAAGTAGAATAACTAGAATCGGTAAATACTAAATATTCAGGCCGAAACCTATGGGCCAAATGCACAGTCAAGCCGGTCTACAAATGAAAACAAGAGATAGCTTGCACCATGGACATCTCCCATCAATGCCTTAGCATCGGCAAAAGCAACCATTGTGAAGCTCGCCGTAATGGGCTCTCACCTCTCCCAGCAAAGCCGACGACCATCAGTTTCATTCTGTAGTACGGCTCGCATCCACGCAATCGCTGGCGGAGGTACAGGATGCACTTCCGCGGCGCCTGCAGGTACTCGGGTGGAGGGTCAGAAATCTCATTCCCACTTAGCTTCAGGTCCATTAGGTTGCTGAGTCGGCCCATGATGTTGGGCAATACAAGGATCTTTGGGTTATGGCTGATGTTCAAGTTCTGCAGTGGGGTGAGGTTGCAGATTGTTTCCGGCACCTGTCAGAACGGAGCAAACAGCAAATACATCAACCCATGGGCGACAAGTACATGTCATGTATGTGTAGCTCAACATTCTCAAACACCGGCACCAGAATGCTTTGTAATGACAGCTTTAGGTCAAATCGTAAATACTGGAACTCTTAGAGCAGCTACCTGCACAAAGTCCCTGTTCACAATTATCTACTCTCTAGTTTACACAAAGGCAGAAGGGAACAGAGACAACCGGCTAGGTCATTATTGCAACACTGCATTTCATGATGCACATAGCACGGCTAAGGCAATCCTCAGACACCTGATAATCTGTATATCATCTGGCTACAAACTTATACCCAGGCAAGCAGTAAAACAAGTCACGGTTTGCGTCCGGTCGAGTTTTCCGCATCCGTAGGGACGCTACCACCCAGTAGTAAAAACCGTGGTTGGCTACAAAACCTTGCAATCGCCATGCAAAGTGGTCATTGGCTACCCCAGCCATGTATTACTTGGAATAAAACAAAAATAAAAGTGTGACATTAAAGTTAGTGAGACATGGCGCAGATCATCGTGTGCTCTCGGGTTTATATACCGGTGTGTGTGTGGGGGGGGGGGGGCTGAGGTGTTCGTGTACGGTCCTGAGCGTGGTGCTATGCTTAGGGCGTTGGATTGATAGTTTGCACTGCTCCACTGCTATGCTGTATACTACGCTCTGCCCTGCTCAATTGCTGTACTGTGTACTACACTCCGCCCTACGTGACATCCGAGTACTTTGAGTACTCTCAGTACACTGTGTGCTCTCTCTCTATCTCTCTATCTCTCTCCCTCCCTCCCTCCCTCCCTCCCTCCCTCCCTCCCTCCCTCCCTCCCTCCCTCCCTCCCTCCCTCCCTCCCTCCCTCCCTCCCTCCCTCCCTCCCTCCCTCCCTCCCTCCCTCCCTCCCTCCCTCCCTCCCTCCCTCCCTCCCTCCCTCCCTCCCTCCCTCCCTCCCTCCCTCCCTCCCTCCCTCCCTCCCTCCCTCCCTCCCTCTCTCTCTCTCTCTCTCTCTCTCTCTCTCTCTCTCTCTCTCTCTCTCTCTCTCTCTCTCTCTCTCTCTCTCTCTCTCTCTCTCTCTCTCTCTCTCTCTCTCTCTCTCTCTCTCTCTCTCTCTCTCTCTCTAGTTGATGCTTACTGTCTACAAAATTCAAAGTATGACACTTGGGTCTAAAAGCCCTAAGCACTGTCGGAGTAGGCACCCAAGAAACCAACCTCCACAAAGCGATTGTTGCGGATGTTCAAGCTCAGCATCTGCGTCTGCTGTATGCCACGGGGCAACAGGTTCAGCTCATTCGCGCTGACGTCCAGTATTGCCATACTGCTTGTCCAGGAGCACTCGGGCAGCTCGCGCAGCTGGTTACGCGACAGGTTGAGATTCCGCAGCATCGGTAGCTGCACGACCTCCTGCGGGATGGCTTGCAGCGCGTTCCGGCACAGATCCAGTCTCTGCAGTCCCGTGCACTTGATCACCTGCGTCGGCATCTGTAAGTGCACGGGCAGCCGTAAACAAAAGAAATCAAACATCTGTGACTGCGTATAGTGTAAAAAGTACAGTTCTGACCTGCAAGTGCTCTAATGTATACGAAGTCGTATTTGCAACATTTGACGCGTGATAAAGACAGTTACAGACATGGCATTTCAACGAAGTGTGCAAGAACTCTGAAGTGTTTACACATCTACCCGGCTCACCTTGGTGAGGCCATTGGAGGCTAAGAAAAGACGCTTGGCCCATTTGATAGCTTGCAGCCACATGGGATCAATGTGCCTCAGCGCCAGTCCATGCCAGTCGACGTTTCCATTGTCGCGATTGCAGTCCGTGTTCAGTAGTAGCTCCAGGGCAGCCAGTTTTTCATTGGCACGCAGCGCCACATTGATTACGTGTACAGTCTTCACACAACCGTCCAGGAGAATGCGTCGGATGTGCGTGATGTGTGGCTCCGCCATGCCGATTGACTGGCGAGCCGGCTGCGCCCGCGGCCTGCTCAGCGTGGTGCTGACGGCCTTGCTGCGGCCGCGCGGTGACGTGCGCGTGAACAGCTCCTTGGCGCGGGTCAGCGGAGAGCTAGCCGCAGGGGCCGCTGTCTCCGTCGCATTCTCCGGTTCTGCGGGTGGCGCCTCGGCATTCCGGTTGAACAGACTGCGAATGCAATGCACGTCACCGGTGGACGCCGCATCACAAAGTAGGAGAAGAGCAGCTACATTGTAGTGGCGAAACTTCACCGCCGTCTCGACACAGTGATCGTAGTTCGTGGCACCCTTGATGATGAACTTGGCTGCGCCCTCCAGATACCCGTAGGTAGCACAGACGTTCAGGCCGTTGTTGAACGTGTTCTCCTCCACGTCTTCCTTGCGCAGACCTTGCAGTATCAAGCCCAGGTTGTCCGCATTGCGCTCAGCTGCATAAATCACCTCTGCAGAGAACAGTAACACCACAGCGCCATCCCAAATTGAGCAATAGAGTAATCCTGCACCACCGTGTGATACAGGGATTGCAGCTTTCCACGCCCAACTTCAGCCATGGAGCATCACTGTATGTTACGCCGTTTAGCCTGCAAACGTAGCAAGTCACGAGTCGTGCGGTGCATTGTGATCAGTACCAGTGCTGTCTGTGTCACCATGACGACACTAGTACATGTACATAGCATTGGTTAATTGCATATTATGAGTGTGTGTGTGTTTGTGCGTGCGTGTGTGTATGTATGTATGTATGTATGTATGTATGCGTGCGTGTCATACTGGAGGAGTGACATCCAGGGCTCTCTCACCAGCGGATCGCAGGATCTTGATGACGTCCGTTTTACCACCGAGCTCTGCAGTCTGTAGTGCTGTCTTCCCATAGCCATCCTGCTGAAAGAAGTCCGCCTTGGCGCGAAGCAGCCGCTGCACGCACTTGGTACGGCCGCTGCTAGCAGCCAGATGCAGCGGTGTATATCCACTGTTAGCCTTGCAGTTCACATCCCCTCCGAACATCACCAGCAGCTATAACACAGCCGCAGCCACAGACACAGTCATGTATGACAGATAGTTATGTGAGAGACATGCATGATAGACATTGAGCAAGTGCCAATGAAGCCGCATAATTATATGCTTGGCATTGTGGGTCTCCGTAGTGGTCTGGACATTTGCCAAGAAAGTTCTGCAGGGGCAGGAGGAGGGGGGGGGGGGGGGGGGGGGGAGCAGGCAGTACGTATCTTCAGAATTGTCCACGGCAAAGACTGAAACAGACATCTCGGAGAATCGCACTTGTGTGTTCACGCCGCGGTAAGCGTTTGCAGCAGTACTGTACAGTCGTCCCTCTCTAATCCGGCACTTTATAATCCAGCACCCTCGATAAACCAGCACAATTTTCAGTAGCCAAATGTCCTCTTCATGCACATTGCAGCAGTAAATCAGATTTGTTAATCCAGCACCCTCCCTAATCCAGCAGATTTTCGTGGCACAAATGGTGCCGGATTATAGAGGGACCACTGTACTAAGTACAGTTGCCACCACTGTCTACCACTGTCTACCACTGTCTACCACTGTCTACCACTGTCTACCACTGTCTACCACTGTCTACCACTGTCTACCACTGTTGATGATCAATTTGCCCTGGACTGTTCACAGTTTTACACTGCGTTGACTTTGTCGTACTTTGCACAACAGCATGATCGTCCTTTTTTAATTTCCGTAACACGTGTATAGTTTTGTAGGCTATGCCGGTACTGTTTCCACACTACCATGCCCAAGTTTTGGGCATGTAAGTGGTGGGCTCAGCACCGAGGTGGGCTCAGCACCGAATCTCTTTGCCGTCGTTCAGAGGACCAGCAGGACAGTAAGGTAGGCAGGCGTCTTGGTTACAAAATAATAATTGCTGAAATAATGCTCATCCCACACGAAGTCTGGACTGGACAGCAGAAGTGTTGGCCCCTTTTGTGTACATTTGTGATCATGTCAAGCAGAGCTGTCCTAAAGTTAGCGGAGGGGCACATAATGAATAAGTTCAGTTCCTAGCTTGGCTAGATCACTGAATGAAACAAACTGCCCTTTTTGAAGCCAACTGGCCTCTTTGAAGCCAACTGGTTAGTACAGTAGCGCTCGTGGTCTGCTCACCTTTAGTATTTCATCGTGTCCATAGCTGGCTGCTTCGTGCAGTGGCGTGTACCCATACACACCAACACGTTTCTTCAGCAAGCCATCCACATTACCGCCTTTATTCAACGCGTCAGACACTTTATTCAGCTTTCCCTCCTTGCACCAGCGATGAAACCGCTGATCCTCAGTGATACCGCCACTCGTACTCGTTGTACTACTACTGCTGGATTTGGAGCGCAGCGACGAAATCAGAGATCGTCGAGAACGAATGGAAGCCGCCGGGCTACCAGAGCCCGTGGGCGAAGATAGCGGTACTGCGCTCGCGCGGCGCTGGGGAGCTTGTTCCGCTTTCGTCGGATCCTCGTCCTCCGCTGCATCATCCGCTTGTTGCATTATCGGACAATATCAATGAGCGAGATGAACGTGTCACTCCCATGGATATCGACGATCGGGTGTGCACGGCGGCAGCCGGCCGCCGGCCGAGCAACTGTGAGTGACCGTGATCAATGCCGCCACCACCAGGGCTTGTATCACAGTTCGCACGTTCAAGGTCGCTTTCCGCGACTTCGGCTCCGGAATGGAAAGTGTTCCGAAGAAACCGACCACCGAAATCCTTGTTCTGCAAATGAAGCGAACACCGCCCAGTGCGTTCAAACACCGGCTGCTGCGGATCTGGCTGACGCTAGCCGCCAAGGACTTTGTGGTGAACTATGGTTGGTGGCAGTGAAGGTCAGGCTGCTGTTACACTAATACTACGTCTATTCCCTGAGTGGAAGCACACGAGTGTCGGTCGGTGCGAGAAGAAGAGCTAGAGTCAGTAGAGAAGGACGACCAGCTGATTGATTCTTGCCTTGAAAATAGTTTTGTTGACAGAACAAACAGCCGCGCTAAGCACTTACCGGTATGTACGTCTTTGCACCTAGGCTATAGTATGTACATTTCTATCATTAAATTTTTATGTCAAGGCCCAAAGTAAGTACCGGTAAGCTATTCTGCACGAAAATGTTACGGTCTTTCGGCAGTTCCTCGTGATCCCGATCACATGACCACAACTTTATAAGGCATCATGGCGAATGACGTGAAGTCGGCATGTCCTTGGTGTCGAGAGAAAGGGAACCATTATTACCATTGCCTGTCATTCCATAAAAGGTTCATGGTGCTGGTGCTGCTGCATGCTCGTCCAGTTTGGTCCGGGGGGGGGGGGGTGGAATAGGAGACACTACATGACCCTCTCTGAATGTTGAGCAATGTACCCGAGTGTGTGTGTGTGTGTGTGTGTGTGTGTGTGTGTGTGTGTGTGTGTGTGTGTGTGTGTGTGTGTGTGTGTGTGTGTGTGAGAGAGAGAGAGGGGGGGGGGGGGGAGAGGGCTAATGAAACACCATTCGTGGATAACGTTATCCTGTTGTCACAAAGTACAACCACACGATTGTCATGGGCTGTAAAGCCATAGCAACTTCCAAGCCTTGGGTGGGTATACTGATTGTGAAGCCATAGCAACTTCCAAGCCTTGGGTGGGTATACTCTTGACAGTCGACCTGCAAGTAACTGTCAGTGGTGATGACATACAGCTTAGAAAAACACCAGTACTTTGGGATTCACCAGGTAAACTTCTCACACAAGGTCCAGGATGTCGGGTATGTGCAACACGTCATAACGCAGACCATGTGCTTATCTCTGGTGTTTACATGTTTCATGCAGTGATCCCGTCCGGGACTTGTCTGACATCATAGTAGCAGAGATCTCCTGTGCGTACACCGTGTTAGGCATCATGCCAGGGCAGGATTCTTGGGGGAAAGCACCACCCAGCGCAGCAATCGGCACTGCCACTGCCGCGTATACTGGTATATTGTTCCTTGACCGTGACAAGTGGCGTGGCACTTGGTTTGACGGATCACCGTACTGCTAACAGTTACTATACTGTGAGTATTTGACACTGCTGAAATACGCCCGCCGTAACTGTACAAAATCTATGCACGAAAGGAAACAATCCCTCTCACTCATACACGGGGAGTTTGTCCTTTCCTCCTTAAAATGCCTCATCAGGTCCGTTCCACTACACTCACTGCCCTAGTGAAATATGAATAAAATTTAATAATAATAATAATCATGGCCTGGCAGAGAGTTTAAAAGCAACACGCGTCACCTGTGAGCTAAGAACACTTGTTTGTGAACTGTGGGCTTGCACTGTGCTGTGCACACTCTTCGCCTTTCAGAGCTTGCATGCAGCGCTTCTGTGATGCAGACAAAACCTGCAGAAGCAGCCACCTGATTTCAGCAACCACCTGGTTTGCACTTGACATACTATACTGCGATAATTAAAAAAATAATGCCCTATTTTCCGGGGTATTAGCTGCACCGGGTTCTTAGCCGCACCCCCTCCCCCCTTCGGACCTAAATTTCGGAGTATAGGCCGCAGGTCAGATTTTGAATTTTTGGCCATCCAAACTTGACAGGTACTAGTACATGCAAGATATTTACCAATGTTGGGAAGCACAACTGAAGTCCCAGCAAAAGTTTCTTTGTTTGTACTTGTACCGCTTTGAACTGACAACATAGAAGGATTGTGGAACTGCAATGATGGATTTCTGTGCATGAAAAACACATAATAAGTGGTCGAATGTCATACATGCTGCATATTGTGCATGGCCTGCCCGCCGTATCACTGGTTGATTCATGGCCAGCATTCGGAGTCCAAGCCGCAGGGGCGATTTCTGAGAGTTTTTTTAGGGGTTTCAAAGTGCGGCTAACACACCGGAGAATACGGTAATTATTTCACTGTACATGTACCCTTGTTTGGCATCAGGCACCGTATATTTAACGGTGCAAAAACCCACCCTGGTTTCGGAGACCACTGCAGTCAGACAGGCCGGTTCTACCTGTGGTCGCTAAACCTAGTCTTGATGGTACATACATACGTGGAAACTCGGAGTTACGAGAAAGATTTTTGGTCTCTGTTGTTCTGCCTTGTGTACGTGGACATAAGTATAGTTATAAGCAAGGCTCCTATACTACAGGACAAGTACGTTTCAGAAACACAGGTATGGATAATCAGTTTTTGGTCATAAAATTGCCTAATCACTGGGCAAGACAAATAGTCAGCACTGTCCGATTGCGAAGCTGCTTTGAAGTCTGGGTGTTCATGTGATGCAGCCGAGCTCCCTGTTGATTCTCCCAGCAGTTTCACTCTCCCTGCAACAGTGGCTACCCACCTCCCTCCATCGTTGAAAATAAACTTCAATCATTATAATAATAATACCAGATTCAATAATCCGCATTATCACCACAACCAGTATGTGCATCTCTGCACGAAATTATATCCGATCAGCAGCGTTTTGTTAAATGTGATGTATCCTCAAGAGGACATTCAGGGTCGTTGCCTTGGGCATACTTATATAGCGAACAAACTTCTCTTCGATTGGAAGTTCTGTGACGAATGTATGTGCGCTGGTGCATCTTGACTGGCACGCTAAGCATGTGTGACGTCATCAGGCCCTTGCTCGGCGAAATACTTGATAAGGGTCTTCTCTTAACTTTGTCTTGGCATTGAAAAAGCAACCTTGAAAATGAGACTGGAGTGTCCCTTTTCTGACTCGTTAGATCAAGCACTTCGTTACAGTCCACAAAGGACGCTTGAAACAGTTCCGTCCGCACATTAGGCACTTCGTTACATACCGTATTTTCCCCATTATGCGTACACATCTCCAATAGTAGTACGTTTCCAATTGAATTTGTAGTACATGTTGAGTGTGGATCAAAAATATAAAAGGACACGTCTCTAATAATAGTACATGCCGGAATGATGTGATGGGCATTACTGGGGTACAGGTACCAGGGTCCACCTTACTTCAAGTACTTCGTTTTTCTTACCCGTTTATCATCTTTGTGTCTTTGTACACTGATTCTTACCATGGTTGGATGTATTTAAAAAGCCTTGCAGTATTATTATCACGAGTTGTTTGCCACCCAACCCAGGCAGTCAATCTTTCCCAAATCAATAAAAGTACACGTCTCCAATACTAGTACAGTCTCATATAGTAGTACAGGTCTGACCACCTTTGAAAAATAAAAGCACTGTACAATTATTGGGGCTAATACGGTATTCTTATGGCTTGTACAGTGCCCACGAATTGGCATATATGCAGCAATTCCCTATAGGAATTACTATGCGAATGATCATGCCATGTTGGTGAACCAGCAGAGTCACTTGTGGGACAGCGGGAGTCGGCGGTTTTGCTTGCATTGCAGCTAGTGCCGCAACTTTGCCAAAGCATCTCAACTGATGACGTAATCGCATAATCTCTATAGAAGCAAACCGTCTTCGCCGTTAAGAGGCAATTTACACAACGGCAGTGCATGCCGCCGGGAAGTGAAGCATGTGATCCCGAGACCTTGCTGTGACATGGGAAAACGGAAATCGATTCACAAGGCAAGATGCACGTACAGTCCACGGAATGCCACGGTATGCATTTCCAGCCAAACTGTTTTCATGGCAATGCAGTATGTCACCACTCCCAGTTTGTAATCTATGATGTACTACTAAACTGTATGAGTGACTTTCAAATGGTAAAATAGTTGTCAACTACTTTTTCCCCTTTCCCATTCCCTCAACAATAATGACTGTAGTTCTTAGCGAAAGTTTGTCTTATCGCTCTTCGAGATTTCACTGACTGTATGAGTGCGAAAAATCAATGACGTCGACGCCTCCAGTGCGGCCGCCGCGGCGCCGCATTGATTGACAACAACATGACAACATTCAACAATCGCAAAACAGAAAAGTCCAAATGTCTTTTGAATTTCACAATAAGTTTATTCGGCGTGTCACTTCGGCAGTATAGAGATCCACATTCACAGCTTGCTCAAGTGTTTCCCAGCCTTTTTCAACGGACGTCTAGTAACGTCTGGTAACCAGATCAGAATGTTTATGTTGGATATGAGTTCTTCCTGATGTACTACTTTGTGGCTCCCTTCTAGTATCTCGAAAATTGAAATGCTGTCAGACCACTATTCACTACCCAACTGACTACCGGCGCAGAAAACTATTCCATTGGCATTTGTGACCAGCGATATGGCTGAATTCGGAACGACGGTGCTCCGTCCCGACGTCAGTGCCCTGGATACGTTGACCCGTCACTTGCCTGTGTGGAACGTGCTGCCTCCAGTGGCGCTGCAACTCCGGTGTGTTTCGTCTCGAGGCGACGTCATCGTGTTTGGTACCCATCTGGACGTGGTGTTGGTGTTTTATCGTGACAACGGTGAGCTACAGAAAGTGTCTTTGGAGGTAAGTGGGTGAAAAGGCCGAGCACAAGTGTCTATGCAGGTTCTGACTTATGTACTCGTAAATAAATTCTGTCACATGACTATGGCATGTGGAGATTCATCGTTACAATATGTGCAATAAAGTCACGCTTGACTCAACCTTACACAAGGGGAAGCTTTCCTAACATGAGCACTTACATCAATCACGTCCGGGTGGCCATGGCTGGAGGCTGTGTGAATAGGCATGAGGCCTTCAAAGCCGAGCCGCTTTTTCAACAGTTTATCCACGTCACCGCCTTTCTTCAGCATCTCCGCTATTCGACTGACAACGCCCTGCTCGCAGTGGGCGTGGAACAGAACCTCCTCTGGTATCTCCTCTGGCGGTTGACTGGAAGAGAACTTCCTACTGATACTCTGGGTGACTTCGAAAAGCCCAGTGATTGGGCGCAGGGAATGTGTCCCTGTTGTTGTGCTGCTGCTGCCATCACCTCCTGACAATGTGGACGTGTCAGTGGCGGCGCGCAGCCTCCCACCACCAGTAACAGCGGCACCACCAGCAGCAGTGGAAGCCACCATCCAGTTAGCAGCAGTACCGCTGGCTGCTGGGCCTGCTTCAGGTCCATCGCCTTCATCCTGGCCTGTCAGTGTAGGTAGGAATTGAGAACGTCTGGCAGACTTGCGCCCACCACCAGGTTCGGGCTCAGACTGGCTGAAGCGTTGCTGTCGTTTCTCATCCGAAGCCATTGTCGACTACACGTCTTCACCGACTGCACGGCAGTATTTGTGTTCTGAGAGTTTTTTCTCAAGTGCAACACGTATGGTTCGTTACCATATTTGTGATGTTGGTGCCAGGTGGTTTGCAGATGCTGGGCTGGGTGCATACATTCAGGTGTTATCAGATTGCTGCACGCTTCCTTGTGTGTGGATGCATTGGTTTTGTCGTTCTTTGTTAAGATTCAGTGCAACTTCCTGTCGCAAATCACCGTTCTTGCTTGTTCTAATTAGTTTGGTTCGCGCGGAAATTTGCATGCAGCGGTTTTGTGTATACCGGGCCAATTACTTCATGATCATGGCCGTGTGGGTGCATGCGTGCATGCTGAAATGCAGCCTAGTTTGAGGTACAGGAGGAGCATAGCAGTGTAATTAAACTACTGTCTATGTGTATGCAGCGGTTTGAGGGAAAGTCTGAAGAAAAAATTGACTGTCGCCACCAGGACTCGAACCAGGTGCCCTCGCTTGTGGCTAGCGTTGTCAGTTTGCCACAAAGCTATGGTGTAGTCATCATCCAAGCAGTGACCTTTCAACATTTTCTTCAGACTTCAGTGTATGTGAATCAATATTTGTGTACTTTCCCCCGCAGGATGGATTCAAGCTATTTGCATCCAAACACCAAGAAGGCATCTCCACCACATGTTTCTCCCCGGTTCTGCCATCCGGTCAATCAAGAGTGGCTATTGGCCGGAGCTGTGGAAAGGTGCACGTGATACAATTCTCCAACAAAGATGCCGAGGTAGGACTGAATGCTGATCGGGGGGGGGGGGGGGCCTTGCTGCAAGTCTTCTTCTCAGTTTGTTTTGTGTTTGAATGTTGCTGGTCGGCTGCATTCCATGAAGTGCGTCATAGTGCACTGCTGCCAGCACAGCTGTTCCCCACCTGCAGGGCGTCGGCAGCGTTGTTGTTTGTTGTTTGTGTGCGCATGCTACATGATGTACTACGCGTAGGTGCGATGTGCTTCAGTGCCTGTCGGCCTCTCATCACCCATGTGGCGGTGTTTGATTCCGCGAACGTCTGGTGTACAGCCTTTGTTGTCCGGCTGTGGCGATCTTGGTCAGTTCAGCATTGGTGACAAGACATCTCGCCTGACTCTGTGCCATTCTGGTTCTATGCCAGCAGCTCACTTTGTTTCTGTGTTTGGATAGTCAAACGTAGTTTGCAGGCGTTCTAGTGTCAGTTAGTATTGGCTTATGATAATAACGTTACTGCAATTGATCATCACATGGCGCCACGTAAGAGGACGTTTTCTAGTGTGCCCAGGAAACGGCGTTCGTGAGAATTCCTTTTCTCACGATAACATGGCGCGTGTTATCGTGTTGAGTATGTATGAGTACAGTTGCATCCGACATGCGGTCAGACTTGCACGGTCCTACTGGATCCTTATCCCTTGTGCGATTATGCTCCCACGGAATTATTTCGCTGCATTTCGTTGTGACCGGCACCACATTTCCTCCTGGCTGAAGACATGGCGGTGCGTGATGTGCAAGTGCCATCCTCCATCTGCAAAGATTCCCCTGGCATTCACAAGCAACAACCCTGCTACCAGAGCTGTGTACATATGGTGTAGGTATTTTGAAACGTCATCAGTGAAATTTATACCCAGCACATTAGCATCTATTCTTTCCTTTAGCGGAAATATGGCTCCGAAAGGGTCTGCACTGTAACCTCACCCTGTGCTTTTCTCAAGCATACTGTGTCGATTTTAATTTGGCCAGCGGTGTGGCGAGGTGTGTGCGATTGATGTAACCTGTGTATGGATGTGTGTGTGTCTGTGTGTGCACGTGCATGTGTGTGTGTGCACGTGCACGCGCGTGTGTGCGTGTGAAAAATAGGGATTCACTGGCCAGGAAAGGCCACTCCAATCAGCTGTGTGGTGGAGACAAGGCTAAAATTAGTGGCGGTCAATTCATGAGCCTTGCAAGCTGCTGAGTGGTGTAATCCCAACCCAAGTGCTATGTCTAACACAGCTTGTTCGCTGTCATCGCTTCCGCGATGGGCATGTGTGTGTGTGTGTGTGTGTGTGTGTGTGTGTGTGTGTGTGTGTGTGTATTCCTGTGTGTGTGTGCATGTTTGTGTGTGTGTGTGTGTGTGCATGTGTGTGTGTGCGTGTGTGTGTGTGCATGTGTGCATGTGTGCATGTGTGTGTGTGTGTGTGTGTGTGTGTGTGTGTGTGTGTGTGTGTGTGTGTGTGTGTGTGTGTGTGTATTCCTGTGTGTGTGTGCATGTTTGTATTTGTGTGTGTGTATGTGTGTGCACGTGTGTGTATGGTTGTACATATGCATGTACATGTGTGCATGTGTATGTACGTACGTGTGTGTGTGTGTATGCACATGTGTGCATGTGCATCTGTTTATGTTGGCAGCGTAAGAGCACACAGCTTGGCAGCATCCATAAAGAGGAGGTCACATCTCTGGACTGGGATACACGTGGTATGATGCTGTTCTCGGCCGATACTTCTGGCCGTGTGTTTGCCTCACATCTGGACATGAAAGGTGTAAGTGACAGTGCTTGCATTTGAATGTTTGGCTGATGGCACCCAAGCAATGGTGACAGTCACATGACCTTATCAACCAGTCAAGGGTTTAGTCGGGAACACTGTCCTTGTACATATACTTCACAGTGGCTTAGTGGGTCCACTACCCTCTCACTAAGCTGCCATGCATCACACCATGTAAAATGACATACGTGGTACATCATCTGTGTGTGTGTGTCTGTTTATGTGTGTGTGTGTGTGTGTGTATGTGCGCGCGCGCGCGCGCGTGTGTGGGTATGTACGTGAGTGTGCGTGAGCGTTTGTGTGTGTGTGTGTGTGTGTGTGTGTGTGTGTGTGTGTGTGTGTGTGTGTGTGTGTGTGTGTGAGAGCGTGTGTGTGTGTGTGTGTGTGTGTGTGTGTTTGTTTGTGCATGTGTGTGTGTGTAAGCATGTGTGTGTGTGTGTGCGTGCGTGGGTGTGTTTGTTTGTTTGTTTGTGCATGTGTGTGTGTGCGTGTGCGTGAACGCATGCGTGCTGCATACGTGTACCTATCGTTGTGGTGTGCCCATGGGTATGTGCGGGTGTGCTGCTGTCTGCTCTTGTTCAGGGTGAGCACAATTCCTGGCAGGTCTATGATGCCAGGCAGAGTGTTGTGCAGATCTCCTACTCCAACATGCAACTGCTTGTGGTCACAGCTGACTCCTGCACCCTCTGCCACATCCACCAGAATGTCTTCAAGAAGAAGCCAGCGAAAATCAACCAGGGCAGACCACAACCGCTGTATGTTGGCTTCGTTACGCTTGCATTTCGGGGGAGAATCTTGTGCTGAACTGCTATTGTCCACATGAATGTTAGTCAGTTGATGTATGATTGCAAAGTTGCAAAGATGAATTAGCGAATAGTATGCACCGGACAAAGCACTGCAGTTCTTAGTTCGCTCAGTTGGTAGTTGGACTTGTGCAAGTTAACCCTTTACCATCCGTGTGTACTTGAATCGATCTCTAGAGATCGATGGACATGCATAAACTAAAACATTCGTAACTCAATCGATTCTTGTCGGAACTCAAAGAACTAAGTATCTAGGAAGAAGCCGAAGAGCCCAGCTTTCCATTGTATCAATCGGTAAAGAGCTGCGATGTCGCATTACAAAGATATTTCGCTCGACATTTCAGCTACGGCAAAAGTCGAATTTCTTTCCGAGTGACTGACCTTGAGCGGGGATTTTCCCCTCTCCTGACATGCTGAGTCACTTTGGCATGCATTGAGCGCGTGGGCAGCATGGAAAGTAACTCAAGCAAACATATTTGGAATGTTTTCGATGAAGGAGCGAGAAATGGCTGGCGAGAAGAGAAATTCCTCGTATATCCAGCGATGGGGTGTATTTGAAGCTCCCTGGCGCTGGATATGTGATCTCGGTAGTATCCTGTTTGAGCTCAATGTACGCAGCTCGTGGAGAGCTTTCCAGAATGCCCAAGATTGCGAAAATTGGTTGACTAGAACCGAAGATATTCTCAGAATATGGTGAGAATTATTGCATTTGGGACTGCTGGGGAAATTTGGTCGGATGGTAAAGGGTTAAAATACGTGGTCCTACAGTAAGATGTTGTAAATCACACTCTGACCACACGTATCGTCAGCATTTGATTTAGTCTGAGTAGCTGCAGCCTTCAGAGCCTGATAGTAAGCGGCATATGTGCGTATGAGCTACTCTGCCAAGTTATGTGCGTGGTGTGAGCGTGTGTATTTCGTACAACAGCTTGTTGTATTTGTTCTGCTGTGTGGTGCACTTCAGGGCCTGCCGCGGCGGTATCATGCTTAAAGATGGCGACAGGACGGCCTGCTTCCTGTCTTGTCAGACGCTTAACTTCCTGGAGGCATCAGCGGAGGGAGAGGTAGGATCTCTTCTAAGCAGAGAGAAGGAAAAAGAGAAATACGGGGCGGAAAGAGATCGTGGAATAATTATATTCAGTGTGCTCTGTTGATGGTACAGTGTGTTTAGTGTATGCAACGTGTGTTTTGCATCTATTGTGACTTATAGTCCCATGGGATGTAGTTGGGGCCCATTGCCAGGGAGAGCTGACAACAAGTTTGCATGCCAACGTTGTTTTTTAACCATTTTGTGCACCTTCTTACCAAGAATATGTACACTAGTAGTGTGTGTTGCCAACTCAATCTCAACCTGCGTTGTACATGTGTGTATATCACATGACTCAGGTACTTGATACGCGGATTCTCTCCTCGGGTCACAATGTTAATACTTTAGTTCGGTGGCCCTTTTTAACTTAGTTCTTAAGCGTGCTGAAAGGCCCGTTTTCAACGCTTCCGACGACAGCAGTTCCTTCCATTTTCTCCTTTCTTTCTTTCTGATGTACTTTCTGCTTTCGTTTTTCATTTTGTGTGCTGTGATAGGTGACACGCATCACTCCACTGTTTCATCAAGTGGAATGTGGCACTTTTGATAAGGTGACCTTGCCAGCCGGCCACATGCCCGAGAGTCCGCTCGCTGCCCGGGCGTTCGAGGAGGGTCTCGAATTTGGCCGCGTTCTGACCACTGGCCCGTACCTGGTAACGTGGTGCAGCAGTCATGTCTGGTTGATACAGCCCTCACCGGCGATCACGGTTATCGCCTCTTGTACTGCCGAGTCGCCGTCTGAATTTGTTGATGTGTGCGTTGACGGAACAGCAATCTTTGTGCTGCGCAAACAGTGTGGCAAGGCCTGCCCGGTGTTGCGTCTTGCAGTTGGCCAAAGTGCTGGCTCCAGCTCGCCGTCCCGCAGCCGATCATCCTCCAAGCATATCTCAGATGTGGCGGACGTGCATGTCGCGACATCGGAAAAGGTACCTGATCTGTCCACACCCACTACTACTCATGGTCCAGAGCCCAAAGACTCTCCTGGTACACCTACCTCCTATACCGCCGGAGCTGCTGCTACTGCTGCTACTGTTACTGTTGCTGACGTGTCGGCTGAGCGCAATGCTGAGACAACGGGCCACATGCTCCAAAACTCCATGACGGATTTCACTGATCGCTTCAAGAACTTGGTGAGCAAGGGCCTGGGGAGCACCGCCGTGTCGCCTGGTGTGCCCGTGGAGAGTGAGCAAATGGATGAGCGGCTCGCTGCTGTTATCCGAAGTGATCGCGACGCAGCGATGGCGTCTGGACAGCATGTTCCTCCTGCCAATGTCGCTGCTGCCGCGGATAGTCTTGCTGCCCAGGAGCCCGCAGCTCAATCAGATCAGCAGCAACAGGCACAGGTTGGCTGGCTGGACAAGCTGCGCAATCGTGGACACGTGCCACCTTCACTTGAACACTCTGGAAGCGGCAAGACACCGTCACCGTCCCCGGCGATGCCAGCACCGGAATCCCGAGAGGTAAGTACCGTACATTTTATACTATTGTAAAAGCAGAAATTTTCGGTGGTGTAATTTTTCGGTATTCTCCAAAATCGGCGGTTCGGTGGAGGGAAATTTTCGGTGAACCCATTTTCCAGGTAAGTGTTCTACCGGTAGTACTACACGTTTTCGGTGCGTTTTATTTTCGGTAAAATTGTCGGCACCGAAGTTACCGAGAATAAAACACCACCGAAAATTTCTGCTTTTACAGTATTGTAACGCTTGAGTCCTGATGCCCTCGATGTTGCAATACTGACCTTACTTTGCTTTCCTGTGCTGTGCTAGAAACCGTGTGTTTGATGGCAGCTTACTTGTTTTGTTTTTTGTTTTGTTTTTTTTTACTTCACCAGATACACAGGCAGTTCTGCCTTCTTGTCTAACCGTACGGCTAGTCTCTCAATAGAAGATAAAGAATTGCTAGTACTTCGAAGTATTTGCATTATAACCCGCCTCTGGTAAGCTACGTACATGCAGGTTCTGTGATGCTCATTGTTTATTTTGTTTGTGTGTTGTCCTGGCGGTGGTTGTCTCCTGCAGTTTATCAAGCAGTGGATGAGTGATCAGCCTCCCAGCCTGGCCAATGATGATGAAGACAGCTTGGTGGTGGCAGCTCCTGTTCAGAAAAAGAAAAAGAAGAAGAAGAAGGTGGTCAAACGGGATGGTGAGTTCTCCTGGCCAATTTTTTTAACGATCTTTTGAGTGTTGTTGGTGTTTTAGAGGTATTTTCAGAGCCATGCTGAGTAATCGGGTTTGTGATCATTTGTTAAATTTTGTTCACTGGTGAGACATAGTACAGGGCAAGTGCCTAGGTGGAGATAGTCATAGATTTTATGATGGGATATGCGTGTGTGATCGACCAAGTGGTGGTCAAAAGTTTTTAACCCACCATGCAGATTTTTCGAATTCTGAAGGTTTGGGCTGTAAGCTACTAAATTTATGGTCGAGAACCTCTGAATCAGGCAGAATAGTGAAATAGAAATGAAAAATGCTGAAACACGGAGTCATCTGGGGACTACTGTAGAACGGGTAATTTTAGCGACGAAAAACCCTAGCGAATTTAGCGATCGATTCATTTTCGCTAAAGTTTCAAGTCGCTAATCCGTTGAGACATTGGTAGTGCACTGGTGATCCGTGAGTAAAATCGCTGCAAATCGCTGCAAATCGCTAAAATAAAACGTGGCTAACCGGTTGACAATGGGAAAACGCTAAAATTAATAGTCGCTAAAATTACCCGTTCTACAGTACTATGGTCAAGTATATGTAAAAGGTGGGTCAAAACTTATGGCCAACACCCGCACTATCATAAACCACCAACAGGATACACGGAATACCGGTAGTGTGATTTCTAAAATGTATGCAACTAAGCTAAAGTCTAGGAGCCACTCCCGGCCTATTCCACATACATCTACCACTTTGTAGCCCATCCCTTGGCCTTGATGATCACTGGCACACGCCGCCGCATTGAATCGACGATCTTCTTGCACTCGTGAGGAGAAATCAACTTCCATACCTCCTGGCACACTCGCCACAGCTCATACTGGTTTCTGGGAGTGATTTCGACATCGTGCTGCTTCAGCCCAGGAATTTTGCAGAGATTCTCAGTGGGATTGAGGTCAGGCTGCTGCAGGGGCCATGTCAGGACGGTGACGCCGTTCACCGTCAGTCGCACCTCCGTCCTGTTTGCGGAGTGCTTGCGGCTGTAAGACACCACCCACACCACTCACAAGCTGCATCATGCTCAGCAACATCATGTTTTTGGAGGATGCGAGGTACTGGTCCGCATTCATCGTATCCACCACCCGGCAAATGCGCGATACGCCGTTGCTGGCCATGGCTCCCCATACATTGATATTGCCACCGCGGTGCTTCACAGTTTCGCGGGTGCATGTGCCGGCCACAGCCTATCCTGTCCACCTTCTGACGTAAACTGCACTACCAGAGCCCTTGAGGTTGATTTTAGACTCATCAATCCACAGGAATTACCACCAGTCATCACTGCTCCAGTCCTTGTGCGTCTATACAAATTTAAGGCGTTTTGCCTTGCTCACAGCACTGATGAAGGGCTATTTGATGACCATGCAGCCACGCAGGCCTGCTCTCTGCAACCTGCGTCTCACAGAACGCACAGAAATTGCGTTCTCACTGTCGCTCACCATCTGAGCTCGCAGGCAGTGACGGATTTGAGGCGATTCGCCATTGACTTCATGATAAGGTGGCGATCTTGTCTTGCACTGGTCTCTCTTGGTCAGCCTGATCGTGGTGAAATGTAGTCGATTTTTGTTTCCTGACAATTCTACGTATCGTAGGATCGCTTAAATCCAACAGAGCAGCGATACCACGCGAAAAGAGACCGTCACCACTCAGCTTCACGACCATTTCCCTCACATCCTTGCTAATTTGACCTTGGTTCACTATCCTGGTTGAAAATACTACCTCCGTCGTCAAAATTGTCAAGTTTGATATCGCAAACTCTCAAAGTGAGAAGCCATGTGTTGATTTTCACACGGCCATAAGTTTTGACCCACCCAAATGCATGGTCATGCATCACAAATCACAGTTGACAACGGATTCTTTGCTGAGGAACGCAAATGCTATAAAAAGCCAACATGGTGTGTGTGTATGTGTGTGTGTATGTGCACGTGTATGTGTGTGTGTGTGTGTGTGTACATGTGTCCCATATAGTTCAGTGGTATGTATGTGCAGCGATTTCCAATCGATAGGTTGCGGGTTCGATTCCCGACGATTATGGTCACACACGTCTTTCTTCTCTTTCTCAGACTCTTCCTGACTTTTCTTTCATTCTCCTGAGTGGTTACCAACAGCCAGTGCATGCCGGAGTATGTGATGTGATGTGTGTGCGGGGAAAACAAATGAAAAGACCAAAAATAGGGATTCACTGGCCAGAAAAAGTCACTTCGAATAGCTGTATGGTGTAGACCAGGCTGAATAGTGACGGTCAATTCTTCAGCCTTGCAAGCTGTTGAATGGTGAAATCCCAGCACAAGTTGCTATGGCTTCTGCCGTAGCATTGCTATCATCGCCTCCGGCGATGGGCGTCAAAAGGCATGTGCGTGTACGTGTGTGTGTATGTGTTTGTGTGTGTGTGTGTGTGTGTATGTGTGTATGTGTGTATGTGTGTGTGTGTGTGTGTGTGTGTGTGTGTGTGTGTGTGTGTGTGTGTGTGTGTGTGTGTGTGTGTGTGTGTGTGTGTTTCCGGACTTGCAGCTGGCACTGCCCAATCATTGGGCGATGTGTCTCCTTCAATGGCTGCAATGGCTGTTGGCGGCCGAGATCGCAGTGATAGTGCAGTGAGTGCGGACGGTGGTGGTGGCAGTGACTGCTGCACTGCTGGAGCATTTCACACTGGTGATATTGTAGCGAGTGCTAATGCCATGCTTGTCGCCACTCAGGAGGCCCTGCAGCGTTCAACTTCAGTTCCGTCGTCTGCTCAGCCGGCTCTCTCGACTGATGCTGCTGCAGGTGCACCTGTTGACGTCACCGCTGGACTCCCGTCCACTGTTGGATCGACTGGCGGTAATGATGATGTCCCAGCAGCACTGGGCCATGCCGCCACCGCTAATAGCAACAATTCTACTGGTATTCCTGCACCTGTGCGTTCCTCTACACCCGTTTCACCTGCGCCAGGGGCGCGTGTGCAGAGTGTAGGTGAGACTACGGAGGCTGTCAGCACTTTGGACCAGCGGCCAACTGGACCAGCGACTCTTGATCTGGGTGTTGCGGAAATATCGTCGTTGCCTACTACTACGCCTTCTCCATTGCAAGTCTCGCCTGTGAAGGTTCCTAGTGCACGTACTAGCACAGGAGCTGGGACACCTACTGCCGCCGCACTCGTGTACGACGTGTCATCGGCCGATGATCTAGCATCTTCGGCAGATCATGACCTCAATGCCAGTGCCATGTCCGTTGGAGGAGCTGACGCTGCTGCCGCCACATCACAAGATGAACTAGATGGGGGAGATCTGGTTCACCAGAGCTATGATGCAAGCTTACCAGCTCACCTACTGGGCCAGACACATGCCTCAGATGATGCTGGAGAAGAAGCGACGACGGGAGCAGCAGCAGCAGCGCCTTCTCAAAGCCAGTTAGCCGCCCCTACCCGCCGCTACGACCCAGGATTTGGCCGGGACAGTGCCTCCAAACTCTCGTGTCCGTCTCGGCGTCACTTGACCTGCTTGGCCATGTCAAGGAAACACATCTGGATATCGGACAGTGGTGACTACATCTACAATTGGTCGAATGACACACTGGCGTGGACTTATGTGAAAGGTGCGTATGCCGCGAAGCTGGCCGCATCTCAATCATCCGATGTCGTCTGGGCTCTCTCTCGCCAGGGTATAGTCGCAGCCAGGGCTGGCATGTCCAGCGCAGCACCTCTGGGTACCAGCTGGCTCAAACTGGGAAAGCTACGCATGAAGTGCATCGCAATCGATGCCGACACTGCATGGCTGGTGACACGTGACGGACAGCTACTACGAAGGCGCAATGTAAGTAGCCGTTGAGTGTCTCAGTACTTGTTCCATACCCCGTCACTTGTGTGTGTGTGTGTGTGTGTGTGTGTGTGTGTGTGCGTGTGTGTGTGTGCGTGTGTGTGTGTGCGTGCGTGTGTGTGTGTGCGTGTGCGGATATCACTACTAGTGTGTAATTGGCAATAGCAAGAACACTTAACCAAGAGTGTGTGAATCCTATCTTGAGCTGTGATGGATTCACCGACAGCGAGACTTTTGTGTTGCGTTATTTTTTGGCAGAAGTATGACCGAAAAATGCGTATGCCTTTCTGCGCTTGCCATGTAGATACGGTAGGGGTTCATCAGGTCCAGGACACATGGATCTCCCATCTGGTGTTCTGCTTCGACTACCGTAGCTGGGATGTACAAGTTCTTTGCACGATATGTGGCTACGCATGTTGGCATCAGCGAGCCAAATAGGCAGGAAAGACTGAAGTCATAAAAAATCCACCAGTGGGTTCTCAGAGGATGTTCAGCTGCTGACTCTTGGTTATGTGCTCTTGGCAATGGGTGTGTACAAGTGTCTAACATGCGCCTAGGCTGTACCCTACATTCACCATGCATTGACACATCATCAGCTAGCTGTAAATAGTTCACCAGCTTGGTAAGCCACTCAGTGGTTTCTCAAGCTGTAGACGTGAGCACTTGCTCTTTCATGCTAATCCGGCCGTCACTTCTCAGAAACACGGTGCGATGATGAGCCGGGAATGGTGATTGCCGAATGAAAGGTTCACTGGGCGTCTCATGTGCTGTGGATGGCAGCCATGAGCCGTCAAGTGGCTAGTCAATTCACCAGGAAGCATTCAACACTACCAGTGTTATTAGTACTTCTGACACGCATGCCTGTCTAGTGTTGCACGCCTCCCTGTGCATTACTCACTGGATTTGCTTCCATTTTTGTTTTGTTTAAAGCACACGATCTTACTGATGATGTGGGATAACAGTAAAGTGGGACAGAAGACTAGGACAAACAGACAAAAGGGGTAGGACATGCAAAAGCAAGGTGCAGTTGATGCGAGTCCAGCTAATCCGACCAGATTACCAGTGTAACACAGAGGGAAGCAGACAGAGAACAACAAGGAACTACTGTAGCGCTTCTCCATTTTTGTTTGCTTTACCAAAAGCCATTGCATAGATGGCTAGCTAATGGCTTGTTGGATGCTACAACTCGCTCGTCTGCGCCCTGTCGATTTTCTCTAACACTGTATGTCTGCATTCTCTTTGCTGACTCTCACAGCTGGTGGCTGAAAACCCGCTGGGGGAGAAATGGCACGAGGAGGGCACCTCATCGCTCACCAACTCCATTGTACAGCTGGCTGCTGGTAATGGTGTCTTGTGGGCGCTCACAACGCACGCTGCTCTCTTGGTGCGCGCAGGCATCAGCGATGCAAATCCGCTTGGCACATGCTGGGAAGAGGTCGACAACAAACTGCGTGCCAGTTGCATCGCCATCGGTCAGAATGGCTACTGCTGGTGTGTCAGCAGTGACGGTATAGCATGCTTCATGCCCGACGTGACACTTGACAGCCCTAGCGTGACTGACAAGCAATGGTGGCAGGTATCTCTGGGCCTGCAGCTGATGAGGGACACGTCGCTTCTTTCCAGCATCAAGGACGCGTCCGCTCGCGTCACCTCCCTGTGGAGCAGCAAGCATTCGGATCCTGATCAGTCGGTGAAGCTGGTATCCTGTAGTAACCTTGGCGTTGGCGTGATCACATCATCATCTGTTCTGCTCTACTCCAGCAGTGACATGCTTGGCATGGTATATTTACCACCCAGCATTGCCTCGCTCGCCGAAACAACTATCTGGCTTCTTGTTGATGCGTCCACGGCGTTCAAGAGTAAAGGTCTGGTGTGGTTACTGAGTCCAACTGGTGAGATCTTCTCGTTGCCGCGCGATGGCAGGCCACACCCCGTGCCCATTCCCGATGGCTGCAGTGTGCAGCGCCTGTCAGCGTCGCACCACGGCGTGTTTGGCCTGACCAGCGATGGAACGCTGTACATGCGCACTGGCGTCACCGACTACTGCCTGGCCGGCTTGAGCTGGGAGGTGGTGCAGCCACCTTCTGCTGCTGCCGCAACTGTGGCCATGTCCTGTGGAAACACTGTCACTTGGCTGGTGGATGCCAAGGGCCAGGCCTGGGTGCAGAGCTGCACACCCACTGGCACTTTCCATGAAGACTGGGCGTGCATTGGTCCTCCGCCGCATTCCAAACTTGTCCAGGTAGGTTCCCTAGCATCCGTAATCCACACGATCCATTCAGTTAGTGATGGTCATGTTTGACACACAGCTCCTGTCTTTATTCTAGGAAGGCATGTGCTTGCATATGTGTGGATTGTAGAGATGTTCTGACGGTGTGTCCTGCCCAATGCTTTCTGACGTAGCTACCTTTGTCCCCTCATTTGTTATGAGCTAACTCCTACTGTAGTCCTGATGGTATAATACTAAGCAGTACTGATAGCGACTTCAGCGCTATTACAGTCCATTTCAAAACTATAGACGCGTACCTAGGCAAAAACCGTTATGCCAGCATCTATACCACATAAAATCTGTGATCACTTTGTGCATAATTTTTTCCAAATTGGGCGTCTGTTATCCAATCCTTTAGAAACTATATGAGAGTAATTGTGGAGCGATCCTGAGCAATATTCCGAAAACTATTCTCAAAAAGTTCCAGCCAAATTTGAAATATTTCAAAAACCCTACGCGTCTATAGTTTTGAAATGCACTGTAGTAGCTGAAGTAAGGTGGTTGCTCCTACGTGGAACACAGGCTTCCTGCCGAACTTGACTGACTCACGACTGCCATCTGGAACACACCAGGACAGTCAAGTGTCAACGTTGGGCAGGAAGCGCGTGTTCCACGTAGGAACGACCAACTTCACCTATGGCATAATGCTTGTCATCGTCTTTCTGCATCCACACCAAAATTTGTATTCCTTGCTGGTTGCAGTTGTGAATAGCCATGCCTCCTGCATGGGTGTCTGGAGTGTTCTAAATCTACATGATGGTCTGTGCTGAGTACTAGTATGGTCTATGTGTTCCATGGCTATTAAGCAGTACCCGTCATGTCGCGTATTGAGCCGGCCGTTTTCTCCTGTAGAAGCCGATGTCAGGACTAGGCTTTTCTATTCACACCAGGCGTCTATTCAAACCAGGCATCTATTCACACCAGGCATCTATTCAAACCAGGCATCTATTCAAACCAGGCGTCTATTCAAACCAGGCATCTATTCACACCAGGCATCTATTCAAACCAGGCGTCTATTCAAACCAGGCGTCTATTCAAACCAGGCATCTATTCACACCAGGCATCTATTCAAACCAGGCATCTATTCAAACCAGGCATCTATTCAAACCAGGCATCTATTCACACCAGGCGTCTATTCACACCAGGCGTCTATTCAAACCAGGCATCTATTCAAACCAGGCATCTATTCAAACCAGGCATCTATTCAAACCAGGCATCTATTCAAACCAGGCATCTATTCAAACCAGGCATCTATTCAAACCAGGCATCTATTCACACCAGGTGTCTATTCACACCAGGCATTTCTATGTATGTCAACACTAATAGTAAAAGCAGGCTCTTGTGCCGACAGTGCATCTTGAACATCGGGCTTGTATTCAAAACAGGCTTCTACAAGTACTAGTATACGAGACAGGCTTTAATACAAGCCTCCGGTAAAATTATGACAACTCTGGTGTTTCTGTTTCTTGTCCTGCTTACGTATGTCTGCTTGCTCTAGGTGGTGGTTGGCCCAGGTGATTGGCATGTGTGGGCGTGCGACAGCAGTGGCAACGTGTACGCGCGCACTGGCATCTCTATCAGCGCGCCGGCCGGCAAGAGCTGGGAAGCGGCGCCCAACGTGGACGCCACCGACATCTCCATCTCGGCCAATGCCGTGTGGGCGCGCTGTGCCAACGGCGACATTGTGCTGCGCGTGAACGTCTCGCCGAGCAACCCGGTGGGCGACTACTGGCGACGTATACCAGGCAACTTTGCCACCGTCTCGGCCACACCGGATGATGACGAGCTGTGGCTGCTGGACGACGATGGTCGTCTGTTCGTGCGCAACACACGTGTCTACACGGCTGTTGTACAGCCGGAGGAGAACGAGCAGCTCGTCGAGTCATGGGAGCTGGTACCAAAGTCGTAACAACACGAGTGTTTCCTGATGTTTTGTATTACCACAGACATGACATTAATGACGCAATTTTCCACTCTACAACAGTTACTATTGTGTGGTTTCGAACACGTTTTTGATACCTCTCACAACACACAACATGGGCCACACTAGTATGTCAAGGCACATTGGTTTTTTAACATCTATCTAGAGAAGAATCGAAGAAAACCTAGCAGTTCTGTATTGTCTAGTTTCATTTTTTAACTAAGAGCACTATGACCGTACTGTATGTACAACAGGCCTCATCCGGTAGCAGTGGCATTAACAGCACTAGTGCAGAATCACAGCATTTCCTTCAAAGATACTCGTATATAATTGAAAATCTATTTCTATGAATGAACATCGCAGACCAAAGAAGCACGTTCTCACGTGTACGATGATGTGCTGGGTTGCTTGGAATAAATATGATAAAACGGGGACGGGTGTGTTCCAGTTGAGAATATGCATGCAGTATTTCGGGAAAAAAATTGTGTAACCACTGGTTACAACTGCATGTCTTCTGCTGGTGAGAATTTCAATAAGTATGGCCAACATGTGCATACAATTCAATCATACGGATGCTTGGCAACAACGTGTCCCAAGATGGTCTAAAATCATTCTGATACTTGGCAACCATGGGTTCCAAGAGGGTCTAAAATCATTCTGATACTTGGCAACAATGGGTTCCAAAATGGTCTTCAATCATACCGATACTTGGCAACGATGTCTTCCAAGATGGGCTTGCAGCTGATGTTTGACTTGAGCTTAGCACACAGGAGGAAGGCGCCAGAAAGTTTGCGGTGCAGCGAGTAGGTTTCCTCCGGAGGTGGTGTCAGCCTGTGTTCCAGCATGACGGGCATCAGCTGGCGAATCCTGCCTGTAACATGCTGTTCACCAAAGTCAAACGGCTTTGCCGACATGAACGGCTCTCCCAGGACCATGACTGCATCTGTGTGCGCTTTCATCATGACTTCGCTCTCAAAGCCTGTCAGAAAGCCCATCTTGATTGAGCCATCCAGAACACTCTGCCGATCACCGCGCGCTGCTGCATGGATAACCTACGATACAGCACGCCACACACCGCCACACACACACATACCCCCCCCCCCCCACACACACACACACGCACACACATCATATGCACACATACACAAACACACCACCACCACAATCACGGGCGTGCACACACAAACGTGCACCAACACGTATGTGCATGGAAAACAGAAAGAAAAAAACACATCATGGCACTACACTTGAAGGACAACTCTCTCACCAAACCCGACATCCAAATTTGGTCCTAGGTCACTTTACAGACATATTATAGTAACTACTGACCTACCTACCCTTATCTAGGTCTTGGCTTAAACTACACTACTAGAACACGGCTAATTTTGGCAGGTGAAAAATCTAGCAATTTATAACCCAGCACGAATTTGCGAGGTAAATTTTCAGCGATCAGCCATTTTACAGTACACAGCTCAGGCATGCTTGCATAGCATGATAAGACAAAGCAGGACCTACCTTCAGGTAGTCATCCGTGAAGGACTTGGGGAATTCCCTACTTGCACCAAAGTCCAACAGACCGATCTACGAAGCACCCAGAAAGCAGACAGAAGAGAACAGCTTGGTACTCGTTTTAATGTACCGCATAGCGGCATGATGTGTATTGAAGGCAGAATTTGAAGCACAGTTCTTATAATAATAATAGCTGGCAATTTAGTTTTATTTCAGCTTGCAGTTGCACTTATGACAACTCATTTCCCAGTGGCAAAAACAATTATGAGCAACATTGAGTACACATGATTGTACTGTATAGAAGCAAGAAATCTCACGAGTCCTTCAACACAGTGGTACGCCTTTGTAGGCAGCGGAAAACTAGCACCTTGAATAGAAGTCTGGTTTCATAACAGTATGGTCATAAGTGGTATAACAAATTAACAGTGCGAGTGTACGGAAGGTACTTCGAAGTAGGAACAATGGATCTGCCTTCCTTCTCTTATAGCCAGTACTAGCAGATATACTGTTTTATATTTCAATTGAGTGTTCTATTTATTTCCAAAATTGGGTTGTCTTTTTGCTTTCACTCATACTTCATGGTTTCACGCGTTTGGCCCAATTGGTGTTGTGAATAAAACCGTTCTCAAGCAGATGGACTGTTGAGTACGACCTCTACAACACCGCACACGCACAGTTACCTTTCGCTGCCTGGGCAGGTAGAAGAAATTAGACCAGTTAGGGTCGGTCTGCATGAAGCGGAACTCAAACACTTCTCGCAGGCACAGATCCAGCATGTGATGGCCAATCTGCAGGGACGGGTAATTGCATCAAGAAGAACGCTCATCAATAGTACATTTTACAAACACCCAGAGCAGCAGACAAGTATGGTCTGTGTGGGAACTACATAGCATGGTGTCCAGAGAGCACAGTTCACAACTTGACTCGGAACATTACGGGCAGGAGAACATGTGCTTAGTGCTTAGCTGAGACGTGTCTCCAGAGAGATATTCTACAGGAGAAAGCAATATGAATGTCCAATGTCCAATTTTCTAGCAAAAAAGAATGAGAGTTTTCGAGGTACCTTGTTACGCTCTGTCTGACTGAGATTGTCATATCGGTCCAGTGCAGTGCCATCCAGATATTCCATGGTGATCACACGCTTTGCGCTCAAGTCATTGATCACCTCCGGCACCACTAAGTACGGATGATTATGTAGCATTTCCCTATTGGGGGAAATACACGCATGTACATACACATACACACACACACACACACACACACACGCACACACACACACACACACACGCACACACACACACACACACACACACACATACATACACACAGACACACACAGATGTCAGGTATAAAAGCTGGGGACTGAGGCACCATAGTCTGGAAATTCAGTGAAAATCCCAAAATTCTACTCACTCCCTGCTAATCTCCACTATTTGCTGTCAAAATAGTCCTTTCTCTTCCTTGCCATGATAGGCCATAATCCATTCTCTCCAAGTTGGACAGTATTCTCAGTGCTTGGCTGTGCTGAGGTGGTGAAACACATGATAACAAACATCTCCGGGGATATAGCTGTGCTTGGATACACATTGTATATGAAATGTCCAACACAGTACGATCATTGTAGTCGCAATGCTGTCATACTGCAGTATGATCATTGTAGTCGCAATGCTGTCATGCTGCAGTATGATCATTGTAGTCGCAATGCTGTCATGCTGCAGTATGATCATTGTAGTCGCAATGCTGTCATGCTGCAGTATGATCATTGTAGTCGCAATGCTGTCATGCTGCAGTATGATCATTGTAGTCGCAATGCTGTCATGCCGCAGTATGATCATTGTAGTCGCAATGCTGTCATGCTGCAGTATGATCATTGTAGTCGCAATGCTGTCATGCTGCAGTATGATCATTGTAGTCGCAATGCTGTCATGCTGCAGTATGATCATTGTAGTCGCAATGCTGTCATGCTGCAGTATGATCATTGTAGTCGCAATGCTGTCATGCTGCAGTATGATCATTGTAGTCGCAATGCTGTCATACTGCAGTATGATCATTGTAGTCGCAATGCTGTCATACTGCAGTATGATCATTGTAGTCGCAATGCTGTCATACTGCAGTATGATCATTGTAGTCGCAATGCTGTCATGCTGCAGCATTCCACAGTACTGACCTAAAGCGGGTAGCACACTCAGCTTCGCGCTCGTAATCCACCTCCCAGCCCAGCTCCTTCTTCGCAACTCTCAGAGCATTCTCGGCAAATAAACCTGCCACGCAGCAAGAGCAGGTGGAACATAAATCCACGTGCAGTCGTGCACACACACACACACACACACGCACACACGCACACACGCACACACACAAAAACACACACATTGCCACGCAGGATGAAAGGTTATCAAGACCACCTGCGCACTAGTACATGCCTTAAACTCATACTAACTACGGCAAGATATGTACTGTACACATATATCTAGTTTTCACACACACACACACACACACACACACACACACACACACACACACACACACACACACACACACACACACACACACACACACACACACACACACACACACACACACACACACACACACACACACACACACACACACACACACACACACACACACACACACACACACACACACACACACACACACACACACACACACACACACACACACACACACACACACACACACACACACACACACACACACACACACACACACACACACACACACACACACACACACACACACACACACACACACACACACACACACACACACACACACACACACACACACACACACACACACACACACACACACACACACACACACACACACACACACACACACACACACACACACACACACACACACACACACACACACACACACACACACACACACACACACACACACACACACACACACACACACACACACACACACACACACACACACACACACACACACACACACACACACACACACACACACACACACACACACACACACACACACACACACACACACACACACACACACACACACACACACACACACACACACACACACACACACACACACACACACACACACACACACACACACACACACACACACACACACACACACACACACACACACACACACACACACACACACACACACACACACACACACACACACACACACACACACACACACACACACACACACACACACACACACACACACACACACACACACACACACACACACACACACACACACACACACACACACACACACACACACACACACACACACACACACACACACACACACACACACACACACACACACACACACACACACACACACACACACACACACACACACACACACACACACACACACACACACACACACACACACACACACACACACACACACACACACACACACACACACACACACACACACACACACACACACACACACACACACACACACACACACACACACACACACACACACACACACACACACACACACACACACACACACACACACACACACACACACACACACACACACACACACACACACACACACACACACACACACACACACACACACACACACACACACACACACACACACACACACACACACACACCATAAGACAAGCAAGATGTTTTAAAAGTAATGTTCCCAGCATTGCAGCATGCATGAATGTAGTACATACACACCGCTACTGTTTACTAGTAGAGATCCTACATGGGCTACTACTGTACAAAAGAAGAACACAGCGCTGCACTCACCTTCGGGTAATATCTTGGTAGAGTTCATGAGAGTCATGATGTTATTGATATCACTATCAATACTGTCTGCAACACCCGGGTACTGCCATGGCACACAGTACAACAACAACACACACACACACATACACACGTACACACACGTACACACACGTACACACACACACACACAGAAGTAAGTCAGAGACGGATCTCAGGTCAAGGTCAAGATGCTGAGAAGGTTGGGAGGAGAGAGAGAGAGAGAGAGAGAGAGAGAGAGAGAGAGAGAGAGAGAGAGAGAGAGAGAGAGAGAGAGAGAGAGAGAGAGAGAGAGAGAGAGAGAGAGAGAGAGAGAGAGAGAGAGAGAGAGAGAGAGAGAGAGAGAGAGAGAGAGAGAGAGAGAGAGAGAGAGAGAGAGAGAGACTGACTGGAGGGTAGAGTAAAGAGCTGTAGGATAGATAAGTAAAAGAATAGCGTGCTGCATACCTGAACTTTCATGACAACCTTACGGCCGTCTTTCAGCACAGCCCCGTGAACTTGACCAATGGATGCTGCAGCAAACGGAAGTTCTTCAAAGCTCTCAAGATGGTCACGCCAATTCGCACCCAGTTCTGTGGTTATTGCCCTCTAGCAGTACAGGAACAACACGGCGACAGCACACATACATACGGCCCACACACACACACACGGGTGCGCACGCACACACACACACACACACATACACACACTTGTAGTGTACATCAGAGGAAGGAGTTCTAATCCTGTGCACACAATCTATACACCTTTTTGCCACAGACATGCTTCTTACACCTGCCAGGTAACATGTAAAGAATATTTCCGTGTTGTCTGGCTGGTGGAGGAAGCATATCTGTAGATTATAGTACCGGTATATACACTGTACAGACACAGTTCATTTACATGCGTACTCTCCTGGCAGGAGCTACTCGCACATGCAGCTACACATATCTACACTGTACATACCTGGGCTTGACTAGCTGGCATATAGTCCGCGCCGTCTCGCACGCGCTCGAATATCTGCTGAATCTGCGGCGATATGAACTGTCCATCTGTGGCAGAACAAGAACGCGTGCAGCAATGGAGACACAGGATACACATACGACTTGTATCATGCTGACCAGACAAATGACCCTGAAAACGAAAGCAAACAAAGTACTTGGCAACACCTACAGTCAGTTACACACAGAATAATCTGCTGGCACAAGCATAGCAGAAGATCTCCACACTAGTCCACAGCTCTTATAGGATAGGTCATAACACCGCACATGCATTGCTAGAGCATACTTAGCGTAGTAGGAAAGTATAGCTGTGACGCAGAAAGTCTCATAAAGAACAAAGTTCGAAGTTCCGACATCACCAAGACCATCGTAATACATGTAGCACAGAGTACGAGAAAAGTATTAAAAAACAACGCACCCTGTATGCTGATCATTTGGCCGAGTTTCAACGCTGCTCCCCGCACGCGACAAAGCGTTGCCACTAGTCGATTGATGTTGGCTTCGTTCAGGAACGGACTGGACTGACCCGTGCCTAGCAAGAAGGAGTTTAAGCAAAACAAGTCACAACCGTGTTGCTGTTAGCACACATGTTTAACTCCGGTACATGGCATTGACAGCAACCTGATGATAAAACAACAACTGGGTCCTATATTAAGTACAAGCAGTTTGGCATGGATACTTCAAAGGCAAAGAGCCCGTGAGCATAAGGCATGCACATGCGATGAAGAAGACCGTGAGATGAAGACATGCTGGGAAACGGAGAGGAGAAAAGCAAGAAAAGCCATATGCCATACCTTCTGACCAACCAATGGAACGCTTGGAGAACTCCGCTACTGCACCCACACCCAACCCAGCTGCAAGACCTGAGGAAATAGAGTCACAGAACAGACATCACAGAGGGCTCGCGCTTGAGCGTTTGCGTTCATGCATTTAGATGCATTACATGTACATGAAGTGCATGTATGTGTGTTTAAACTGTTTTCATAGACAGACAGACAGACAGACAGACAGACAGACAGACAGACAGACAGACAGACAGACAGACAGACAGATAGACAGACAGACAGACAAACAGACAGACAGGCAGACAGGCAGACAGACAGACAGACAGACAGACAGACAGACAGACAGACAGAAAGGGAGATAGACAGACAGACAAAACAGACAGACAGACACACACACACACACACATAATTCACAGTGCGAGGCCCAGTCAGACTGAGTTTTCCACCTCCGTAAGAATGTTATCAGTCCACACTCCACACAAGGATCAAGGAACAGCACGGCTAGGAAAGTCCATCCGCTTCCAAGCAGGACTCGAACTTGGTACATAGATATCTACAATTTCCGTGTCTTCTGCAATACTTATTGAAAGTTGAAAGGTGAATAGTACTTACTGCTGAAGCTCATCAAGCGACTAATACGACTAGCAGGTACTCGCCGCTGTCTTGCACGACTGCTTAGTGCTGGCGGAGCAGCGGCCTATACGGCACACACAACACCAAGCAACACAAGTTCACAACAATCCTAGGACACTATCATGATCAATCTGCGGACAGCATGCTGATTCGTCCTCTGTGGACTGAGCTAGACCCATCAGCGCAGCACCAAGAAAATGAGGCCGACCCTGATAGCAATGAAACATAATCCAAAGCCAGATTTAAACCAGACCCGAACGTACCTTGCAAGAGTGGTCAAACTGACAAGTCAGTAAGTTCTGCGTAACGCAAACAGCAAAGGCACTACCCCGCATGAGAGTGCTCAACTACTACAAGAGCAGGAGCGAAATACTCACCATCATAACTTGATGCGTCAGTCTGAAATATGCACTCCGGATGGAATACTATGCACTGCTGTGCAGCAACAGGCATGATCATGCACTGCTGGTATATGAACCCAAGTGAGATGAATCAGTGTGTGCGTGCGTGTGTGTGTGTACGTGTGTGTGTGTGTGTGTGTGTGTGTGTGTGTGTGTGGTGTAGTGTGTGTGTCTGTGTGGTGTGGTGTGGTGTGGTGTGTGTGTGTGTGTGTGTGTGTGTGTGTGTGTGTGTGTGTGTGTGTGTGTGTGTGTGTGTGTGTGTGTGTGTGTGTGTGTGTAGCACTGTCTGGTTAATGACCAGTTCGGACCCCAGACACCAGTGTGAACACAAGGTCAGGCAATCACTGCAGCATGTACCTGTTCGTGTTGGCGAACCTCTTCATGCTCATCTCCTCTCGGCAAGCTATCCGTTGAGGCAGATGATGACAGTCCCTGGGCAGTGTCTACCTTGGGGTACACGTGCTCAGTAAGTGTCTACCTTGGGGTACACGTGCTCAGTATCTGCCTGTTGTGTACCTTCTCGACAAGAATGTGCATCCTGCCTACTTGCAGGCGAAGCATCAGAGTGGAATGAGGCCTCAGGCTGCGCATCTGGTCCAGGGCACGTGTGTACCTCTGACGCAGGGCATGGCTCAGAATGCATTCTGCTGCTGCTAACTGTGTTACTTCTCACCGAGAGGACCTGCTGAAGGCAGTAAGAAGACTGCCAACTGGCTTGAGCATTCCGTTGGTGCAGGGAGAGAGCAGCACAGCCCAGTTTTTGAAGTCCGCGCAGGACGCCCAGGCAATCTGCTCCCGCCATTCGTCCAGGGATTCTTAGGGTATGCTTTTTCTACTAGTATATAAATCGACAGTGGGGCATACGGCAACTGGATGCAATGAAGCAACGTTGCAGCAAGACTCCGCACAACAAGACAAAAGAATGTGACGGTGCCAAGAAGCAAATGTGCCAGCTACTTTCAACTAACTAACTGTAATACTAGTGTTACTTCAAGCGAAGGGAGCGAGAAAAATAATCTTTGGATTGTGCAAACTCAAAACACCACGTGCCACCTGATGATTACGACACGATGACGTCAGTGTTAAACATAGCGCTAGGCTGCTACTGTGTAGTGTGCTAGCGCGCGCTAGCAGTTGCTATGTGCAGCAGCACTCGAGTAGATCTACGAGTACGAGTACGAGTACTCCCCCGAGTCCCGGGATCCCAGCGCAGCTGCCAGCACTGGCAGCAGAGATCGAAGTGCGACTGATATGATTTTAGCTGTGAAAATGACTGATTTCATGATGATTGTGTTCCGAACCTGTATTGTACTTGTAGTTTCTTCTGCTTCGAGCCGACCGCGAAGCTCTTTCCCTAACGTCAACGACGTTACGTATTTTTTGCATTCGCTTCACTCCTTCCGAAGTTCCGTCATATCCAGCCGGTAATGCATGAAAATGATGAATGCCATGATATCCTCAGCCCTGCATGCCTGAGATCCAGCAACGAAGTCATGACTATGATTATGGTTATACATACAAAGACCAGATCCACAACACTCAAAGAATTATTTAATTTTTACATGTTATCAGCATAGATAGCTGCATCAGGGCTTTCACGACTCCTTGGCTATCTGCCTAAATCATAATATTATCACTTATCAGGTCAGTACAATCATGTAGATCTTCTGTAGTAAGTTCTGTAGACTGTTTGTAGTACCAAGAGTACATAAGGCCAAGTAAAATAAAATCCCAGTTTATCGTCCTTTTTTTCACAAAAATCGGGGAGGGAGGGCAGATTTTATTTTTATTTTTTATTTTTTGATGTGCTACAGACTAGTATAGTTCTTGGTAAACAATGACACATCATGTGCAACAATCTGCAACAGAATAGTGGTGGTGTATGGAATACACAATGCTATAACAGTTATAATGTACATAAACAATTACATGCAAAATCTTTGGATCGACAGATTGTCACTCCACTCATAAGACACAAACCCCAAGACGAAGCTGTGTTTTCAAGCCTTAGCCGACGTAAAAAATCAAGCTTTTTGGCAAAATTCTAGATTTAAAAAATAAAAATAAATTCCGGGCGGCCTCGAAAAATGGGGCGGGCGGGGACGATAAACTAGGATTTTTTTTTACTTGGCCTAACGTTATAACCCAGGTTATGTACTCTTGGTACTAGGGAGGTTTAGTCCCACGTAATCCGTGGGTACTTTACGTGGGTGCACCACGTGATACTCAGTGACCCACGTACAGACGTTTTCTGATTCACGACATACCGTGTATGGAGGCTCACCCACGTTCCGCCAGAACGTGGGTGAAAATCAGAATGGAGCGCATTGTGCGAGCTGTGAGGGTGCTCAGCTGAATAAGTTTCCGAAGCACGAAATCAAAATATTGGATGAGCTTCTTAGGCCGGGGTAGCTTCGTCTTTGACCAGGTTTTGGCCTTTCGCTTCATGCTTTTGTTTGTTCCGTGTGACTAAACACAACATTGCAACGTGGGTGCCCTTCATCCACTTTACGTGGATCACCCACGTACGCGTTTCCGTTACGTGGGAACTAAACCTCCCTACTACCAAGAGTACATAACCCCCCAGAGTGTGCAACGCCGATCCAGCTCTGCAGCTGCATAGGGTCTTGGTCGAGCGGAATCGGATCTTCTGATGTCATGCGTACACTCCACACCAGCGCAAGGCCGGTCTCGAGGCAGGGTACCATTGTTTTTGATCCAAGAGCACCCGCGACTCCCCGGGTTCCCCTCAGATGTGTACGGTATTATGACGCAAAGATCCGATTCCGCTCGACCAAGACCCTATGCAGAGCTGGATCAGGCGTTGCACACTCTGGGGGGTTATGTACTCTTGGTACTACATGTAGTACTAGGGAGGTTCTGCTATACGTGAAACGTAGAGAAATCATGTAGAGAGCGCTAGAGCAGGTGTCTGGGTTAGAGTCTACGGCTTCGCGTGTTTTGGCTCCAGATTTCTACGCGGAGATGGGGTTCTCTACGTTGTGGCACATGCAGAGAAAATGCGTACGGATTTGCTGGGTATCGATCAACTGCATGCAGAAAAACTGCCAAATATGGAAGGGGAAATTCCCAGTACACATTCCACGTGACTTCTCTAGGTGAAACGCGTAGAGCAGAACAGCTAGCATTTCTTTACGTTACGGGATCGGGAACGCGAAGAAAGTTCGCGTGATTCTTTGCGTCGCGTTCCCAAAACGTAGAGCAGAACCTCCCTATTATTTTCGCCATTTGCTCCGCTCGTAGTGCACTAGTATACTATCGTGCCTGGTGAATAGGAAAGTAAATCATTTTACGGTCACCAGGTCACAGTTTACACGGTGGAGAAAGAGCGACAGGACAGTTGTCGGGGCTTGCGGGAATGGCTCCTACCGAGTGTTCCAAGTACTAACAAGCGTCCATACTCTTGGTACTAATAATAACTCAGTCTCCGTGTAGTGTCGGTGGTGCTCTGGTCGGTGGCAAGATAATGTCGGCGGAAGCGGAAGAACCTGCCGTTAGCCCTGCGGGCAACGGACAAGAAGCGACAACCAACAAGGATGCCGACGACGCCGAGTCCTCGGGTGATGATGTTCCGATTGTTATGGCTCCGCCGAAGCCTGACTCGTCCAGTGAATCAGATGACGGGCCTGACCCGTTCATCGACGAAGAAGCGCACGAAGACGATAGACTGCAATCATCCATGATCGACTACTATCGACCACCGACGAAGGGTTTCATGGACTACTATGATGAAGATAACTTGCTGGGCGGAGGGGGTAGCCGAGAGCACACACCATTCTACATGAATGCCTCTGCAGACAAGAAGGAGAAGAAAGAAGATACGAACCCTCTCAGCACCAAAGAGACGCAGCGACGCCTGGTCAGGGTCAAGGAGGACAAGTACCATCGGCGGGTAGTGCACATCACGGATGAGATCAAGATGATCAGGACCATAGACAAAGTGTATGGTTAGTGTGCTATCATTAAATTTTTGAAGACTGTATGGGCCACTGCATCGGCCACTGCATCGGCCACTGCACAGGCCACCTTATCAGCCGCTGCACCGGCCACTGTAAATGGGCCACTGCATTGATCACTGCATCAGCCGCTGTGTACGGGCCACTGTATCAGCCACCATAATGGCCTGCATCACGCACTACATCGGCCACTGCACCGGCCACTGTATCAGCCACAGTATATGTAATATGCCACTGTGTTGGCCACTGGCTTAGGGTGTGTGTCATTCCAATTGCGGTAGAGACAGGTCACATGTTTGAGAACTTGGGATATTCGATACCGTGCAGAGAGAGCGAGAGAGAGAGAGAGAGAGAGAGAGAGAGAGAGAGAGAGAGAGAGAGAGAGAGAGAGAGAGAGAGAGAGAGAGAGAGAGAGAGAGAGAGAGAGAGAGAGAGAGAGAGAGAGAGCGAGCGAGAGAGAGAGAGAGAGAGAGAGAGAGAGAGAGAGAGAGAGAGAGAGAGAGAGAGATAGAGAGAGAAAACTTAGGTTGGACCTACACATTGTTCACTCATCTCTCTTATCCAGACCTCGAAGTTGCAGGCACTCCGGTCTACCGGGAACTCTGTGGATGAGTTGTAGTAGAAATACTACTACTCTTTTGCCAATTGTCTAAATAGCGACGCCACAGGCCAGATCCGTCTGGCACTTCCCCATCAAAAAACGTACGTAATTCAGAGTTACGGAAGTTTGCAAGTTATGGCCAGTGCCCGGGGACCGCACGGATAAAAGAGGTAATGAGTGTACCGTGCATAGGGTGGTGACATGTGTGCATGATTTGTCATGTGGGAATCCCTGGTGTTTTTAGAAAGCCTAGTTTAGTATCACCTGTTATAGAGTGGTTTCACATCCTGGTCATGTGACTAAATTTCTGTAGAACGTGATCATGTCATGTGAACAGTGGGACCAACATGGCCGACGTCATGTGACCCATAGATGCAAGGGTTAACGTGAGTTAGAGCCAACATGGCCGTGTCCCGTATGGTCATGTGATAGATGCAACACCACTTTATCATGTTTATAGCGCTGTGCTGCTTTCCTCCGTGCATGTTCATGCTGATCTAGAGGGAGATAGGAAAGCATACGAGGAGTCTTCTATGCGACAGCGTGACTTCAATGCGGAGAAGATCAGACGACTGCGTGCGGCAAACAAGATCCTTCGCCGAGAGCTTGTGATGCGTGTTCGTGTAAGTGGTGTGAAGCCGAACCCGTGTAGGGGAGGGGGGGCTGCAACCCCACCATCGATCCGAGCACAAGATGCATCTTGTGGTTCCAGTATGCAGGCACAGTCTGTCTCCTGGTTCTGGATGGTCACTTGCCCTCACCATGCACAGTTGAATCAGTCGGAACCCATGTCTTGGGAGGTTGTGTAAAAGCAATAATTATTATCATGTGCATGATTTAGCTGTCACGAACACAGCACATTGCTCTGCGCTGTTTGTACAGACTGCAGTTGTGCACTGCTATTTTCTTTCCCTTGGTCCATAGGGAGATGAAGTGCTGGTGAAGCGAGCGTTTGACAACGCCGACAACCCGATGCCACCACGATTTGCGGGTATGGATAGTAAGGTGAGCCGGCTTACCCAACTCTAGTATCCCTTCATCTGTAACAGTTATACTGACTTGTGTGGTTTAAATCTGGCTTTGGAAAATTTATTTTTCATTGCTATCAGGTTCGGCCTCATTTCCTCTGTGCTGCACTGATGAGTCTACAAAGGACGAAACAGTGACTTGGATGGTCACGAGTGTGAGCGACGGTCGTACGGAATACACACCGTATATGTCACGCTTAGTTTACAGAGGAAAATGATCTTGTACATGTACTTGAAAGTAGTACAAGCAGTAGTGGTAGAAGTGGTAGTGAAATTGGTTGCATGCTGCTGAGCTCCATCTTTGCTTGATGATTGTACTTCGAAGTAGATGCCACTTAGGAGTTGGAATATTGGCGTTCTGCATCATACATTTGTATTGGTTATCTTTGATGTGGAAGTGTGTCGCACCAACCTCTTCTTTATCTTCGATGTGTGAGTCGAAAACCTTTCCCTATGGCAAGCCCATGCTTTAGGAGATGTTACTTTTAGGACTACATGCATTGCCTTACACTGGTACGGTGTCTGTCTGCATTTACCTGTGTGTTTGCGCGGATAACCGTTATGCACGTGGTGTATGCAGAAAGCGCGGCAGGAGCTAGACCGAAAGATCAGCCTATCCAAGAAACGCCTGGATCTGCTCTGCTACAAGAACAAGCAGCATGAAACCCGTGTAGAGGAGCTGAGGACAGACTTCAATGCCCGGCAGCTGGAATACAAGTACGTCACCAAAGTTCAGGACAACGAGATCAAGGAGGCCAAGACCCTGACGACTATTTCCAACGAAGTGATGCTTATACGGGAGAGACTTAAAGACGCTCGCCGTATCAACACTCTCTACCATGTTATGGTGGAGAAAATGGCAAATGTAAGACACTGAGTCCTCAGATGGTGAGCCAAGGAAGAAATTGTAACATGGACTCCTTGTCAGGTTTGTGCTAGATTGTGCACGTCTGACTGTTCAAAATCTGGTTCAGTTGGTGGACTGAGTCACTCGATCGCATAACTTGTGCCCACATTTTTCCATGTAAGACAGTGAGCATAGAGTTTCCATTGCCGCAGTCCCCTCTAGCCCTGTGTTAGTTTCACAGTACATGTACATGATCAGGTGCAGATCATACAAGTACATGTACACAGTGTACTAAACACTGGGGACTTTTCAAACCTTAACACAAGTACAATCAGACCTCGCTTAACCGCACACATCCGTTCTCCACAAAATATCCGGATAGGGGAGGGAACCGGATAATCGAACACACATACTGTATGTATACATGACATATGCTGTAAATTGGTAACCAACAATTTTCTTCCAGATGGCGAGGGATCCGGATTAAAGAGGACCTGATAAGCGAGGTCTGACTGTAGTGGACATTCGCACTGCGCTCACTACAATCATGTGCTTCCAGTCTGTCATCCAGGCACGATAGACAAAGCACATTACTGCCGTACAGTGCTGTGAGTGCATTGGTAGTGAGTGTTTTGGAGTAACAGTGTTGGGAGTACACAGTACCCAGTTCATTCATGTGCATTAGTGAGATGGTGCACTGTAGTCTTTTACGATGTAGTGAAGGATTTCATCCAGGACCGAATTCCAAGATGATATTCATGCATGCATGCATGTGTGTATGTGTGTGTGTGCGTGTGTGTGTTTTTCTGCACCTTGTCCTCACCCACTTACTGAGGTGTGGTGAGCCCATAAGTGGGATCATTTTCAAGTCCACCCAGAGTTTTGGAGATTTCAGGGGGCGTCGGCCGTTGGGCGGTTCAATAGCCAGTTGAGTCATCTTTCCAAGATTCCTTTTGAGTCTCTCTCCCCTCTCCCGGGGAGACCCACGTGACCAGTTTTGGCAGTGAGCAACAAGTACAAGTACAAGTGTGTGTGTGTGTGTGTGTGTGTGTGTGTGTGTGTGTGTGTGTGTGTGTGTGTGTGTGTGTGTGTGTGTGTGTGTGTGCGAGTGCATGTGTGCTTGTGTGCGTGTGTTTGTACATCCTCGTATACGTGTCTGTACACACTCATGTGCATGTGTATGTGGCGGTACAAGGACCGGATTCATTTTGACAGGCTACTGCTAGCAATATTGTTCTTCATCAAGAGACGGCAGAGAGAGTACCTGGATGCATCATTCATATTCTGCTCAGTTCACGAGACAGCTGATGATGTCAAGGTAGCTAATAGTGCCATTGCATGGAGTTATAAGTTATTTACTCCTAGAGCAATAGAGGCGGAAGCAGTTTTGGATTGGTCAGGCCATACCACAGCCCCTCTTCACACAATGGGCGTGATATATTGTGGATGAACATGACCTCCTCACGTGTTGGTAGCCAAAACATTGGTCCGGCCATGGCCTGGCCAACCGAACCGGTTCCGCCGGGCCTACAGAGGTCAATGTGGAACTTCCTTTCAGCAGTATTCCACTGTAGCCACGTGCATTTGAAACTTGAATCATGGGCAGCACACTTCCATTGGTACTCGTGCATACCGACATTGTGCAGGGCAGACGTACATGTATACAGCTCAGTCAACTTGCCAGTTATGTGACGACCCTTTGGTGCCGGACTAGTGCATTTTCCGGGGGGTGTTGACACTACGGACAATAGATTGTGCATTGTGAAAAGCACGATAATCCCATGGCCCGGTCATCTTTCTGACATCATGTGTCAATGATGTCGCAGATCAGAGCTCTCTGAGTCTATGATATGAGTGCCACTCCAGGATTCTGACAATGACCAACATACTGATATATGCATTCTATCATGCTGCCAGAGAGGAGTTACGGACAAGGAGGGCACACTTCATGATATCAAGAAGAAGAACAACAACATCCTGGGAAAGTACCAGAAGATAGTCGAGGAGTACAGAGAGGAGGCCGAGAATCCGAAAAGAAGGGTGAGTCACAGTGAACTTCTTGCTTCAACCGTCTGTCCACTGGGAAAGCTAGGGTTGATTCTAGACCCAACCAGCTTGATGAAAGGATCATAGCACGAGCAGATTTTTACACATGTAGTATTTGACTATAGCATCTCTTGCTTAAAATGATGACATTAAAAATGGATTACCGTCTTGTCGATCTGCAGGCTAAAACGTTCAACTTTCTAGCAGAATTTTCGCAGAAGAAATTATGTGAACTGGGTGTTGGAAGAGACAATGCATATCCACTGATATAGAAAGAATTGGCTGTTGCCCCATTGGACTTTTGACCTTTTTACCTTCTTACTTTGATATTACCATGTTCTTAGTACTGGCATGGTTTGTGCGTGCTGTGTTTGTGTGCCGCGTAGTCTTCCATGATGTATGGACCGGAGGCGGTACCGAAAGAGCCAGGTAAATTGTATCAGAACTTGTCTTTGAGATTGCCCTGCTTGTAGATGACTTCTTGGTATGGTGGCATTTCGCCTGTACACGTTCCTTGCTTCTAGTAAAAAAAAAAAAAACTTTTAATATCCCACTCTCAGACTGTGTTGCTGCCTCAGCACCACAAGTAATTACTTGATTGCATGGCAATGTGTTATGCGGTTAACCTGCAACCGGACCGTTTCTGGCGGGCCTGCTGCAAGTTCGACTTCAAATTCAGCTGTCGTATTGGGTCTATACCCTGTGTTTCATTTTCAGAAAAAAAGTATTCGGTGCAGCAGAAAGCACCGGTTGAGGGCGAGATGGAAGGATTCAGGGAGGTCATGTTGAAGATCGGCGCTGCTATTGGTACGAAGTCCCCCATCGTAAGTATTACTGTACTTTGTGCAGATGTTTGACTCTCAGTGCATGCATCAGATTGCCACTGTGTTAAGTCTACCTATAGAGGCTATGATATTGCATCATCAGTTGAGAGCAGCTTAGACAGAGTTACGGGACTCGTGGACACACTTCTGCACTACATGTATCTAAATCAAAACTGTCGACGTCTGCTGTATACTTAGCGTCCACAAGCAAATCCGCTAGTTCACCCAAATCCTCCCATACATCAACACATATGTACAGTCATGTAACTCCAACAGACCGATTACAAATTAACAAATCATGCTACGTTTTGCTGTATGTGTTCAGACGGTGGCAAGGCTGCTAGAGAACGAGGCAGGACTCAATGAAGCACTGAAGGAAGAAGCTGACAAGAGCAAGAAGAGCGTTGGCAACATGAAGGAGAGGCGGGCAAGTGCAGCACTAACATAACACTGTATTGCATTGTACTTCAATAGTTTTACTGCGGCGCATTGCCAACCCGCGACCTTACGAGTCATGGTCTTCTCTTTCCAGTGTTTCCAGCACTGATGTACTGTCGTTCTGTTCTCGTACGGTACCATTGGAAAAACAGAGTAGTATTCTAGTTCAGTGTCACTTCTATTGACTGTCAACACAGGGACTCATGCTTAGCTTTCAATCCACTATGCTAAATAGATGGCTTACAATCCATTCAATGCTACATAGATGGCATACCTCAGTACATGCAGATATTCTTCTTAGGAGTCACGGCCCATGATCCTGACCGGATACGACACAGCAATACCAAGGCCCAACCCAGCCTCTACTCTTTTGGACATTGTATTTGTGTGTGCACTAGGAGGAAGTGGAAGAGGCATTCAAGAAACTCAAATTCTCTCAGGCAGCCAAATTATCCAGGTGATGTAGTTCGTATTGTTTATGTTTCCCCTCGTCATTATCATCCATCGCTTGCAGCTCTACTGATCTACTTAAAGGGATTTGTTCATGTCCACCCTTCTCCTGCTCCAGCTTTGTTCCTTCTCCTCCTGCTCATCCTGTTCCTCCCACAGCTGTGGCTGCTCCACCTCCTCCTTCTTTCTCCCCCCTCCCCTCCTTCTTTCTCCCTCCCTCCCCTCCTTCTTTCTCCCTCCCTCTCCCTCCTTTCTCCCTCCCTCCCCTCCTTCTTTCTCCCTCCCTCTCCCTCCTTCTTTCTCCCTCCTCCCCCTCCTTCTTTCTCCCTCCTCCCCTCCTTCTTTCTCCCTCCTCCCCTCCTTCTTTCTCCCTCCCCCTCCTTCTTTCTCCCTTCCTGCCCCTCCTTCTTTCTCCCTCCCTCCCCTCCTTCTTTCTCCCTCCCTCCCTCTCCTTCTTTCTCCCTCCCTCCCTCTCCTTCTTTCTCCCTCTCTCTCCCTCCTTTTTTCTCCCTCCCTCCCCCTCCTTCTTTCGCCCTCCCTCCCCCTCCTTCTTTCTCCCTCCCTTCCCTCCTTCTTTCTCCCTCCCTTCCCTCCTTCTTTCTCCCTCCCTCTCCTTCTTTCTCCCTCCCCCTCCCGTTTTTCTCCCTCCCTCCCTCCCCCTCCCTCTCCTTCTCCCTCCCCCTCCCTCTCCTTCTCCCTCCCTCCCTCCCCCTCCCCTCCTTCTCCCTCCCTCCCCTGCCTCCTCTTTGCTGATCATATTGCTCCTCCTCCTCTTCCTCCTGCTTTTGCTGTTCCTCAACAGTTGACCTGCCTTCAAAATCCAATGGTCACTATCAGCCTCTCACACACCCGCACACACACACACACACACACACACACACACACACACACACACACACACACACACACACACACACACACACACACACACACATACACACACACACACATACACACACACACACACACACACACACACACACACACACACACACACACACAAATACACACGTGTGGCTTGAAAAGTGCTACACTTCAGTATTCGGCTTTCTACTTTCTCTGTTGTGTCGTGGATGGACGTCTCTAGTGGGCAAAGAATGCTGGATGACATGAGGAAACAGATCGAAAGTGTCAAGAAAGAGTACGTAGACCATGTTTAGTTACTCTTCATTGTAGCCGTTTGTTGGATATTAATGTCTAAGGGAAAGTTCAAGATATTCATCAGTTCAATTTGAGGGAATTATTGGGATTTCAAGGACTACTGGTATCACAAGTTTCATTGTCAAATGAAATTGCTGCTAGGTTAGGCCGGCGGCTCTCTGAACACGTAGACAATGTCAGTGTTATACATAGCAAGTTTTGCACAATGTAAAGCATATCATCATTCTGCTCTTCCTTTTAACCCTCATACTTAGTTCCCGCTTTCCGATATCTCTCAACACGTTCCCACTATCAAGGAGATGTAGTCTTTCATATGCATGTGCTATTAATATAGTGCACAGTGAATTGGTTGGAAGGCGCTGAAGACATATCAACGCACATAGTTACGGCAACATTCCATACCAGTAATTCTCAAATTACTGCCGCGGCACGGTAACAACGTGATCCGCAGGCATTGTGTACTATTCTTCTTACACTGTTATCGTACCGTTTGCTTCCGTGCTTGCGTGCTTGTGTGCTTGCGCGCCCAGGGACAAGTTGCTGGAGATTGCCGCACTGGAAGTATGGTCCAAAGTGGACGAAGTCAGAAACGGCATTCTGCACCTCAGCCAGAAGCTAGCTCACTTACCTGATGTACGTGTACTGTGTTGTAACACTATGAGCCTGGCTTGTGATACCCACCATTGTCGCGGGAGCCCTTTCGTCCTAACACTACTGTGATGAGCATTTACTACGAATACCTGGCATGTGTTCAAAGAAAGTCAAGGACGTAGTATGTTTCCGTACAATCTGCAGAAGGAACGATGGCAGTCAAAAACAGCGGGGAAGCTTGACTCTTGCGTTGAAGACATGAAGGTTCCCTTACATGTTTGCTTACCCATTGTGTAGTACTTCTCAATCTTCACATAGCTAGCCAGCAAGTTCCAATTTGTTAGGTCTCGTCCGCGGAGCTTAGAGTCACTTGCCAAATCGATTGCAATCAGGCCTAGTGAACAACAAAGCAGCTCAAAGTGTTCAAAGTTTTTTGAAAAGTGCTTTAGCTGCAAGAAACACAGCCAGTTTGGCACAAGGGCACCTCACCCGATCAGTGCAATGTGCAAAGCCCATGCTGCAAGGATGCTGGAACTCCTGTTGGACACTGATAGGTGCTCTGCTGGTAAATGCAACGCTTTTATGTGAGTAAATGGGCTACCGTGCCTGTACAAGTGACTTTTTCTAAATGGGCTACCGTAATAGTCCCCTAACTGCCAGTTACATAGAGGTATGTGTTTTTTTTATGTCTCAGTACCTGCTTTTAACCCGTTTTCCGTTGTGGATATTTCGGTCTTTGACCACTTGGTGGTGGGTCTGATCTACTCACCTCCCACCGTTTAGGTGCTGCATCTGCGCCTTTGATCCTAGAGGGTGGTGGCATTCCCACGGCAGATGCGGAAAACTCGGCTTCCAGCCGAGTCTCACGCGAACCGTGAAATTTATTTAATTAAAGTACGTACATGTACTTACTTCAGGCAGGGTACTAAATTTCGGGCGCGAACTAGCTTCCCTGAGACCTGACTTACGCGTCAGTAAAAAAAGTAATTTTTATCCAGTGTATGCCATAGCATGGAACAATGGTACATACTGCCCACTGCATGTGAAAACTGTACCAGTACTGATTTTTGGTCATTATGTTTAGCGGGCTTGGCTTGACTTGACTTCACCAGACAAAGTCGAAAGGATGAAGGGGACATTTATCTTGAACAGGCTCTTGTTTATTCATTGGTTTGAGGGAAACGATGCAAACGGGGAAAAGTCTGAAGACAAATTGACTGTCACCACCAGTCCAGGACTCGAATCAGGTACCTTCGCTTGAGGCCAGCGATGCTCTAACCACTGGCCTATATATGGTGTAGCTGTTCTTATTGACTGACTTTTACCGTAATAGTCAGAGACCAAGGCCTGCCATGTATTGTATACCTATGGTATAACCATCCTATCATTCACTGCTGCTTTCTGGATCCGTTCTGCAGCCCGTCAAGTATCAGAAGCGGTTTGAAGTGCCGAAGACCGATGAGGAGCACATTATGGAGGTTGCCCACAGCTGCCAAGCAAAACTAATTGATCTCGGTAAAACCTTAGAGGAGCAGGCGAGGACGGTCAATCGTGGAGAAATGAATGCTCTACAAGTAAGAACCTGGGAAGTACACAGCGACATTGATTCACTTCTCCCCCATACCCTCCCCGTACCCTCCTCCTCCCCCCCCCCCCCCCCATGCCCTCCCCAATACCCTCTCTAATACCTTCTCCATGTGCTCCCCAATAGTACCAGGAAAATATTCTTGTACATGTTCACTACAATGTTCTCATTTGGGAGAATCCTAGCGTACTTGAAGTACAATCATGTATGGTATAGTACTAGCAGCACGACTCACTAGCCATGTCAATCCCTCTATTACCGGTATCCTATTCAACTTTCGTCAGTGTCCATTCCCACGGTATGCACCGACGCAGCAGATCCAAGCAACAGGACATTCTGAACAGTGTCAACTTGCCCGACGTTTTCATTCCCTTCTCAACAGTGCCAATTTTGCTTGTTTTTCTTGGTGCCAGTTCATGTCGAGCATGGTGGAGAGAATGCCCCAGACTAACATGCGTGTTTCTATGGAGAAGAAACTAAGTCAAACCAAGGTCAAGATTCAGCGTGAGAAAGATATGCGCGGTGAGAACTATGACTACACGTGATTCTGCTTTGCTCATTTATATGCATTATCCATTCCCTTATTTTTAAAAGGGTTTTATACATGCAGGGTGAAATACGGAATACATGGACTATCTGTATATGCGCTCGTAGCAATGACAAGGATACACTGCACACTGCACACTCGGCACTTCATACACACGTCAATATGTATGGCCATTGGGTACCGTATTTTCCAGAGTATATTAACCCTTTGTGGACGGACTGTACGAGTTTCGATCTAATAAGATCGAAAGTCTGCAGGCGGTAAAATCTTCGTAACTCCATCGTTTCTTGAGCAAATTCCACAATCGAAGGGTCTACGTGGTAGCGGAAACTCCAAGCTGTCCAATGCAACAATCGCCGAAGAGTTACGATGTCGGACGCCAGAGATATCGCACGCCGTATTCTCACCTCGGCAAATTCAAATTTTTGATCGATCATTTCACCATTTTGGGGGAAAACCCCTTTTCGTGTGCTCTTTGAGCGACTGAGCACATGATAATGACGTAGCCGGCTGAAGTTTGAATCGTCTCGAACAGATTTGAGCGTTCTGCGATGAAGGAGAGTGGAATGGCGGTGATGGGACGAATTTGCTTGCATATCAGGCTTGGAGACGACTTTGCTGTGTTACCGCGCCTGATTTGTGGCGGCTGGATAATGGAGATTGGTACCCTGGCGTTGCTCTCGTCAAGAGCTTTCCAATGAGCCCTTGATTGTGAAAATCAAGTGAAGGACACCAAAGTTTTGACATGGTAAAGTTGAAAATTGTACTGACATTTTGTAATTCTGGTGCGTACTGTGCTAGTAATCCGTCCATAAAGGGATAAGCCGCACTGGAGTATAAGCCACACTGGAGTACAATCCACACTGGAGTACAAGCCGCACTGGAGTATAAGCCGCACTGGAGTATAAGCCACACTGGAGTATAAGCCGCACTGGAGCCACGCCCAGACTTTTTGACACGAAATACAGACATCTACTCTGTTTATCACCATGCATTTGATCATCGTAGTATAAGCCGTACCAACTTTTCTCGGGTGAATTACTGGTAAAGTGCGGCTTTAATATACTCCGGAAAATACGGTAGACTCCAAGAACATTTCCTTGTGATCGTCATCAGCACTTTTGCAGTGGGTGACTGAGAAGAGTGGAGTAGTTTCTAAGAATGCGTCAATGGCTGCAATGGCGCCTCCGTGTTTTGAAGAAATGGCTCACATGGGGACTATTGCAGAAGTGTTCAGAAGCCCAGTATCTTTTTGGTTCTTTTCACTTTGGTGCACAGCTCTAGAGGAGGATATCGTTGTCAAGCCCGAATACATCTCCAGAGAAAGGATCCGACGTCAAGTCAACCGCTTCCAGGGCGTGGGCAAGAAAAAGAAGAAGAACCGGAAGAAAAGAACGGGCTATGGTGTATGAGGCGTGTGGTGCGTGAAATATACCATTGTGCTCGGCATGTGTTTGCTTACTGAGCTGGCAGCAGGTGCCGCTCCTGTCCTTCCAAGTGCTTCTCGTTGGTTATCCTGAATGCTGCAGAAGCAGATGTGCTCCTCGTTTAGTGCTCTGGACACTGCTGATGGCTTTTGGAGGTGTGTTTGGGGATCAGTGCTGTGTTTTTCTTAGTTCTTGCAGTCATGGGGATTATGTGCTGTGACCGTCGCCGTCTCCACCTCTGTCTAGCTACTTCGCACTAGAGAGGAAGAGTATCCTGAAGAACTCATTTACTTGCAAATGTCATAATCCATGAGCGGTCTCCCAAGGTCTGTATTTCTTGATTAAAGTTACCCCAACCGCAATGGACCCGAGTGTTTGTTTCCAATCCTGTGTTTCAGTATGCCGTAAATCAAAGGAAAGGGCCTTAGGCTGTTTGTTGTGTTCGTACTCATACAAGTATCTATTATGCAAACAAGTAGACAATCACTGGCTTGACTTACCTGTATGAGCATGTGCAGCATCTGTGATTTCGGATCTCTTCTCGTGACAATCCTCGTAATAAGGATAGCTGCAACTGTAGCTTTTGTATATTCAGCTGTCCTCCTCCTCCTAATCAACATACAAAATATGTCCAGGTGTAGCTAGGTTCTGGAAACCATCCACGCAGCCATCATGATTCAGTCATGCATGCAGAATATAAATTATGCCCAGTTTCACTCGCCACTGATCTCTTAAATCCTGGTTGCTTGTGTGCCTGCTTTGGTGGGTTGGGTTGGTTGGTGAGTTGGTTGGTGGGTTGGTAGGTAAAGTCGTGCACCAAACAGGCAGAAGTGCAGCTGTTTTACACACGAGTTCTGGTGTGTGCTCGTAGGCTGTACTGGTATTTCATGGTGTGCAATGCTGCTACATGTCAAGTACCTGATGGTGTGGCACAATGGACAACGTTGACATAGACATGATAATATTAGTCATAATGTAAAGTCAGTATAAACGCACTGACTGTGCAGAAGGGAACAGAGATAACCGGCTACATTGTCTGTAGATCATTGTTGTAACGCTGCGTTTCCTGCACATAGCAAGGCTAAGACAATCTTCAGACAATTATTAGCAGTGACTGTGCACATGTCATACCGGTATGTAGAACCGACAGACTCACTGCAGCCTAGCGGCAATGTGCCACTGGCACTGTGAAGGCTGCAGAGCGGTGCCAGCACGCAGGGTGCATGAGTGTTACATTGACATGTCACGCTCCGACAATCTCGCTACCAAGCAGGGAGTAGTACAATACTATAATTATTATTGTACTACTCCCTGCTACCAAGTACCATCGTCCATCGCCTTCAAGAATGGTACATATATCTACTACTGGTATGTGCAGATGTGCCCGGTTATTTACATGAAACATAACACTTGCACCGGTACTGTCGTAGCTGGTCCTTCATCATGGCAATCAGTACAATACTGACCTGTCATGCAGTTCTACCATGGCATGAGTCTATGCAATGTGCATGTGGTCGCTACAGCTCGAGTTGTCTCGATGTATGACGTCTGGTCCTCGTGACCGCGATGATCGATCGGCGACAGCACGCACTTAGGCGGGGAGCATCTTCTTCCGGACCTCGGAGCGCAATTGGTCTTTGGACACGTACAAATCATTGGCCCACATACAATGATACAGCCTATACGGTTTACTATGATTTTGATGATGGGCCATGGCATGGGCATAACCATTACATGTACCATGATTACTGGCAGTAAGATCTGACAATCGACACGAAGCTGACGTCTGACATCGTAAGCAGACGTGAGTGACCATGTAGACTCAGTTGAACTACTAATAGCAATACTGTACTTGGGGAGTTGGGGACTTTTCGTCCTAGGCCTGCTGGGTCAGGTGACTAACTACTGCTGTCCGTTGGACCATCGCACCCGGGTACCCGGTACCCGCACAGGCTCCCAGCTCCACCGACGTCGGCAAATTCCGCCAGTTCGACGTTGAGTAGATCTACGAGCCATTTCAATGTTTCAGTTCGAGGAACTAACAGTTACTTGAAGGTTTGTTTATTCGAAGATAGTGCAAGTGGACGAAGTATTGGTGAACTCGGCGCGCTAATTCATTGCGTGTTTCTGGACCAACCCCATTGCGTGCTCTTTTCTACCTTACGTAGTGGGTGAGCATCACCATCAGGAATAGTAATATCCGAGTTTCAACGGTCTGGAATAGTGAGTGCCAACTCCCAAGTGTTCAGCACATCTCTGGCTGTCCGCATCGTTCTTAGCCGGAACCTACTTCGGTCGACCCATAGAATCTTCACTGATGTTGCGCAGCCGGTTGACGCTACCCGCAATTCAATGCGGTAAGAACGAACAGTTATCCGACTGTAAACAGTTGGATGGCTGTCTCAAAGAGTGTATCTGTGTGCACGCTTGCGTTGAGTCCTGAACGCGGCAACGAACGTTGAATGGAAATTTCTTCTTTGTACATACCACAATGTCAACATAATCGCCGCAACTGTTACTTTGGTCGGCGAAGGGAATGAACATTACTCAAAGAAGTAAACTAACTTACTACACTGTAGCTGTAAAAAGTACCAGTGACGAATGAAAGGGTTGAATTATTATTTCACTGGCCAGGGCTGTCTGTACTTCAGGTGGTGATGTAGTCGTCATACTGATCATCACCATGCACCAGTACTAGACTGACATAATATCTGTCGTGTTCACACTGTTCCGTGGATCACAGAAATGGTGGGGTTCTCAAGAGCCCAGTACATGTAGTCATTGAATTATACTTGGGACGCGGAACCGTGTGATGATTACTTTACCCGCTGAAGTAGAGCTCTGGCCAGTGAAATCAAACACTATGGATAAAGTAGCATTGCATTTGAATGCACGCTCGGCTGGAATAGTGTTACCGGTAGTTGTGCTAAGGCGTGTACATGTACATGTACATGTACCGCTCAGCGCAATTCCATTCATGAGCTCGAATTTCATTCGCCAATACCTTTTGATACAGCAGTGAATGCTCATGCTTGTGGTTACTTCAGCGCTCAGCATGCATGAGTGCGTGCATGCCTGCATGCCCAGTGCAGCCTGGTGGTCGCAGGTCTGCATGTGTCAGGCTGTGCAGTGCCCAGTGCTATAATACCTGAAGGGATTGATTCAACCCACTGCCTAGATTTCATCATTAGGCAACCCCATGATTAGTTACGGTTAGCGGCATTGCCATTGGGATGGTTTGAGACTGGTGTCGGAGCAGGACGATACGACATACCCGGTGTGGACCTGGGGGAGCAGTTGCATGAGCTAATGCCAAATTGAGCTAAGGCCAAATTGAGCTAAGGACAATCCCATGTACTTCTGTAGTGCACACACCGTCATGAGTCAGTGCGGCGTGCCGAGTCTTGCTTATGTTGCACCGGTTGCATGCATGTGACTACATGTGACTACAGGTGTTCTTTGCTGCTACCTGATGCAGACATGGATATCTGGTCAGAGCTATGCCAGTCCACTGTGGTAAGCACCAGACTGATCTTATACTGTTTCAGTGGACACATGATATTCTGCGCGCTTGGATATTTGGCACAGCGGAAATTTCATCCTGCAATACAATAATACATGTACTTGTAATACTATTGGGAGGGCATAACCGGCTTAAATGGACATATCTGTGCAACGCAGTTACAGATGCGTACAAGGCAGAGTACTGGTGAAGGAAGTTGGCACTGCAATGGTTTGAGCTACATTCTTTGTTGTTGGTACTCTGATTATCCGTATTATCCGTATTCACATGGCCTTTGCCATTCATTCAGTATATTAATGTCATCAATAATGATATTCTTGTTTGTATTAGTTTATGTGACACCATTTTCTATTTTTCTTTGCCTGCCTGCCTGCTGGTGGCCTTTTTTCGCATGGTTCGGTGCAAGCGAATTTGGGCGAGCCCATTGACGCGGGAGCACAAATAATAATAATAATAATAATAATAACCGGCTTACTGAGGTGGTACGGTGGTACGTTGTACTTGGTGCAAGTGGTTACAGATGTTCAACTCCTGACCCAACACAACGCGGCACTCCATTATGTTTTCACCTGATTGTGCTCTCGTTGATCTGAATTGGCTGTTATTTCACAGGGCGGCAGACGACAATGGTGCATTTGATAGTAATTCCACGAATGACACAACCTCCTCTACTGCCACATCAACTTCCTCAGTCACGTCGAGCAGCATAACAATGCCTAGTTCCTCTACTGCCACATCAACTTCCTCAGTCACGTCGAGCAGCATAACAATGCCTAGTTCCTCTACTGCCACATCAACTTCCTCAGTCACGTCGAGCGGCATAACAATGACTAGTCCCTCTACTGCCCCTGCAAAGTAAGTTCCGGCTACTGTTTAAAGGGGAAGTTAAGGCAAAAATTAAAATTTCACCAGTTGTAGTCTTCGGGGTGCTGAGTCGAATGGTCGTGGTCCGAGGAAGCTGATACTCTCCATTCCTACTTGAATCCCAATCGAACTCGCGCACTTCCACCGAAACTGGGTGACTGCGCCCTACTAGATGGGGATTTGTATGCAAAATGTCACTAAAAGCGCCATTTCGTTCTTATAAAAGCACGGATGACCGCGATTGGCCCATATGTTGTAGTCTTTTGGACGCTGAGTCGACTGGTTTTGGTCCGAAAAGGCTGCGATGCAGCGTTCCTCCTTTATTCCCAATCGAACATGGTTGAAGAAGCGGTCACGTGCTCCTGCGTACACCAGTCACCTGGTCACCGTGCCTGCAGGGTACAACTTACTAGCCTGTTTGACCTTTTTTGGGTGCAGTCCTGTCACTCGAGTTGAACTCGAGTTGAACCTTGGTGTGAAAGTTGTCGCCTGCTGGCGCGGTGACCAGGTGATTTGGGCACCCAGGAGCACGTGACCGCTTGTTCAACCATTTTCGATTGGGAATAAAGGAGGAACGCTGCATCGCAGCCTTTTCGGACCAAAACCAGTCGACTCAGCGTCCAAAAGACTACAATATATGGGCCAATCGCGGTCATCCGTGCTTTTATAAGAACGAAATGGCGCTTTTAGTGACATTTTGCATACAAATCCCCATCTAGTAGGGCGCAGTCACCCAGTTTCGGTGGAAGTGCGCGAGTTCGATTGGGATTCAAGTAGGAAGGGAGCGTCTCAGCTTTCTCGGACCAAGACCATTCGACTCAGCACCCCGAATACTACAACTGGTGAAATTTTAGTTTTTGCCTTAACTTCCCCTTTAAGTGCACACTCTACAGGCCTGATCTGTATGACCAAAGAGTTTAGTATTTCAAAATCACACACCCATTATGCCCATGTGCAGTGTTACCAAGTGCCCTCTACCCCCATGCGTACTGCCCAGTGCCATTTTGCAGAATTTTTCAGAGTTTTCCGTACTCGTTTTTCAGGTCAACAATTTGACTGATTTAGTGTAATTTGGAAGAAAAAACGATACTGTACAACTTTTCCAGCCACAGAGTTCACTTGCGAAGCCTACGAATTCAGTACAATTTTCAACTTCACCAGGTCATAACTTTGGTCTATATTTCTGGAATCCGATATCGTAACGCTTCCGTGAGTGTTGCATTGGACAGCTTGGAGTTTTGGCTGCCACGTAGATCCTTCGGTTGTTGAATTGGCACAAGAAACGATGGAGTTACGAAGGTTTTAGCAATAGATCATACCGGTATACATGATCGTTTGCGGGATATCCGATTGAAATCCGTACTGCGGACAAAACTTCTTTTTTCCGTAAAAATACGGACAAATACGGGCGGTTGGCAACACTGCATGTGCATGCTTGCACCCCGCCCCCATACACACAGTGACACAACACCACACGAACACACATCAATATGATCGTATTATTCTGTTCCGCTAACGGTTACAGTAACTGCCTATGTCCTGATATGTGACCTAGAGATCATGTGACTCGCCTGTGCTAGACATGTTACTGTAGATCTGTGATAATGCAACAGACAGGTGCACTCTTTCATTAACATCACAGTATGTTTTATGCATCTTCAGAGGCGGATATGAATATTCCGGTTGTGCCATCATCATTAAATTTATATGCATGTACATGTAAGTTATGCATGGGAGAATGTTTCCCTACCCAATCTCATTGATGATGATATTACTTGAAGTATGATATTGCTTTGTCTGTCTTCCTTTCACAGGGTGACCACCCGGCCGAACACTATTGCTCCTGGTCCTTCTGTTTCTCCGCCATCTCAGCTGTATTTGTGGACGACGCCATGTGTATCACTGGCTGTGTTCAATATCACTTTTCAGTATGCAAAACCAGGTAAGCCGAGAACAACTATAATACAATATCGGGTTGTTGTTTCGTTCGTCTTGGTCTCTTGTCTCGTCGTCTATAATAAATGTCGTTCCCATCAACCTGCCTGTTCCCGTTGTCAGTTGTCCTTGTTCTTACTCAACAGTGTCATTGATCCTGTCCTTTTCTGATGATCCCTGCAGTGCATGCAGTATGTGATGTGCATGCTCGAAGAAGCAGTCATATCTACATTGCATCCTTGCGTTAGACTCCCTCCACCGTGAATAATTCTTCACCATTGGCTTATCCCATCTACCCTTCATCCTACCATTCATAGTACTTGCATGGCGAGCTGGAAGAATAGGTACTAGTAACCGGATAGTACAGTGACCTTCGTCTACGTTCTTTGTACTCGTTTCGTCATCTGGACAGGGCTGATGTTCGACATCGTTACTGACATCCCTACGCTGAACACAAAGTACAAGGTTGAGGGTCCCAGAGTCCAAGGCAGCTGCTCAACGTCCAACGTACACGCTCACATTGAGATGTACTGGGAGAGTAGCCGCGCCAACACAACGGAACACTTCAACTTTACGGTTAGGTCATTGACGAGTGGCTGATGTAATGTCACAGTGCACAGGACAGTCAGACCTCGCTTATCGGGTCCTCTTTTATCCGGATCCCTCGCCATCCGGAAGAAAATCGTTGGTCACCGATTTACAGCATGTGGCATGCATAGTATTGCATACATACAGTATGTGTGTTCGATTATCCGGTTCCCGTGCCTATCCGGATATCTTTGTGGAAAACGGACGTGTGAGGTTAAAAGCGAGGTCTGACTGTATTCCCACAATACATGTATAGCATCATGGACGGACTAACTGTTATGTGCATGCCGTTCTTGTAGCACCTGAGACACTGCAACCCCCACCACAATACATTGTAGACAATCCAAGTAGGTATGACGGTACTGATGTAGGCTAGCCTGTTGTTGTACTGCATACAGATCAAATTTGTGCAGAAAGACGGAGAGTGGGAAGCGGTGGAGTTCACTCACAGGGACACCGGGGAAAAAACCTTCAGGTACAACGATCAGGCTTACTTCCTGTCCCCACTGGACACTGCGTTTAAATGCGGTAAGTTGTAGTTGTGCACAGTCTAGCAGTGGTTTGTGAGCTTCCTGTGGATGATATATGATGAGGTCCCAGTGAGTGTGATACCTGAGTGAATAGCAGAATTTGGATGTAGTTCACCAGAACAATAACGAAAAATGCCGTGTGCACGACTGTAAGGCGATTGTTGCCTTACGCGCAAGGAGCTAATGCTGGTCACTGAATGGTCTTCACCGGCATTCCCCGTTTGAGGGTCGTAATGTGCAGAGTGACAACGGGTGTGTAGAGCCATTCATATCCGGTTAGCCGAAAGAATACCTTTCTACCTGACTCACACGAGATCCATATCTGCCGCAATGATAATGGATTATAGACACGCTGCAATTTGTTTGGTTTAGTTGTCAGCCTGTAGCACTCTTCCAGCGGTGTTTCCCTTTGATCCGAATCTGTGCCAACAGAGAGTGAATGACAGTGAGGCAGATCCTGATCCTGCACCCACCCTGATGCCATCATGGATCACGTTCAGTTTTCTGATAGGCTTTCTGAAAACGTGTCAGTCCGTGTGTAATGCTATCCGTTATGTCCTTGCTTGCAATCTTTGCCTTTGTAGATCATCGTGTCACTCACAGCATTGACAGCAGCGGCGTTGTGGAGTTCTATGACATCAAAGTGCAGGCATTCACATTCGGACAGGGATTTTCTAAATGTAAGAAGAAGCTTGCCATCTCAATTGTCGAAGATGTTTGTGCAATAGCATGTGCGCCTGTGGTGCCTGATGGCAAAATTTCTGTTGAAATGCACTATGAGAAACTATGCTTATATCCCACCTTCATCCTGGCACTGTTAGTACCCCCCCCCCCCCCCCCCCCGCCCTCCCAACCCGAATTTGATGTATGTAATCAAGCCCGCCGGGCCGGAGATCATGATAGCTGAATCTTGCCCAAGCCTGCAGTCCAAGGGTCATAGGCCCGAGGGCTGCAGGCAAGGGAAAGATTTAGCCCGGGGTGATCATGGCAGACGGAGCATGCTTTATGGGTGTTGATGTCTTGCGGCACGAAACAACATATTGGGAAGGTTAAAGGCCAAAAGGTCGGATGATTCCCGAAGTGACATCAACCGGTCCTGATGACCTGATTACGCCCTTGGCGGGAAGACCGCCTATTGGCCATAACATAGGCAACGATCACGTGCCATGTAAGAATAAATATTGATTGCATGATGCATAATATGGTAACCTGCAATCTGTCTGTATTTCTCTCATTCACGCACAGCCGTCAACGAATGTCCAGAAATAACATCAAGAAAGAACAACGTAAGTCTGTGACCATAATTCTTACTGTAGTGTAGGTATTGAAGAAGAGCATTGAGTTCACTGAAGAGCCCCGTTGCTTAGAGCATGGGTGTAATTCGTCTTTTGGCTCTTGGATATCGTTCTTCTATTTAGGAGTTAGCAGATGTTCCGAGTGGGGTGTACCCCGGCAAGGCAGTGCATTTGTGGATGCTTTGCACTGATTAGGCTACCACAACCGTATTCTTTAGGAGTTTGGGTCAGGGTTCCTTTGCCCGGCAGTGCAGTTTGGCTTATAGTGTAACCGAGTTCATGATCTGCTTAGTTTCCTTGTGCTGGTATCTGGGTATGGGTTGGCACTTGAGCCCAGAGATCACACCAAGCTGTAGTTTTAGTCTTTCAGAATGAAGTCAGGATCGGACTGAGCAATGATTCCTTTAGTATCCTGCATTGCTCCGAGGAAAACATGGATGCAGTGAATGGGATTTTCGGTCTTTGACCACTTGCTGGTGAGCTGATCTACTCACCTCCCACCGCTTTAGGACCTTGATCCTTGAAGGGTGGTGGCGTTCCTACGGATGCGAAAAACTCGGTCTCCAGCCGAGTCTCAAGCTAACTGTGAAAAAATTGCTCCGTGGGGCAGAGTGATGGTCCCGGTATATGAGTCGGCGGCGGTGTCCGTCGTGTTGGCGTTGTGTGTCTTGTGGCCATCATTGTTTTTGTTTAACACCTCAGGGCTAATCTTGTCTGTGTGGTGGTATTATGTATGTCTGGTGCAGGTGGGACTCATCGTAGGCGCAAGCATTGGAAGCATCATTGTTGTTGGCATCATAGCTATTCTGATCGGCAAGTCTGCACACAGAGAATACGAGCTACTCAAGTGATGGCTGTGTGCTATGCACACACTGCACCGTGGGTCACGGCTTGCACCACCTGCTACACTCAGAGTCTTTTTCATGTTGACTATTGAGCATCTCATATTATGCTTAGGAGTTTGTAACTTGAGTCATCAAGTTCATCCATTTCGAGTCGATCTCTATGGTGGGAATCTAATAGTGATATGAATGGATACAAAAGGTCACTGTGACATGTTTCCGGGTTTCTGATGAATTTCAGATCGTGCCTTTTCAATATCGGTAACTGTTTAGAGTAATATCAGGCTAAGCTATCCTCTTGAACCTCATATCCTGTATACGCTCACATAATTGTCTTATGCTACTTTGAAGTACATGACTATGATTATAAGCATACATGTACTTGCAGAGTACAAAATAGGAGCCGTCGCTATGAACCACATTTACACGAGTATAGTAGGACTTGAGGACGGGTTACTATAATTAGCGAACAATGCGTATCTACAGCATATTTTGTGGAAGGCTCTTCTCAGCAGCGCAGAGGTGAAGCTGGCCTAGACCCCGGTTACGGTGCCTGTACTGTGTAGTAACATAATTATTTATAGGTTTCCTGCTTTTAATACAATCATGTAGCTAGCATGTAGGTTGCGCTGTATAATTATAAGTTTTTTTTATGCAGGAGGACTTACAATCATGTATCCATAGTTGCAGGTTGAGTTTTGTTTCCAGTTTGCTCCTCCGTGATGATGAATCAGGGGCGTTCGAACTTTTTGCGGCAGGTGCGTGTGCGGCCAAAGCCGCCGTAACACTGTACTGTACATGGACATTTTTAATCTTGCGATCTTGAAGTATGCATGCGCATATGCAGGGCCCAGTTTTCCACAAGAATATTCCTGAGGAGGTTCTCCTGACCCCCGCCATGGCCGGTACCTTACTAAGTAACTTAGTAAGGTACCGGCCATGGCGGGGGTTAGTTAGGTGGATATACAGTCATGTCGATCTACACGCGGTGTATTCCGCATTGGTGCGGCCATGCATAGGCGGGGGTCCGGACTCCGGAGTCCTTCCACTTCCGACGCCCTTGAGCGACACTGCCTCATGTCGAAAGGGCATGAACAAAGTTACATGATGTTTACTGCCGGAACATTTCTTTTCCTTATTAGTGGGAAGTATTTCATTTCTGCGGTGTTGTGAACCTTCGACTCCAACGGCAGAAACAAAAATGTACTAGTACGTACTAGTACATACACAAAATCCAGTAACTACTAGTACCCTGTACAATCATGTATTGTTACATGTTGAAGGACATGACGAAGGACCGCCCTCATTACAGCACTGTGTGTTAGCAAGAACTAGAATAAGTAGAACTAAACTTACTAGAAGTAGAAGGGAAAAAACACGAAGAGGTAGCGCTCACGACACGAGTTCCGGCTCAGCACTGAGCGCTCTTCGCCAGAGGAAAATAGGGGAGACCCGATGATGAGTAGAGCAGGAAACGTGACAGGCACCGGACCGTATGCAGATGGTATGACGACCTCGTTGATTGAAAGTTATTTTAGTTTTTGGAACAACGGTACAGCCTACAGCCTACAGTACAGCCTACAGGCACATGTAAGACTGTAGCCGTGAAAGTGTAAAAATGTAAGTCCGGAACAAACACCGATACTGAGTATTTCAACAATGTCAACTTAAAGTTAGTAACTTGTAGCGAAAAACACTTCGTGTTGGCCCGATAACGCCATGAGACGGCTACTACGTCGGCTAGCCGATGCCAGGAGCTACACTACAAGAAACAAAGCCAGCTGTAAGCCTGTGTCGTTGTGACTTGTTTCATGATGAAGGCATCCTCGTCACCGCTGACGACAATGCTCTGTGCAGCGGAAACAGGAGAAGGCAACGGAATGCGTCACTGCGACCGCGCTACTACTCGTAGTGGAGGAAAAGCGAACACACAGTCACAGGACCTAACAGGTGCAGCTCTCAGCTTTCCTCCTTGCAAGAAACAACACTGGGCACCGGTCACCAGGCCAGGGCTAGGGGGATTCGTCGAGCCAATCAGAGAATCAGTCGGAAACTAACCTGAGCACGTTTTGTAGCACACGTACACCGCCACCTGTACGATACACAATATTGGTACATGTACTACATGTAGTAGTGCATTTCTGTTTCGAGGAGGATCAGTCAAACGAAGAAAGAGCTAGCTGGAGGCCGGCCTGTGTACTAGTGTAGTTTTGGAGACCACTACTTGCGTCATTCCTTGCTAGTTTCTTGTCTCCGATGGTTCTGAGTTCTGGTAGACCGCATGCGTTCCGAAGTTCCTGTGTTGGGTTCCCTTGTGCGGGATTGTTCAGCACACTGCAAAGTACGTCGCATCCTTTGCTGCGTCGCTGCACTCGTGTCACGGCTCAGCTGCGCGGCTTCATCGCCAACGCAGTTCTCGTTCGAAGTCCAGGGTTCCACGGCCTGACGCAAACATGAACGGGCCATTTCAGAAACTCGCATCGTCGATATCGGTTCCAGAAGTGCTCATCGAGGAATGCATTTTGGAAGGAAAGGGACGAGAGGAGGAATTCTTCGTCACTCAGCAAGCATTTCAGGACTCTATTCCCATAATGCGTGGCGGTGGTGCCGGTGCGGAGGAGAGTGTTCTTGCGGACAGAGGCATGTCGGGCCAAGGCGGTGCAGGTGTTGACTGGCAAACGACGCTACCGGTGGACACGGCACACACGTGTGTTTCCGTAATGGGTGTGTGCAGTTTCAACCTACCTCGTAGCGATGGGACGCCAGCAAAGGGAGTGGGGAAGTCTTGCCTGTCCAGTCGCTTCGTGCATCCAGCTCATGACGAGTACTGGACTATCACGGAAGACCACCAGTCAATCGTCAGCGAACAAGAGTTTCAGGAGACTGAGCACTGTGGAAAGCATTCCATATACTACGGTAGCGTGGTGAAGAAAGTACCTCCCAGGCGAACATCACCAACTCACGCGGGCGGAGCACGTGAAGATGGCACAAAGAGGAGCGAAAAGGCCGAAACGGCCGTGTTTCACATTGTTGAGCACACAACTCTGGTTGATCCAGATAGCCAGCTGCCGCACTATGGTGGTGAGACGGGCACATACGTGACCAGGGCCACATCTCCCAGTCTGCCGTGCATACGCCAACATGCTTACCTGGGCAAGAGACTAGCAGGCCTGCAGCTGGAGAAACGCGAGAGACTGCCGCCGATTTTCAACGGCCTGCGCGCGTACGTCAGCGGTTACCTTCTGGTTCTGGACGTGTCACGGTGTGTGGAGGAAATCCAACAGCAGCTTAGTATGTTGCTCGACATGCTGCTAAGCATTCGAACACAACGGCTGCCGCATCGAGTGGCTCTGGTGCTGACTAAATGCGACGCAGTGTCCACGCAGAGGCTGGCCGAAATCAAATCCACCATCACGGGACCACTGTCGTCGGTTGTCACGTTTGAAGTGTCGGCGCGGAAAGGCGTCGGCGTGGACGCGCCGTTCTTCTACGTGTTCCACTCTGCGCGCAGTCCCACCTGCCTGGACCCTACCGAGTGGCAGGTGCCGTACGAGATGTCGGCTGAAGCTCGCCGTCTGATCTCGCAGCACCACAAGCAGCGCCTATGCCGAATGCTGGCTGAGACCGTGTCGTCGTTTCAAGTCACCTACGACACGTTGCTGCAGATCACCAGGGAGTGTGGCAGCAGGACAGATGCCGCGCATGCAGAGCAGATCATCGCCGTCGTGCTATTCCTGATGGGCAAGAAGCAATGCAAGGAGCTGCTCCGAGACCGACTTGTGCAGGTCAAGGCTGCTGAACTTCTTGAAGACTACAAGACACAGCTTCAGCGTGCTCTGCTGTCGCATTCTGATTTTGTGAAGGATTCTGCCAGCTGCGACCTACCGGGGTGAGTGCTGTTAAGCCTGTGTGCATGATGTCATAATGATGTCATGGTCATTTCAGCATACATGTAGACCAGAATTGGGCTGCTAATGCCAAATATTGACCAAGTTATCATCGTTTGAAATTGCAAAAGGTTCGATCATATACAATCTAAACTTGTGTGGCCGGCTGGCCAGAAAAGCCACCGCAGCATTGCCAGGTCCAAAGCCGCGGCACTGCTTATCTTCTAATTCTCTTGTGCGCTGTTTTCCTGAACGGTGTGCCAATAGGATTGATCTATCTAAGCCGCAGCATGTGGACAACCCCATAACCAGTCATCTCCCACTCACTGAAGAAGGAAAGAAGGTGCTGGACCAAGAAGGAAGGTGAGAATCACAACGCTGGTCAAGGACGCCACAGGTGCATGCATGCTGGAGAGAACGATAATCCATACGCATCTTATTGTAAATCTCAGTGAAGGCATGAGGAAGCAACTTACTGAGTACCTTTGACAACGTACTCCTCCGAATACCAAATCATCAATTCTAATTTCTTGGAGTCACTCATTACATGATATCAAGTGTTGGCCATGAGCCGCAATGATTTGCTCGATGCAGCAGGCTAGTAGGTTAGCAATTTGCACCATTCTCCCAACTTGACAATGTCATTGTGTGTTCTTTCCACTGATTGTTGTTACGCGTGCAGAGCTTACTTCGAGTCGGCCATGGTAGACATGCTTGGTGTGTACTGGGACGCTCGACTGCCAGCGGCGACTGGTGCCGACGGCCTGCCAATCAACCGTCTCACATCGCTGCTGCTCTACAACGGATCAGTGCAGAAGGCCAAGATGTTCTTGCGCGTACTGACAGGCTCCTGCTTCACGTACCCATCCCTGAGCGACTTGTCTTTCTACACAACCGCATCACCCCACAACGGCATGCATACTCCGATGATGAAAGCCGTATCCATGTTCAATATAGCACCCAAGGCAACAACAACAACCGCAACAACAGCAGTATCAAGCATCTCCGCGCCATCGTCCCAACAGCACAGCAACAGCAGCCCCTCCGCGAAGCCCGAATCGGCAATTTACGAAGAAGTCGGAGACCGCAGTCCACTGTTGCGTCTAGCTAAGCAGGATAGTCCCCCGGAGCTGCCCCCGCGACAAAAGGCAATCCCAGTGGAACGATCCTTATCTGTTTTCGACATCAGCAGTGCAGTGCACGATGGTGCAGCAGCCGGTACACAACTCAGTGAACGCCAGGTTAGCCATGCTAGTACGCACATGTTGATGGAACAGCTGTTTGTATGTAGTATTAGCAGTGCTTGTGCCAGTATACACATTCTGGCCTGGTGTAGCAGGGACCGTGACACACAGCGCACTTGGCACATCCAACTTCATCCTGAATGGTGAAGCTCTGGGACTGCGCTTGTACTTTGAAGTAGTAATCTTGATCGAAAGTACTTTTTTTATAGGGGAGAATTTGCTTACAAGCTATGGGTACAACCGCTGTCACTACGATACGACATCATACAGGCTTGTCTTGCTGTGTATTGTTTCTGCAATAATAATGAATACAGCACGAAAAATCAAATGAGAGCTGTGCATCAGTCGGCAATGTCGAGCCAGTGCATTCTCAGTCTGCTGTGTGTGCAATGCGTTGCTATAATGCCTATAACACCAGTCAATGCTAACACCATTATCAGATGAAGTGTAAAATAGGTTTTTTCTGTACGAGTCCCTTCCGCCGACGTAGGAAATCATTGTGGCCCATTCAAACTGTTGTAAAAAAAATTGAATGTGGGTGGGCATGTGTTGGTTCTGTACAGGAAGCACGTCAACGGCGATTCATGAGCGACACCACAACGAAGAAAAGGGCGAAATCACCAGGTTTCATCGGCATGGCCTGGAAGAAGTCCGGCTCGGCAAGCAGCTCAAAGATGCAGTCGCGCTGCGGCAGTGCTGAGCAGCTGTCCATGACAAGTCCATCGCCCCAGGCAGCAGTAGCACCCGCCTATCCCAACTCATCTATGTCCAGCTTCTCCGGAAAGCAGCAGCCATTCAACCAGAGTGAGGAAAGTCTTCTAGCGTCGCCTCCCATGGGTCGCAGTCCCAGTTGCAGCAGCCCACTCTTCCTGAGGCCTTCGGACGCACCTAATATCTCACCGTGCAATATCACCAGACCCCACTATCAACACTCACGATCAAACAGCTCGCCAGCTTTCCCGCCGCTTCTGACCACCACAGTAAGCTCAGGTTTTCACACATCGCCCACCTTGGTCCTAGCTAATGCGCAGGAGGAGGATGGCTACCTAGCCCCAGACGAGATTCGAAGCAAAACGATGGGTCACACGTCTGGATTCGCAACACACGAGCAAGGTAGGAGTAGCTTGACCCAGTACAGTGAGCGCAGTACTGCCACTTTGCCAAGGTCACGCGTTGGAGAGAGCATCGGAGGCACTTTACCGAGATCAACATCAGCTGGGTTTGTTGCGCTAATGGCTAGCCAAGCGAGCAATGCAGCTGCTTCAGAGCCTAGTCCAGTGCAAGGCGGTCGGCCGAGAAGCAGAAGCTTTGGTGCCAGCCTTGGCCTACAGATCGGTAAGCCAAAGGCAAAGCGCAATGACCAATTTTATCCTATCCACTTCGATCCTACGTCACCCATTGGCTCTCTTGACCAACACCAGCAGCTGCAGCAGCAGCTGCAGCAGCAGCTTCAGCAGCAGCGGCAGCAGCAGAGTACTTCTGTTGCAGCGCATCTAGACATTGCTGGTGACATGCCCCGATCAGTCTCTGAGAGCTTGAAGCTTTCCAGAGGTGCGTGTAGTGCAATGCCGCTACCGCTGGATCTCGCCGAACTTGTGCGTGGTACTCAACCTGCCGAGAGAGAAAGACGTACTCCTCTTCGCAGGTTATCACCAGAGGAGACTCTCACCAGCAGCGACAGCGATGAAGACACTTTCCCACATGTAAGTAGTCAGTAGTGTACGAGTACATGAACTAGTATTATGGTCTTCTAGTATTATGGTCTTCTAGTATTATGGTCTTCTAGTATTATGGTCTTCTTGCAAAAAATAGCAAACACTAATACGTTGCGAACATTAGAGGCAGTTTACAGGACACTGTGCATGCAGTGTTTCATGAAAAAGGTACGGGTGTTCCTAAATATTGGCTTGCATGCTGGCATGTTCCAGCAACATAATGTCGTTTGAAGAAGAGGTTGGTGCGACTTCGGCGATACTTGGGTGTGTTGCTCCTTACGTGGGAGCTTGCGCTATTCCTGTCGACTTGAATTCTCACTTGACTGACTCACGACTGCCATCCAGAGCACACGAGAAGTCCATCGAACCTTCCACTCGGCAAACCTGCAAGAAAGCACCACTCCCTGGTCAATACACAGTGTTTCGGGGAATTCACCCCTCATCAGTTGAGCTTGAGCAGGCTGAGGAAGATTGTGCCTCAAGAGCACCACTTATATAGTGCTCTCCAGGCACAAACAATAATGTCGGTTGGTGCGGATCATATGTCGCATAGAAATGCAAAGTTGAGAAAAAAGCAACATATCAACTTTTAATATGGTCTTTACTCTTTTGTTGATCCATTGCAGGATATTGGACGATTGAGTCAAGGACAGGCAGAGCGAGATGATGAAATCAACGATCAGGGTGCTTTCTCCAACATAGACCGGACCCTAAAGCGTCGCGGGAGCTTGGCAGCGTCTGCTTTCCAGCCAGTACGGATGGAAGATTTCCACTTTGTGCCCTTAGCAGTAGCCCCATCCTCTCCACCTGTGGTAAGTCCCTTAGCAGTAGCCCCATCCTCTCAAGTCTCTTAGCAGTAGCCCCATCCTCTCCACCTGTGGTAAGTCCCTTAGCAGTAGCCCCATCCTCTCAAGTCCCTTAGCAGTAGCCCTATCCTCTCCACCTGTGGTAAGTTTCACGACTCGAACACGGCTTCAAGTACATCATAGTAGAGGAACAAGTAGAAGTACATCAGTTCGATGATCGAATACCTACACTCCAGTTGATAATCCCGGTTTGCCGCGAGCTAAACAGTACGTGTGTGTGTGTGTGCGTGCGTGCGTGCGTGTGTGTGTGTGTGTGTGCATGCTCTCCCCCTCATGCCGACGTTTAGGTCAGCCACCTTGGGTTGATGCCCCCCTCCGTGCCGCCATTAAGGCAAAGCACGATTTCTACAGCGTGTGTAAGAAATACCCAACCCAGCTTAACATGCATGTATATCGATCTCAACGGAACTTGGTGAAGAGTCTGACTCGATCGAAATACCGGGGATACATTCGGTCCGTACAAGCTACGCTGCAGGACAAAAACCGCCCATCACTGTTTCAGTTCGTGAACAAATTAAAAAATCATAAAGTATCTCGTGACATCCCGACACTCACCATTAGTTCTACGCAGCAGGCTACTACCTCTTCAGCTAAAGCCACTGCATTGAACTCTCAGTTCGCCTCAGTGGCCGTGCCTGATGACCCTTCTCTACCCATTCCCCCCATTGCCGAGGAGTCGGGTGAGGTTGACCGTCTCACATCTGTCTTTACTACGACTGCTGCCATTCGACGTTACATTCGAAAGCTCCCGTCTGACAAGGCTCCGGGCCCAGACGGCATCACTAATCTGGTATTAAAGTCCCTTGCGCCCTCAATAGCATACCCATTATGTCTGATTTTCAACCTATCATTCCGCACTGGTCGTTTTCCCTCTGCATGGAAAACAGCTAATGTTATACCGATCTACAAGAAAGGGTCCCGCCACGAAGCATCAAACTACCGTCCGATATCTCTACTGTCCTGTGTTTCCAAACTCTGTGAGCGCGTTTTCTACGACCAATTGTACTGTCATGTCTCGTCACGTTTGAGTTCAGCTCAGTCCGGATTTCGCAGAGGCGATTCTACCACCCTCCAGCTGACGCGCCTGGTGCAATTAGTGTGTCGACATCGGGATGCTGGAGATCTAGTCGGGATTTGTTTTTTCGATCTTGCCAAGGCCTTCGATACCGTCTGGCACCGGGGGCTTTTGGCCAAGCTTCGTGGATCATTTACTGTAGACGGCAATCCCCTGCTATGGCTGACATCTTACCTCACTGGGCGAACGCAGTACGTCACGGTACATGGGACGTCCTCGGCCGACACAACAGTACTATCCGGAGTTCCCCAGGGTTCCATCCTCGGCCCCCTTCTTTTTATTTTATACGTCAATGATCTGCCCGCAGCTGCCCCGGGCACATCACTGTTCGCAGATGACACAACGCTCCTACGGGCATCTCCTAACATCACTGGCCTGATGAGTAACCTAGCTAACGGGATTCAAAGAGTTATTTCCTGGATGTCGTCTTGGCGGTTATCGCCCAATCTGTCTAAAACTAAAATCGTGCTCTTTCCTTCTCAGCCCGATGTTCCGCCCCTCCTCCATCCCACTTTCCCCCAGCCTATAGACATAGTCTCCAGCCATAAGCATCTTGGCATTTTCATTGACTCTAATCTTTCATGGGAACCCCACATCGATTACATATGTAAACGATCAAGTTCATCTTTAGGAATTCTCTCTTCTCACTGTTACCATCTCCCAATCTCTTGTAAACTCCTCTTTTACTCAGCTTACTTACGCCCCATTTTTGATTATGCAGATACTGCTTGGGCTGGAATTTCCACAACCCGTGCTGCCAAGCTCGAGATTCAACACAAAAAAAGTCCTCAAAATCCTCCTCCGAAAACCCCGCATGCTTCCATCTTCCACCCTTTATGCCCTTGCTGACACTTCCCCTTTGTCTAAGAGACGTAATTCACATCTTGTCACCCTTATCCATTCTCTCAAACTCAATCTGTGTCCACCTCACCTCCACTGTTTCAGCTGGTTCTCTTCCCGTAGCACGAGAAACTCCCTTTCCCTTCCGAAACCTAAGTCCTCCTTTCTACTTCACTCTCCCTTTTTTATTGCGTACTCTGCGTGGCTGGCACTTCCCCAAGAAGCTAAGGACCTTTCTTCCCTCCGCCTTTTTAAGAGCCTTGTCGCGCCTTGATTTTGATTTTGTGTTTCTGATTTGGTTGCAATCACTGCTTATCCATGCCGGTTCCTTTTTCTTCTCCTCCCCTTCTCCCTGCCTTGCCGTGGTTGGCTAACACCCTCTCTCTTTGTATTGGCCGGTGTTCTCACTGTGCTATGAGATGATGTAATAAATAAATAAATAAATAAATGTGTGTGTGGGGGGGGGGGGCAAAGCACATTGTATTGCACAGATGCATAGTATGCCTACTGATAATACCGTATTATCTCTAATATAAGCACAGTCTCCAATAATAGAACACCTTGGGGCGGCATTCAAAAAATAAAGTGCTCAGTCTCCATTATAAGCACACTATGTAAATTCGTTCTGTACCGGCAAAAAAACCCCTGAAATGTGTGTGTCTGACATGAATTTGGCATGGCAACATGCCTCTGAAATGAGGTTGAAATAATAATGGAAGTCAAGAACAGTCTCCAATAAAGGAACGTCTCCATTAATAGCACGGGGTGGAGGTACATTGAAAAAATAAAGGACCGTGCTTATATTAGAGATAATACGGTATGTGTTTCCGTGTGTTGTTGTGATGCAATACAATGTCATGTGCAGTGAGTAGTTGCTCCTGCGCTGTGCTTCCCTGTGTGACTTATGCAGTTTGAGAGAGATGAAGAAGACGAGGAAAGCGAGTTGAACATGCGAACGGCGGAGCATCATCTCGACGACATGGCACCCAGGCCGGACAGCTGCTTGAGCATGTCGAAGCAAGTGACCGATGTATGACAGACGACTGCTGATCCACACCTTGCTCTGCACCATTGCCGATGATCTGTACACTTGACCCACAACTATGCATGCAAGTCTGTATAGCTAATGATGTGGACTAGACTGCATAACTGTATACCATATTGATAATAACAGCATCCGCTGAGGATGGTCAGGATTTCTATGACATAGAGCCAGCATTGTCGTCCTGAAATTTGTGGACACTCTCTTCGATCTTTACAAGTTAGATAGAGACATGATGACTATCATGAAGATGTGTTTGTTCATGTGTACAGAGCGTATCTTGAATGCCTCCTGGCACTTGATTCAAAGCTATACTATTGCTGTCTTCGCAAAGACACACAACAATGTACATGCATTGTGCTTACTGAAGATCTATTTATGAACATATTGCTAGCTTTGAATCATTCATGATGGGTGGTGCCGCTTTTCTCCTTTCTCGCCTCCTGGCACTTGATTCAAAGCTATACTATTGCTGTCTTCGCAAACACACACAGCATTCCGCTGTAACAATGTACAGTAGGTATCGGTTATAGCGTGGGTGTTTGAAAAACGACTTTCTATTCTTATTTCAGATATTTCTTACACACAATAAATCAAGTGTGACATATCATGTGCATGTGCGCAGAGGCAGGAAGATCATCGTACATGCAATGTAGTGTTACTGTGCATGCGGCTGGTTATAGTCACATAGGCTTACCATGTGGCTATGCAACAGGCAACAGAAGTTACATGACCACAACAGTTGAACCTGCAGCACTCTGACCCAACGCGAGTCAGATCGGAACTGCATTGGACGGATGTTATTACTACAGGCGATAGATATACTTTGTACTAATCTGGTATGTTTTGCTTCACAAAGTCCATTCTTAGGACCGATATATTCTACTGTACGATAAAATTGCTTGTAAGAATAAATGTGCACTTGAAATCCATGTTATGATTATGAAAACATGAGAGTTCATTCTTGTAGGCAGTATATTCTTTTACACGACCACACTACGCACTGTACATGCATTGTGCTTACTGAAGATCTATTTACGAACATATTGCTAGCTTTGAATCATTCATGATGGGTGGTGCTTTTCTCCTTTCTCGCCTCCTGGCACTTGATTCAAAGCTACACTATTGCTGTCTTCGCAAACACACACAGCATTCCGCTGTAACAATGTACATACATTGTGCTTACTGAAGATCTATTTACGAACATATTGCTAGCTTTGAATTATTCATGATGCCAGATGGGTGGTGCTTTTCTCCTTTTTCGCCTCCTAGCACTTGATTCAAAGCTATACTATTGCTGTCTTCACAAACACACACAGCTTACTGAAGATCTATTTGCGAACATATTGCTAGCTTTGAATCATTCATGATGGGTGGTGCTTTTCTCCTTTCTCGCCGGCTAGCTGTGCAATTGCTGCAGATATGAACGGTTCCAGCAGGGCATATTTATGACCAAGGTGAAATATGGTTAAGTAAAAAGTAAAAGAATACGGTGGTGCAATGTCATGAAAGCTACCTGTGACTACCTGTGCCCATAACTTGGCATAAGTGCTGGGCAAGCGTCCTATTGTTCACACGTAACGCCTAAAGGAGCTACAGATATTGACGGAAATATTTTTGCAATGGATCGCCAGAAATACAATGGAACGGACCGCGGTGGGAAGCAGCAATCGAGAGATAAATTCAAGAGACTATCGAAGTAAAAAAACTAAAAATGGCTGAAGTGGTTCGCATATACAGTAATGGGAGTCCAGCTAGCTGTGATTCGGTGTCTGAAAAGTTACGAGCCTAGCACACGTAGAGCGCAGATGCTACTTTCTGTTCGTCACTATTCATATTTGATTTTGTTGAGATTCTGGACAAACTTGTCAATGTCTATCTTGTCACCGGTGATTGGCCAAGCGTAGGTTTGCTCAAAGTGGGATCCGTGCCGTCCCGTGTATATGGGTGCAAAGTTGTAGATCAAGTGTGAGACTAGGTCCGAGTCTGTTGAGAACCGATGGGTGCTCTTCTGGGCTGCACTAACAAAGACATCTGCAATGTGATGCATGACGCGCACCGAGTCCGGATCATGTGAAATGTGCTCGTCCGTGTTCCACTCAAATCCATTCTTCTCACTGTGCCACTGCGTGCCAAAGAACGGCAGCGTCTTGCCTTCAATGGTCGACACGAATTCCAGGCCGTTCGAGCCAGTGTTGGTGGACAGAACATTGTACATGGCTGCTAGATTTGCATTGGTTGCAAACGTGTGTGCAGTGGCTCCGAACTGGTGGTGATTGTAGGTCAGTCGCTTGGTGCTGAGTGCTTCCATCAGGCTTGGCGGCATTGAGCCGTACAGGCGACTGTCGGCTGCATGCACTGTGAAGTTCAGTGGAAGGTTGACGTCCTCCGTGCCGTTTATCCTGACCAGCACGTCCTCTTTGGCACCCATGACTGCCAACGCCTGAACACCTAGGCAGGTACCCCACATAGCGAACACCTCGCCCTTATCAAACGCTTCCACGGCAAGCTTAAAGAATACATGAGCCGCCCGCGCATAACCAGACGTGGTACCGGTAACCGAAACACCGCCACCTGGAAGTAAGAGGCCGTTGAGCTTGCCAAACAAGGTCGTGTACTCATCCCCAGTCAAGTTGGTCATGACAGGCACCACGCGGGCGCCGGCCGACTCCACGAACTTCACGTAAGACGCAGCAATGTACATAGTATGGGGATCAATTTCCGAGTCGTGCTGAGATAGGACACCTGTGGAGAATGAACAACAGCACATTGTACTTCAAGTGAAGTTCAGCTAAGCTAGGGAGTAGGGATCCTTCGAATATGGCATAGGGCACATTTTCTAACAGTAAATATAACATGTATTGACTGCTAGCCATAACTCGTAACATTTTGGTCCTTTCCCTTTATACTGTAAACATACTCTAATTTCAGAAATTTTTGGCATGAGCGCAAAAGGCCAGGTTAGGTGAACAGAAAATTTAGGTACATAACAGAGAAGCAGTTTCCTATTGGATTATGTGTGTTAGTGTTTGTTCGGTGTATTGAAATTGTAGGTATGAAACAGATGCACCGAAAGTACCGAAAATAAAAGTACACCCAAAATTTATGAAATTACAGTACATAAAATTAGCTCATCCACACCAACTTCACATGGGTTCCGTCCGGGAATCTCGTTTTTGATGAAAACTTCACAGCCTGTAGTGAAAATGCACTGATTCCAATGGTGAAGGTCCGAGGTTGATCGGAGCAGCCGTTCCCGAGTTATACCAGCTTGAAGTTTGCACTAAATTCCAAGTTAGGCCGGATTTATGACGTCAGAGAGATAGACTTTGTATGGGAGTAGATGGAGAAACTTCAGTATTTTGGCTCTCCGTTGTCCCAAAGAAAACGGATCTTTTTCTCTTTTTTTTTTCATTTTCGGCATGGACCATAATGCATATTATGGCATCCTACCGGTATCTCGACTGGAAAAAATTCTAGTATGAAATTCATTGTTGCAGAGAAACAAGAAAGAAATTGGTTTTTCCCTATCTACACCAAAAAATCGAGATTTCCGGGCTGGGACCGGCCCGCACCAAAATCAAGCCGAAGCCGGTTTTTTTTTATATCAGTGCACGTACTGATCGTGTGAGTTGATCTACGACTCATAGAGCTAGATCTTCTCAACTCAGCTTGGTCGTGTTCCTTGAAGCTACCTGTATAAGCACACTACCGTTAGTCTACGAGTACGAGTGCTGTATTAGCACTCAACGCTGTTTACCTGCACAGACGTGGAAGACCTACGCTGTACAAAGCGAAGTGCAACATGTTGTGACTCGTAGTCGATAGCACCTGCTGCGCTGTGCCAGATTTGTAACACAGGGCGCTCGGGCCTGGGCCGCCGTGGGGCGAAATACAAGGATTGTACAGGTAAACCGCGGAACGGAAGTATACTGTAAAATTAAAGAAATATACTGCAATATACGCAGATGTACATTTAGTATGCAATGCATCTTGCTATGCACAGTAAAAAAGAATTTTTTTAAATCCGCCCACCCACATCAATTTCACATGGGTGCTGCCCGGAAATCTTGGTAAATCTTTAGATTGATTGATTTGAAACTCGGTTGGTTTATTTATTTACTAGTATTTAAAGGGATTATCCAAAGGCTGTAGAAGCCTATCGAGGGGCTCTCCTAGATCCTGTGTAAGGAAAGGGATGGTCTCCCCTGCGGCCTGGGTGATCAAATTCTTTGCTATACCCATTTTCAAGATTTTATTATTGTTGAATGGGAGCAAGGTGAAAATATTTGCACGGCCTTACCTATGACAGGGCGATCATTCAGGTCAGCTGCTATTTGTTCAGCAAAGATCGCCATCACAACGGCCAGAGAAACAGATCGGATCAAATCCATGGTCACAAGATAGTAGCCCTGTTCTGTAGCTGTGACGACTGTGATCCACTAAAAACGTCTGCGGCAGGGCATGCAGACCAGTGCAATGAGAGGGAAACTTCAACGAGCACAGTACTCTATGCACGTGTGCAGTCACAAGGATTAGGTGGAGAAAAATCGAGAACGCAACATACACGACAACTGTGCCAGTGGCAGACCTTCGCATCTGCTCGAGGCACTGAGTGAGTCACTGACACCTGAGTCAGAGTTCAAATATTTCAAACATCTACCTACGTTTTGAAGTCCTTGGCGTCGGGGATTTCCCTTCCTAGCATTGCCGTTGTTGCCCTGGGAACGGTACCATGTACCAGCTGATCTGAGCTGATCTGAACATTTCTTGATTTGCAGAAATGTAAGATTTCTTTACAATTTTCGTTTTCAATAAAATAATTACAATGGCAGACCAGGGAGAGAAAAGGAGACGGCGCTCCAGTAGTAGCAGCAGTTCAAGCTCGTCAGGTTCAAGTACCAGTGGTAGTAGCAGTAATGACAGTGGGTCAGAGTCAGATTCTCGTTCACACTCTCGACGCGAGGACGACAGCCCTGCACCTGGACCCCTACCTCCCACTGCAGCTGGTGAAGATGACGATGTCATTGGTCCAATGCCTGTTTTGGCCGGCAGAGCAAAGAAGAAGAAAGGTAACAAAGCTGAAACACAGCTAAAAAGCACGATGATCATTTCAACAATCAAATGAAAAAGTTTGTTTGATAAAACACGAGCATGGCTTGACTGTGTTGAATGCTAAATTGATACAATGTATGTTATCTGATACATGTAATACCGTGGAGTTCTTTGCAGTGGCCACAATGCAATAAGCAACACTCAATCACTGTTGCACATTGCACTGTAGGAGCTGTTTGTGAGTCGTAGAGTTCTATTGTGGAAGTTTCCACAGGAAACAATGCTCAAGTACGTATGTTATGAACAGGTTGGGGGAGTTCTTCTCCCAATATTGCAATCTAGACACTTCATGATTTCACAGTACATGGCAGTTGACTCCACTTATAACGAACTCGCATGTAGTGAATTTCGTGATATAGCGAACCTGTGTGTGTGTGTGTGTGTGTGTGTGTGTGTGTGTGTGTGTGTGTGTGTGTGTGTGTGTGTGCAGCGATTTCCAATCGATAGGTTGCGGGTTCGATTCCCGACGATTATGGTCACACACGTCTTTCTTCTCTTTCTCAGACTCTTCCTGACTTTTCTTTCATTCTCCTGGGTGGTTACCAACAGCCAGTGCGTGCCGGAGTATGTGGTGTGATGTGTGTGCGGGAAAAAAGAAAAAAAATGAAAATGAAAAGACCAAAAATAGGGATTCACTGGCCAGAAAAACCACTTCAAATAGCTGTATGGTGTAGACCAGGCTGAATAGTGACGGTCAATTCTTCAGCCTTGCAAGCTGTTGAATGGTGCAATCCCGGCACAAGTTGCTATGGCTTCTGCCGTAGCATTGCTATCATCGCCTCCGGCGATGGGCGTCAAAGGTCAAAGGTCAAGGTGTGTGTGTGTGTGTGTGTGTGTGTGTGTGTGTGTGTGTGTGTGTGTGTGTGCCAGGCTAAAAATTAGTGGCGGTCAATTCGCCAGCCTTGCAAGCTGTTGGATGGTGTAATCCCAGCACAAGTTGCTATGTCTAACATGGCTGTTCGCTATCGTCGCTTCCGCAATGGGCATGTCTGAGTCTGTGTGTGTGTGTGTGTGTGTGTGTGTGTGTGTGTGTGTGCATTTATGTTGTAAAGTACTTGCAATAAAGAACAAATTCTCCTGCACATTGGTGTTTGTTAGATCAGGAGTCGACTGTAATTGTTACTGACATGGACAGTGAATGCAGTGATTTGTGATGCTGAACTTGATGACTTGTAGCATCTGTCTGTCAGAATGCCCACACTGTAATGAGTGAGAGCACTTTGAATATCCTTTGGGACTCCATGATATTTCCTGCAGTGACCAGGCTTAGTACTAGCATTGGGTGTATCTAGTGGCCCTTCTCTATCTTGGATAGTGACCAAAGTCACCGGGTATGCTGTGTGTTGTGAGTGCTCTGCAGTAGAGTTGCTCGCCCAGGAATGTCGTTTCCAGGAGGTCACTCTGGGACATTATTATATTTCAGGAATCTGGCTGTGTTAAGACGCATGTTGCACTGGATCATATATTATACACTTTCCAACATACACATGTAAACAAAAGCCGTAGTACAGAACAGCAGGGAACCAACACCATGAACATTGTCTTTCTTTGTAGGGCTGGGTGTTCTTGGGATCCATGTTCTTTGGCGTACGGCTCCCTTGTACTGCTTGTTGACGGGTGCGCGCGCAAACACACACATACATACCTCAGACCTCAGACATGCCCATCGCGGAAGCGATGATAGCGAACAGCTATGTTAGACATAGCAACTTGTGCTGAGATTACACCATTCAACATACATACACAAACATACACACACACACACACACACACACACACACACACACACACACACACTTGCTCACACACACGCACGTGCACACACACACACACACACACACAGAAGACACCTCACACACATACATGTATATAATATACACAAACAAGGCCGATCTAGGAAGCTTGAGGTAGAGTGCTCAATGTACGAATGTACAGAGCAGTATACATGCACAACAGAGGCGGTTAGGCTGTGTTAGCTGTAACTTAAAGTTTCACGCATCGGAGCGATCATCAGACAGCAGCATTCACTATCGAATTCTCTACGAGCAGGCCTAGATATTTGATGCTAGTGTGGAAGTTAGTGCATATGTGCGAAGTGAAGACGTGGCATAGCGCAACCTGCACCAGGTTTGGCGCCATGGTGCTTTCTCTCTCCCTCTTCACTCCTGCTGTGGTCTTGCGCTACTGTCGCTATCGCCTTCGATGACTCGGTAACACTGCCCTGTTACCGCCTCTATTCTCACCTATATCCGTTATCTCTCACAAAACAACTCAATACCACTGTCCCTATGCCACGTCTTCACTTCGCACATATGCACTAACTTCCACACTAGCATCAAATATCTAGGCCTGCTCGTAGAGAATTCGATAGTGAATGCTGCTGTCTGATGATCGCTCCGATGCGTGAAACTTTAAGTTACAGCTAACACAGCCTTTCACCTCGGTTGTGCGTGTATATAATATATCCACACATACATACACACACAGTCCTTGCTCTTGTCCTGATGAGTCCTTTCTTCTTTCGTCTTCTTTTCCTTGTTTTCTACCAGTTCTACAGTACGAGAAGCTGTTCCTGGATAACATCCCTAGCTCAGAAGCGTATGAGAGGAGTTTCATGCATCGAGATGTGGTGACGCATGTTGTGTTCACGCAGTAAGTTAGTGTTAGTTACTGTTACAGGCAGCTGTTGTTTGCTTACGGGACAGTTTATTTCTGCTGGATATTTTGATTCGGGGCCTTTTATTTTTACCTTCTGTAGCGCTCCTGTAATGTGTGCTTATGATAGTGAGTTTTCTAAATGCTGTGTGTGTATATTTAAAAATATTTCCACAGTCCTTGCTATACATCTAATGGATACTCGCCTTACTGTTTGTTTGAGAGTGTTCATTGTCTTCCTTCCCTTTCAGGACCGATTTTCTGATCACGGCCAGTTCTGATGGCCATGTCAAATTCTGGAAGAAAGAAGAGGAGGGCGTTGAGTTTGTCAAGCATTTCCGCGCTCACCTTGGTTAGTTGATCGCTGATGTCGCTTTCTTTTTGCACTTGTGAATGTCTGTCACATCCATGTGTTGCTGGTACTAGTAAACGCTGTGGTGATTTTTCTACTTGCTTGGCTGGCGAGTTGGCAGGTCTTACTGCAGTCATGTTCTCAGCACACGTAACACAGAAAGTGATGACAGAAGCCGCTTGAAATCCTGTGAGGCCTTTTACACCATTACTCTTCACAAATCGATGCTGTGGTGATATCGGCAAGTGAGCAAACGTTGCCGTTTTGCTGCTTTCTGGGCGGTCAGAGCAGTGACAACGTGACACCAACGAGAGCGTGAGTAGTGCTCACTACAGAGCAGTGACAAAGTAACGCCGAAAGAGAGCCCAACTAATTCCAGCTGAAGAGCAACAACGAATGTACACCTTCAAGAGAGCGTGAGTGGTGCCAATCACAGAACAGCTAATTGGTTGGGACAGTCAACACACATCAGAACCTGATACAACACAATGGCGGTTACAGTACAAGATCAACACATTGACAAATTCCACACATATTTCTCTTCTTTCGCCCACACAGCTCTGACCGCTTAGGAAGCTGTATAAAAATGACCTTGTTTGTTTACTTGCTGTTATCACTACTGCACCAGTTTTGAAGAGCAATGGAGCGAAATGCCTCGTAGGATTTCCCAGTGGCCTCTGTGTTACCGGTGCTGATTTGTCCTCCACCAACACAATCTCTAGTCGTGTCTACACACCCACAAATTTCTGTCTCCAATGTGTTTCAATGTCTGTGCGGGAAAGCTCACGTGAATATTTTCCTTTCCTTGTTCTGCTGTTAGGTGCCGTGACCGATGTCTCAGTAAGCAGCAATGGACTGCTGTTTGCCAGTGCTGCGGATGACAAGTCACTGAAAGTGTTTGACGTCGTGAATTTTGGTCAGTTTCTATTTCTTCTGGTGAATACGTATCTGTTTACTGCTTGATAGCTGTTGATAAGCAGTGGAAAAAGAAGGGTCATAATCTTCCTAGCCATCCTGACATACTAGTAGACGAGGGATTGGGATTTTCTATAAGCACCCCCTGATCGTGTGATACAGGCTGAAGCAATAGATTGCCTAAGTGATCACGTCAATGTAGTGTGAAACAACCGTCACATCTTGAGCGCAGTACATACGCACGTGATAATTTTTTGGTTGGTCTGGCAGTACATCCTTGTTAGACAGCAACTCCATGTTGATGACGAAGAAGCAGTCAAAACAGCCTAGAGCAGCACAAAAGTCAAAATTAGATGCTGTATCGGAGATGCTATGTTTTGTTTTTTACACCATTCTCAGGTGTACCTAAGGGGTGGTGACGTCACAGTTTGATAGCTCATGACTTAGTTGCGAGTTTTCGTCTTTGGCTGTTGTTGAAGGCTTTAATCTGCAGTATCCACGCGGGCAGTTTTGAAACGTGTACGCTGCATCATTTGATACACTGTCCGTGACTTGTCTTCAGTTGATGCACTGTCACTGACCGACTTGGCTTTTGGCTTTTCCCTGCAATGTGTTTCTAGATATGATCAACATGATGTCACTAACGTTTGTGCCAGGGTGCTGCTGTTGGATCTACGCACATGGCCAAGCCATCTCAGCTATTGCTGTGTGAGTACTTTGCCTGGTTCGGTGTGAGGAAAAGAGATACAGATGGGTGATGTCCGTTGTATGAAGAGTTTGGCATGTCAACTATCATGTGAAACACTCCCTGCCTGGAATGGGGTAGCATTTGGTATTCTTTTAGGGCACGGATCAAGACCTTTCCGTTGCAGATTTGCTGTGGCCTGCTCTGTGCCCAAGTAATTATTTGTCATTGGGCTTTGAGCTATCTTGTAGACTGTCACTGGCTTTCCCGTATACCGATATACAGTCAACTTCGCGTATAACAACACTCGGCGGGGCATCCGAAAAGTGTCCTTATTCGCGAAGTGTCGTTATACTTGGTCCGTTTCATCGCAATTGTCGCTTATCTATCGCAACTAAGAACAAGAGTTATTCTATCGCTCTGTAAAATTTCCAATACGCATAGGGAAGAAGCATGATACAGGATGCCTGTCCGCCAGAATAAAATTAATTCAGCTATGGAATCTGATGAAGCAAGTCGAGAAAGGAAGCAAAGTTACGAAAATGTACAAAAGAAAACAGCGACGGAGCGCGTTCTTGCAATCACGCTTCAGTTTATCCGACTCTGGCTCTGTATCACTCGAGCTGATGTCACTTGAGCTGACATTCGCTGGTGTGTATAGCTGCTGGCGCCATGGCGTAGAGTATTTCTTGCTTTCTCCGCTTGGCGTATGGCAGCGATGGGAAGGAGCAATCGTGGCTGTCATTTTGGCACTTGGAGGATCGTGGGCAGCGTGACCCGTGTGTCACCACCACTGTGTGTTTCAACAATGTTTTTGAATCAGGCACACATCCCTCTCCAGACAGCTGTCATACGCTCTGCTGGATACGCTGACCACGACTCTTGTACTGCCGCTGCCAGGTCAGACAATGTCTTCTTTGCCACCATTTCGCCATCAGTTTGCAGGCTTGCAAAGAATGCCGGGTCGTCGCACTTGCAGTTCAAAAGTGGCGACTGAGCTGGCTGGCCTGGCCGTGACTGTCACGCTCTCGAGGTCAGGATGTCGATTTCCCCTGCTACAGTTCCGGTCTTTGAGCTGCGCTTGGCTTTTCGCTGCAGTGAATGTGTGCATTCACTGCAGTGCATTCACTGCAGCGAAAAGTTCCCCACTTTCCCATCACAATCGTACGAATCGCGATGCCAATGGCTCTAGTCGCGATGGTTTTTTCTTTCTGGTCTCCTTTGATCTTGCCTTCACAACCTCCCAAACAAATGTGAGTTAGATATCGAGATCGGACTGGGTTTTACCTGTCAAAAGGTGCGTAGGAGATAAGCGACAATTGCGATGAAACGGACCAAGTACCTGAAGTCCCATTATATTTATTACAGTTGGATGGGACTTTGCTCTGGGCATGGAAATTCTGTTGTTATTCGCGAATTGTCGTTATATCCGAAGTCGTTATTAGCGAAGTTGACTGTAATCAGATGCCTTGACACTGATTAACAGATTAAGAGACTCTATTTTCATTTGAAAACTTTATGAATGGTATTCTCTACTAGTACCACGTAGTAATCCTTTGTATGATTGTGATTTGAATTTTCTTTATTCCCTGTATGTGATACCAGAGCGGAGAAAGATTCCCCGGATATCCATATCTATGATGGCCATAGCTCTACGTCGGAGATTCACTGTCTGAAAAAACTACACATGGCACCTTGCACGTTCATTGCTGTAAGTCCTGGGTGCAGCGTGTACATGTACAGTGGATAGCTGTTGCACATCTATCACATGGCCATACAGGGCAGCCATGTTGGTTCCAACTCCACTCAACCCCTGCATCTATGGGTCACATGATGTCGGCCATGTTGGTTCCACTGTCCACATGCTATGGTCACTTTCCACGCCATTTTCGTCACGTGACAAATATGTGAAGCTGATCTATACATTGTATGACCTTTGGCTTTGTAGAGCTGGGCCATGTGTATTGCAGTGGGACACAGTGCTGTACTGTAGCTGACCAACCAGGAGACTGGTTGCCATGCACGACTGATCATGGCAGATCCCCAGTAGCAATCTTATGCCAGTGTTTTGGGCAGTATGTACAGTACTCGGATAAACTATACCAGCACTTGTGTTGTATTTGTAGCATTTTCTGCACACACGGACAAACTGATCATGGTTATACCGTGTGACTTTGCACTTCATGCGCCTTTTGCCATCGTCACGCAACAATCTCCAGCGCTTACATTTAGCACAGGATAGCACCTGGTGTCATTCACAAGTTCAGGGCAGGCTGTACAGGTACTTAAAAGTATGTGTCGGTGTTGCTGTTGCAGTAACAGTGATGCAACTATTCTGAGATTTTGAAGAGGGTATGCGAAACCGCCTGGCCTTGACCTTGTGCGTTGGGCTGTCCTTTATCTTCTGCGCTGCTACTGACTACTCAAGAAAGGTATGCATGCAGCTGTTTATGCGATGCCCGTGTATACACCTGTATGTCTGTGTGTCATACTGTGTCATACTCAGAGACATACTGTGTCATACTCAGAGACATACTGTGTCATACTGTGGCATGCTGTGTGTGTTGTCTTTCTCTTCAGTATAATGCAAAGTACGACACAGTGGTCAGTGGAGATGGCATGGGTATCATTGAATACTGGACTGGACCCTCGCAGCAGTACAAGTTCCCAGAGAGCGTCAGCTTTGAGTCGAAAATGGACACCGATCTCTATGAGTTTGCCAAGGTAGGCGCTTGAAGTACAGTAGTAGGAGAGGTAGTAGTATATATTCTTTTACCTGGGTGAACACTACCGGTCTATGGCTGTCTCGTACACGGCTGCCAGGGAGGAATTGACACTAGCTGTCAGTGAAAAGCAAGTATGGTATGCTAGGACGGTATGTAATATAGAGAAGGGTATTGAAGCACATGTGTAAGTTGTGCCTGTTGCAAACTATGGTATCCTAGGATTGTATGTGATATAGAGGAGGCTATTGAAGCACATGTAGTTATGCCTGGGTCCAAAGCACCACAGGGATGCCGGGGCACTTCAGTCGGAAGACAGCCTGCCATCCTGTGTGTGCTGCAGCTGTACCCGCTGGCTTTAGACTAGTCGTGTGAGGTGTTGGCGCCCGTGCAGCCTGCAGGCGGCCTGTCGATGTTAGCTGCTGGCCAGGGCAACAAGTTTGATGACCAAGTCGACGAAGTTGTCAGTGACAGGAATGCCAGAGGCAAGGTTGATGACGAGCTCCGTGTTCTAGGCCTGGTGCAAGGAAGAAGGCTCACTCGAAGAAATATGAGGGGTAAAAAAACAGATCCCATTTGCGAGACTGAAAGAGCTGACTGAAGAATCCTAGAACTAAGAAGTAAAATAACGAATGAGATAGGCTGGTAGTTTCAGGCCTATGAGGGCATATTGCTATTCAGCTGGATGTATTATCATTGATGTGTAGGTGGAGAGGTTCCCTTCTGACCATCTGCTTTCCCTTGTATCCCCCCCCCCCTCCTCCCTCTGTCTTGTTTGTTTGTGTAGAAAAAGACGGTTGCACACTCGATATCCTTCTCACCCAATGGAGAGCTGTTTGCTGCAATGTCTGCAGACCGCATGGTAAGTTGCATTGCTAGCATCTGTTATGAACTTATGATTCCAACACAGGTTTTTAAAGTGACAGGGCCTGTTAGCCCGGTACAACGCCGCATTACTCGTAGTCAACCTCGTATCTCGATTACATAATGAAAAAGTATCCAGTTCTGAAGATGAGCCGTGGCAGCCAGGTATCGCCAGTTGCACCCTGTGTGATGTGCTCTTGGCATTAGTGATCCGTAGTCCTTATTTCGTTTTGTTGAGCAGCGACCAGAGGCAAACGGCGTTGTGCTCACTCTTCTTGTTTGTTTTCTGTGTCCAGGTGCGAGTGTATCGCTTCAGCACTGGCAAGCTGTACAGGGTGTTTGATGAGACACTGCACATGTACGCCGAGCTTCAACAGGTTAGCCATCTCTTGTGTATTGTGTTGCTGAGTTGTGTACTGCTTGCACTGCCACTACCAGTGCAGGCACTTAAGAACTGCAGTACAGCTACAGCCAGGGAAATCCGATCTATTGAATACATGCTGCTTTGTGCTCCACCTCACAGGCCATTGTGTGCGTGCGTGAATGCTAGGCTGGGTTGGGCTGCACAAAGCTGGCTGCTTGTGCATGCATATGTTTGGATTTCACTAGTGCTGCAACTGCAGGTCTATTGTCAGGGCAAGGGGCAAAGAGTAGCTGGTGCAGTACTTTGCAGGACTGTGTAGGACTGTGCAGGACTGTGTAAGACAGTGCAGGACTGTACAGGACTGTGCAGGACTGTGTAGGACTGTGCAGGACTGTGTAGGACTGTACAGGACTGTGCAGAACAGTGCAGGACTGTGTAAGACAGTGCAGGACTGTACGGGACTGTGCAGAACTGTGTAAGACAGTGCAGGACTGTACGGGACTGTGCAGGACTGTGCAGGACTGTGCAGAACTGTGTAAGACAGTACAGGACTGTGTAAGACAGTGCAGGACTGTAGGACTGTGCAGGACTGTATAGGACTGACTGTGCAGTACTGTGCAGTACTGTGCAGGACTGTGCAGGACTATGCAGGACTGTAGGACTGTGCAGGACTATGCAGGACTGTATAGGACTGACTGTGCAGTACTGTGTAGGGCTGTGCAGGACTGTGTAGGACTGTGCTGAACTGTCTAGGACTGTGCAGGATTTTGTAAGACTGTGCAGGTCTGTGCAGGACTCATGGCATCAACCAGTGCGTCGCTGTGTAGGGTTTGGCTTTTCATCATGGTATACCTTGTTTGTATGCTATGTGTATCCCTTTGGCCCCATGGAACTGTGTGTTGACAGGCTAATCCGGTACTGCCCAGTATGGACTATGGTCGGCGCATTGCTATGGAGAGAGAGTTGGAGAAAGCTGGACTTCTGCATCTCGTTCGTTGCTGTAGGTTGTCTCCTGTTTCATTGTGCACAACTATATGGTTGTGTTTCTGAAGCTATCAAAGTTGAATTAACTGTTAGACGTCATGACCAAGGTATACCACACATTGTCTGAAGCAGTTACTGTATTTTCCAGAGTACAAGCTACTCAAATAGGGTAGATATCTGTATTTCGTGACAACCAGTCTAGGTGCGGCTTTCACTCCTGAAAATACAGTACCCTTTCCTTTCAGTGCATGTTGTGCTTGGCTCTGTGCAGTGGTGTGCTTAGTTGATGCTGTCTACATCTTCACTAAGTTACAGTCGTTCTGTTCTGTGTGCCTTTGCTGCTGCAGCTTTCGACGAGAGCGGCTCGTTTCTCATCTACCCGTGTGTTCTGGGCATTAAAGGTGAGTATGTGTGTTCTGTATTGCAGTAAATCTTTCCGTTAGAACATGGAAAGGTGTATGGCCTAATGTACATGTACATCATTACTAGTAGTATTTACTACAATCCATGCTTGCGAGAATACATAGCCAAGAGTGTGCAACGTTGCGATGCCTTACTCCACAGGAAAGGTTGACGTCGGTCCTTCGACGCCTTTTGGTTCGCTGATGCCATCGTGTGCAACAAGAGATCAACTGTGCAAAGAATCTGTATGTTGCAGTAGTGGAAGTGTAAGAGCGAAAATGACACGATTGGAAAACTCTGCTATGGGCAGGTCCCTCGCAGCTTTAAAAAGGGACTGTACACTCTTGGTTGTGTTCTCCTGTTATCGGCTAGCTTACTGCCTTGGGGTGTAGAGGCTCTACAGAGTACCCAGTGCATAGGCATGTGTGTGGATGGTGATTGTTTTTTTGTTTTGTTTTTGTGATTGCTGTAACTTTGATGTACAGTCGTCAACATTGTCACGAATAAGTGCGCACGGATTGTTGGCAAGGTATGTACGCCTCACCGTGTGTGATCAATCTTGACTATGCACTCAGTTGAACTTGCCGGTAGTGGCCTGTGAGCTTGCCTAAATAATGCTTGATTGATTGCATAATCAATTAATCATAGGTGCACAATGCGGGCAGACATGCTCTCATTGGCTTTCATAGCCGTCTGCATCGTCGTAGTAGCACATGCAGGGAAGTCTCCATGCGGTGCCGATGTCAATTAAATATCTTTGAGTATGCGGAATGTACATGCAAGCGCTTCAAGGTAATAAAGGATCATGCTGATGCTGTATGTATGTCTTTGTTGTTGCTGGCAGCAAGAGAATATTCGAATCCTGTGCATGGCACTGTATCAGGGATCGCCGGTCAAGTCCAAGGCAACCCTTACTCTGGTCAGTAGCTACTCTTGTTGTTGGTGGTGGGGTCCTTTGCCCTTGTCAGTTAACAGCTGCTAGTCTAGTCTAGATGCTAGGGACTAAAGTGTATGTACTTCAGTATGTACAATGAGAAATACAGTTGAACATTGATGATCCGACAGTGTTGGAACAGAGGCCCTTAGCCAGGTTCTTGGATCTGGAAATGTTCCGGATAAGCAAATCATGCGACGCACTATCATGCACGCCTTTCATAGTCACACATGCACATCTATTCGGTTAGAAATATACAATGTCATGTACATGTTTGTATAGTGTAACGATGGAATACCTCCTTGTTTTGCTACATGCACACTGGGAACGAAATAGAACAGATTATATGCTGTGACTCCGAACTTCACACTTAGGCAATTGTCACGTTCGAGTTTTTGCGAATTGAATGTGGCGAATTAGCCATGTACCTTGTGAAGCTTTATTGGTGCCTCATGTTACTTCAAAACGCAATGGTGGCTTGTCTCGAGCTGCAAATATGTCTCTTTCTTTGGCTTCTGGCATTCTGCCCTTCCCTCGTTTGAACCAATGCATCACCCTGTGTTTGTTCAGTTTTTAAAAATTTACATACCGGTAATGGCTATTTCTGCTGTTGTTCCTGGGTGTGTTTCAGGAAATGAGAGCGTCTGACAATCCCATGCTGTTGCAGCAATCAGTCGATCCCACCATCGTCTGCACTGCCTTCAAGAAGAACCGCTTCTATCTGTTCACAAATCGCGAGCCAGAAGATACAAAGGGGTATGTGAAACTTGAAAAAGGGTCCAAAAAAGGTACCTCAACTGGAATTCGAACCGCACAATGTACTGTTATGCAAGTGGAGTGAACGACCTGGATTTTCTTGGTTTTTCTACAATTCAGTGCTTTGGGGGCAAACCCTGGCCGAAATCCTATTCTTGTGATTGCTTGCTTTTTGGAGAAATAGACTTCAGAAACAAATTGGAAGAGCATTCCATGGCGGATTGCAGAAAGAAATCATGAAAAACTCAATTCGACCCATTTATGGCCAAAAGCTAGGATATCTTGGCTGTGGTTTGGTCCGGAGCCCTGCCTTGATAACATTGCCTTTGGTTACCCGTATATTCCCAATAATACTGGTAGTAGTAATGAGCAGTTGGCGTTTTCTAGCGAAAGCCTAGGAGTGGTGGGACAGTGGCTTTTCAAAATGGCTTTGAAATAACAGTAGGAACACGGCTGTTGTTATTCTTACACGTGTTGTCTCTTGTGTATGTTTGCTCAGTGCTGAGAACGAGCGTGATGTGTTCAACGAGAAACCATCCAGAGAAGAACAGCTGGCAGCAACACAGGTAAACTACATGTACTTTAGCTCCGTTTCACTTGTCTTGTTGCGCATGTGACTCTACCTCTGGGTCAGGTGCACCCGTTTGTGATAATGCATGTGTGACATCATAGTTTGGTTGCGGGTGCTAGAAGTGTGTTTCTGCCATGCATTACTCCCTGTGTGGCTCACCAGCACCCTAAGTAGTATGCCTTCCTTGATTTGTGATGCTCTGCTAGTCACGGTGAAAAACGTCCTGACACATCACTGAGGTAGCTTGGCCAGGCTTCATGACCTGGCGGCACGCTTGACCACATTACGCACCGAGTGCGGCGCCAACCTCGAATGGTTTGTCGGGACTTTCTCTGCCACCAACTGTAGCACCAGCATCACCTGGATTCTACATTGATGTTTTGTCTTTGTGCTTTTTATAGGGTACTGGAGAGAAGCGACTTTCAGAACAGGCAGTGCTCCACACGACAGCAGGGGATATTTTCATCAAGCTCTTTGCACAAGAGTGAGTATAGTTAGTGATCTTGACTCTGCTCTCTATGCCGTTGGTAGTTAATATCCTGCGCTTTACATCACAACTCAAGTTAGTAGGTGAGAGAAGACAGTGGAAAGGGCCGGAGAAGACAGTGGAAAGGGCTGGAAAAGACAGTGGAAAGGGCTGGAGAAGACATAAACTACCTACTTGTTACCCCGTGTATACAGTCAACTTTGCTAATAACGATTGCGGATATAACGACAATTCGCGAATAACGACAGAATGCCAATAAACAAACAAACAAAAAATGCCCATGCCCAGAGCAAAGTCCCATCCAGCTGTAATACATATAATGAGACTTCGGGTATAAGGACACTTCGCGAATAAGGACACGGTCCTGATGCCCCGCCGAGTGTCGTTATACGCGAAGTTGACTGTACTACATATCTCTACGCCACAACGTGTCGTTCTTGTCAACGTAGCGATGTGTTTGACGTACGTGTACATGTATATGTTATATTAACTTGGGTCTTACCTTCATTGTATAGCTGTGCGTGGATACTTGCAATTGCAAATCACAACTGAAGTGAATGTCCATTGCAGCTGCATACTAGTATTTTGAAGTACTAGTATGCTGTTTGTAAGTTAGCAGTCATTTGTATAGGTACTTTTTGTAATAGTTATAATTTTGGATGTTGTATAGATAGTAGAGCTGAAAGGAATATTCGAATTATTCGAATATTCGAATTATGCAGATCGGAAAAAGAATATTCTTCGATAGAGAAGAATAAGAATGTTCGTAAATGTACAGAAACTCGCCTTTTTGATATCGAACAGGCTTATTTGGTGCAGAAAGTGAGTAAGATTGCCACCTTCCATGTGTTGCTATCAGCAAGACAAATGATAACATTGTCCTTTTCAAATGTCTCTCCTGTAATTGGGGTACACACCACATTAATGGTCTACGGTTACCATGGATACAACTAGGTATCCATGGATATTGTACGGTTCAGAATATTCGGAATATTCTTTGTTTCACACGTATTCGGAAAAAGAATATTCGTTCGCTTCATTGAGCATTCGTTTCAGCCCTAATAGATAGGTAGTGTTAATGTTATCTCATTTCAACTCGAACCGTGTGTACATATGAATCCTAGTAACCATCTTTGTTTTTCTATAAAATGTGAACCCAAGGTCTCATGTCTCCTATTATCGCCTGCAGGTGCCCGAAGACTGTGGAGAACTTCTGTGTGCACAGCTTGAACGGGTACTACAACGGCCACATCTTCCATCGTGTCATCAAGTCGTTCATGATCCAGACCGGCGATCCCACTGGTAAGGTTATACACTACTGTGCACTGGCTGTACTCCTGCTCAGCTGTGTAGTACTAGTGTTGTTGGTGGGATCTGCTGTGTAGTACTAGTGTTGCTGGTGGGATCTGCTGTGTAGTACTAGTGTTGCTGGTGGGATCTGCTGTGTAGTACTAGTGTTGCTGGTGGGATCTGCTGTGTAGTACTAGTGTTGCTGGTGGGATCTGCTGTGTAGTACCAAGAGTACATAACCCCAAGAGTGTGCAACTGCCTGCACAACCTATATGCAGTGCTGCGACGGCAGAACTTCACATCACGTGACATGGTTCAAAAGGTTACACTGGCAAACAGTGCAAAGTGATCACAAGAGTGTTGTACCCAAAGCTGGGTTTCGTACAACCCTGTATCAATCATGCACAGAGTGCAAATAATGTGTACGGGTTCATCACGTGATGTGAAATTCTGCCGTCGCAGACCCCATAGCTGGAGTTGCACACTCTTGGGGTTATGTACTCTTGGTAGTACTACAGTGCATTTCAAAACTATAGACGCGTAGGATTTTTGAAATATTTCAAATTTGGTTGGAACTTTTTGAGAATAGTTTTCGGAATATTGCTCAGGATCGCTCCACCATTACTCTCATATACATTGTAGTTTCTAAAGGATTGGATAACAGACGCCCAATGTTGCGGCCCTGTGGCCATGGTAGACAAGATTTCCTTCGAACCATTGCTTGTTCTTGTTCTTTACAAAGTGGAATAAAACTGAATCTCAAAGAGTTCTCCAAAGCAAAGCGCGGCACGCGTACATGTAGCCTCAAGCAGAAAAGCTGGCAGCGCAAAAGGAAACACGCAGCCAAAAAAATGCCTAGCTCTGGCGTACATCGTAGAGGTCACTGCGCATCCGGTGCACTGCGCCCCAAAGGCAAAGGTGCAGGCACGGCGCCCCAAGGAGTGACGACATACATAAACTGCATCGCGTCATGCAGATAGAGCGATAGCGTACAAAGTACAAACAAAACAAAAATAACTGAGAGAAGAGAAAATAAATAAATCGAAGAGAAGAAGCGAGAGAGAAGAGAGAAGGAATTTAATTCTAATTATTTAGAGTTGGACAGGTATTATCAAGGAGACATGCAGATACACAATAGAATCGACTCGACTGCATGTAGAGTAGCTGCCTCTAACTGCAGCAGAGTGGAGCACGCACGTACGTGATCAACTCGGGAATAGTGAAAGGTGAGAGAAACAAAATACAAATAAATTCGAACGAGCAAATACAATAATTGTGAATTCATGTGCAAGTGTCTGTAACATTCTCCCCCCTGGTAACAGGGAACCGATGACCTGTTACAAGTCACAAACAAACTCAGCGCAGCACGTCCAGCTTGGCAAGCTTAACGACTGGGCGCCGGTACAGTCCAGACTTGGTGCGCACATCTGCCACCCGCACAACGCCATCACTGCCCGGGTGTACCGCCTCTAGTCGGCCCCGAGGCCACTGCCCTCGTGGCTGGTTGCTGTCGACGACCACCACGACATCACCTACAGCCAGTGACGGTGTGCCGTCCTGCCACTTCCTCCGCCTGGTGAGTTCTGGCCGGTATTCCAAGATCCACCTCTTCCAGAATTCGTCGGTGATCTTCTGTGCAATCCGCCAGTGCTTCCTCAGGCACAAATCAGCATCTACAAACACGCCTGGCCGACTAGTTGCACTACTGGACCCAATGAGGAAGTGGTTGGGTGTGAGGGACTCTTCATCATCAGGATCTACTGAGACGTGAGTCAGCGGCCGACTATTCACGAGTTGCTCGGCTTCAGCGAAGACTGTGGCTAGTACTTCTTCTGTCACGACACGCTCCTTCATGACGGATTTCATAGCGATCTTCACTGCTCTGACGAGGCGCTCCCAGCTTCCGCCCATGTGGGGAGCAAGTGGCGGGTTGAAGTGCCATGAGATGCCCTTACTGGAACACTCAGCAGCTAGTCGGTCTTGGCGGAAATCTTCCAATGCCGCCTTCAGCTCCCTGTCAGCTCCTCGGAAATTGGTTCCATTATCCGAGTGGATTTCTTGGGGGCAACCTCGCCGGGCGCACATTCGCCTGATTGCCATGATGGCACTATCAGTGTTCAGAGAGTGAGCCACTTCCAAATGTACAGCGCGGGTACTCAGACATGTGAACAACGCACCGTAGCGTAGTTCGCGGCGCCTCCCGATCTTGATGTGCAACGGCCCGAAATAGTCCAGCCCGGTGAACGTGAATGGTCGCAGAAACGGGGTCAAGCGCTGGACAGGTAGATTTCCCATTACAGGTGGCTTGGGATTGGCTCGTTGGTTCTTGCAGTATTGACACTCAGACCATGCTCGCTTCACAGCTGCTCGACCTGTCGTCACCCAGTACTGCTGGCGAAGCTCATTCAATGTCCTCTCGTGTCCATGATGGCCAGAACGCAGATGGTATTCATGGACTAGGAGCTGTGTGTACCTATGCTTCGGACACAGGATAGCCGGATGTTTCGCACTGTACGCCATTTCCGTCGCATGTGTGAGGCGACCCTGAACCCGCAGGATCCCGTCCTCATCAATGGCTGGTGCTAGCTGTCGTAGACGACTGCTGGTGCTGACAGGCTGGCAATCGCTCAACAAAGCCACTTCTTCGGCAAAACACTCTGCCTGCACAGATTTCATCCAGAGCTGCTCGGCCGCATCCATTTCCTTGGCTGAGATGGCTGCGGTTGCTTCGACAGTTTGGCCGCGAACTCTGGCCCGTGTGTTTGCGATGAACCTGGCAACATACGCGGTTGTGCAGATGAGACGTTTCCATGACGAGAATCGGTTGACGTCAGGCAGCGCTTCGGCAATTTGCTGGGGCCTTGGCGGAGATGTTGTCGCCGCAACGAACTCCTTCTTCACTTCGGTCGTGTCGATGCACTCATCCGACATTGGCTGCGAGATGTGGTAGATCGCCTCCGGTTCGAGTTGATCTTGGTGAGTCCGGGCTCCAATGCGACCGTGCACGACCCAACCAAGAAGTGTTCTCGTCAGCATAGGTGCATTTGGTGGGCCTTCGACGACTTCACGTGCCACTGTGAGGTGTCCGTTGTCTTGCCCAATGAGCATCCTTGGTTGTACTGCTGGGTACGACGCCACTCTGGAGTCATCTAAATGAGGCCATCGACTCGCCAGCCCTCTGCCATCTATTGACTGCGAATGCAACTTGAGGTCCTTGGCTGTTCTCACATCATCCATTTGATGCTGGGTGCCATCGCTGCCATTGACCGATACAGAGACTCTGCATGACGAGTTGTCCGTGTGCGTCGTCGAATTCGTCCATGCCATATGCAGGGGATCCGACTGTCCAACAGCACCTATGTCATCCGCTAAGGCCTTGTCCATTAGCGTGACAGTTGAGGCTTCGTCCAGCAGAGCAAGTGTCTCCACACAGCCCTTTGGGCCACTAACCGTCACTGGCAACACTCTCAGCAACACTCGGGTTGCACCAGGAATACCAGTGTGCCCACAAGTGTCGACTGGCTTCTCTGCGGCCTTGCCCTTGTGCAGGAGCACATGATGGTGGTACTTGCAGTCAGGCTCACTGCACTGCTTCCTGCTGCCACACTCCCTGGTAGCGTGTCCACTGGCCAGGCAAGAAAAGCAAAGACGATGACGTTTTACCAGCTCAAAACGGGCTTTCTGGCCAAGCTTCGTGAATGTTGAACACTTACTGAGGGCATGCTGCACTTGTTTGCAGCAAAGGCAGGCTGACTGAGTTTTACTGGTTGCACTTGCTGGTGCCGTCGCTGCTGCTGTGCTGTGTACTGTCGAAACTTCCTGGTGACTGTAAACCCGCTGCGTCTTGTCGGTTCGGGTACCCGGCAGATCCACGATGCGCACAGCTGCTTCGGCCTTGTCCGCCAGCCACAAAGAAAACACTCGCAAGCTGATGTCACGGCTACCCTGACGCACAAGTACTTCTCCCCACTGCAGTCGCAGGGATGTTGGCAACCTACCAACAAGCTCTTGACGTAGCTGAGGGTTGTACATGTGACCTTCACTTCGAAGGTGTTCCATGGTAGTAACTAGAGTCGTCACAGCAGTGGACAGGTTGATAAGACTATCAAAGTCTCCTGGCTTGACCTGTCCAATGGCCTTGGCTTTCCCGATCATGGCAGCAATCACAGCATCCGGTCGACCAAACCGGCTTTCCAGGACCTGGAGTACTGTCGGCAGATTCTCCGGCACGGTGAGCATCGCTCCGACGGCAGCCTTGGCTGGGCCTTTTAGGCAACGTTGCAGACGAATTACATTCTCCGATGGCGAAAACCCACACTGGTCTGACGTCCTCTGGTAGGTAGAGGCGAATATGGGCCACTCCTCCGAGTCGCCAGAGAATGC